TGACTGCTGCCGCACCGCACTTCACATTACGGAACCACGGATTGGGCCCAGAACGACACGACGACTTGCCATATTACGGGAAATAGCTCCTTCATAGTACTCATCCGAGGCACACTGACGGCGCCATCTCTTGGGCCTACTCGGCAGGGCAAAAAACACGTCAAGCAGCAGCAATGGCAGTGGCAGGTGGCATGCGGGTGCTGTGGCTCCAAACGACAGCCACATTGACCTCCCGCCGTGCCACTGCCGTCGGCGCCGCACAAACGCGCTTTCTGTCGTCACTGGTTCTAGACATGAAATAGAGTCAGGGCCGCCCTGCGCACCTAGCAGGAAGCGAAGACGGGTGGTGATACGATTGACGACGTAGCCGTCCAAGACCCGTCCAAGACCATGTCTACCTATGAAGGCCTCCAGACACCAGTTGGTTAAGGCCAAGGACGTCGAGACAAGGAATATGGTCTTTCGTTTGTGTTGGCTGCCGAATGGGCAACACGGCTCCAGAGCCGAAGTGATTTTTTACCACCTACGGATACGGCAGCACAGCACTGTTTGGTCATCAAGAGCATTCTTGTTGCCGTAGCATCAGACCATATTACTAGTTTTTCGAGCCTAGTCTTTGCACCAGGAATTGGCATGCCAGCGCGACGTTCGGAGCTCAATGGTTCGTCTCTTCATTGGCTCTCGCCATTGGGACCGCCCATTCAAACAACATCGACCGGCACGTCAGCCCAACGGCACGACGGTGTAAGTGCATCGACGCAGCGGTTCATTGCCTGCCCGCTTTTCAACGCTAGTATCATGGTCTCAACAGGATCATGGTATTTGGATTTCGACAAAATATTGATGAAGAGGCATTGGCATATCCACTCGACTTCGGACGCCGGACCAGCATTATGACACGGCACCCAGGCTTGTGGAAAGGACGCAGCAGTCCAACATGCCGCAATTCGGAGGCCGAAGTCCCAACGAGCAAAAAGAACAACCCGGCAAGTCTGCTCTCGAGGTTCCGAATCCGTCAGAACCCTCCATCACAGACACATCCCGGTTCTGCATAAAGTTTCGGGCTCGATCCAGATTCCAGAAGACCGAAGACCGTTGTGCGCCGCAGACATGTATCGTGCTACAGAGGAGGCGAGGCACCCTGCAACATGGTGGCTTCGAGCTTTTCCTCGATTGGCAATCAGCGGCCAGGACATCGAGTTGCTCGAGATACGGGACCCACGGGAGAGGACTTCCTAAGGCGGGAGGGAGGAGATGAGAAGGGCCAAGAGAGCGCAATGAGGGCCTGTTTGGGATCTTAGCAATATCAGGTGTTGGGGCAGCAATCAATTATCTCAGCGTTGATTGACGGCATTTTCCTTTGAAGTTGCCGTTGCGCCCGGCGTCGCTCCCGAATTCTTGGGGCATCCACCACGATTAAACAATCCACACACGGACCGGAAACTCGATTCGTTGGACCCAGCAATCTGGGGCACGGCGATAGGCATCGAGCACAGGGCTCAAGGGCTGAGAGATCGAGGCCAGACCATGATTCCGAAAAGAGAACAATGAGGATCGAGGCGTCGTCAGGGTCATTGGCTTTCCTAGCCTAGACTACCAACACTCTCCACGAAACATCTCAGCTTACGGATAACTTGGACTGCTGGATGCCTGTCATGTCATATTCTCCCTGGCAAACGGCAAGCGTGGAACTTGTCCAGGCAGCAAGCAGTCCAGCGAGCAGCAAGGGAAAGGAGAGGGGTAAAGCCACAAACTCAGTCCGTGACCAAAGTATCAGCATCATCATGGTCAAGTGTCTGTGGGTTGTTCATGAGCATGGGAATCAGGACGAAGGATTATTGGCAGCCTTCAGCCGACTCGAAGCGGCGCACGAGTTCGTCGGCTCGTCAGCAACAAGAGCACTTGTGAAGCAGCACCAACTTGGGCGACTGGGAAGACTGAAGTGGTCATCAAAGAGGGAAGAGAAGACTCTGAAGCAGACCAGACCTGAACAATAATGAAATGGGCGCGAACCAGGGGGCAACCAATTGCTTCCCCTGGCCGCGAGCTAGAGCCCGGGAGGGACCCCGTTGCGCACTAAAAGCCCCTGTTAAATCACCCTGGCTTACAGGGTTCCCGCTAAAGGTCCACTGGCGCATTTTGGTTTTTGGTATTCTGGCCGTTCTCCTCGTCAGGGAGGACAAGGTGGAAAGCCATCGGTACCGGGGGAGGGGACCAACGGATGGATGACCTTGGAAGGCGGAAGGGAAGGAAAAGAAAAGAAAAGAAAGGACGCAGAAAACGAACTGCAAGAGCACCGTTGACACCACTGAGGACCAGGAAATCGGGTGACGCCCAGGTTTCTTGAAGGAGGAACCCAGGCCACTGACGCAGCTGGTATACGTACCACCATTAAGAGCTGACGACGGGCAGTAGGGATGAGGGTGTCTTGCCAGACCTCGAGGCGCGATGAGTGGCTCGAAATAGAAAGAGAGAGAGAGAGAGAGAGAGGCGTGGGGAGCTCTCTGTATTTGGAAACCCAGGGTAGGAGGGAGGAGCCAGACTTGGAATTGGCCGTTCCTGTTGGTGCGAGAGGTTTGTTGGTGGTCGTCTTTTTGCTGCGCTAATTATCCAGTTGACGCAGATGATAAGGCACTTTCCATACCAAATGGCAAGAAAGAGGCTACACCAAATCTTGCCACGATCTAAGATAATACCTAAGGTGGTTCTAGTTGTTCAAGCAAGACCAGGCGGCGCCTTCCAGTCTGATATTCGGAATCCGGCAGGAGAAAGCCATATGGCAAGATCGGAATCGCGGCTAGCGGAGGGCTCTTCTTGCCAGCCAACAGACATCCGATAACTCACGCATCACGGAGTCTGCCGAATACCTGAGATAACGAGCAACAAGTCATCGTCCGCAGAGAGCGACTTTCGCCTTGAAGGATTTCCAGAGGCGTCTGTCGTCCGAACTTGATATCGGGCACGGAATACGATGCCTCGCTCGCAAGCACCTCGCCATGGCCGCTGCATCGCAGAATCACGGCCTCGATGACCTCGCCTCGAGTTGCGCTTTCCTGTTTCCATACGAAGAAAGGCCTGGCCATTTCCCCATACTTGGTCGAGGAGGAGAACGGCGCACGGCGCTCCTGTCGCCCGTCGTGGCATCATCATAATGTGGCATCAGTGCGCTCGCGTTGCGCCTCCAAACTTCTCCAGTCACAGCAACGTCCGAGGCCTTAGATATCGATGCAGCCGCAGATGATGCTGCTCAACATTGTTCGTACCTGCTTACACAATGACTAGCCAGAGACTGGTTTCTCTGTGTATCGGCTGGATACACCGATTCTCCGCGCAGCTAATTGTATGCATCTCACCTTGCGTCGCCTTGCATTACCGACTCCTACCTAGCCCGTTCAGGTACGGATTCAGGCACAGATACGGTACGGACAGGACACGAGAGAGGAGAGGTGCGATACGGGACGGGTCCTGCATATGCGTCTGCGTCCGCCTCCGCGCCGCCGCGGCCGGCACCTGTCTGCCTTCCTGGACCAGGCCGCTGTCGCTGCTTGTCACACACACACAGAGTCGCACTCGCTCGGCCTTCACTGCATATGCATATGCACAAGACACGAGCAACACACCACGAGATTGCATTCCTCGCGCCTTCTCTAACTCTTCCTCGCATTCTCTCTTTCCCCCCCATGAATGAAAAAGGCAACCGGAAAGTCAGGCCCATGTGTCCCGTACCTTGCTATCCGTAAGGTATGCTCTGCGCCTTCACACTGCAGCTTGCGAAGGAGGCCCGGCTTCTTCCCTCGCGTCCATCATCACCAACTCAACGCGTAGCTCCCTCGCTCTTCCTTTGTTCCCCAAAGGTCGCGTGGGTATGTCCCTCGGGAGACAAGAGACGCCAGATTGACGCACGATACAACAAGCTCGCCTCCGTCGCAAACCAGCTTGGTTCTCGAGCTAACCAGCAACTAAGCCAAGCGGGCGGCCCCAACTGATCTTCAACGTCTACAAATCCTGTCCCCCGAAAAGAAGAAAGTAAGAAGAAAAAACCGACGAGGAGCGGCAGCGGTACGCACGCTTCACACTACCGGGGCATCATATTACGGAACGTGTGTACTTCCACATCCACGCCCCCCCTGGCTCACTTCCAACGCCCTCACACCCTCCCAAAGTTCCCGGACACTTGGCCTGGCCTGGCTTCTTCTGCCCCCCCTCCACTTCCCTACTACGTGATCGTCCCTCGCTTTGGGCACTCACATGGGGTCTTCTTCTTGGGCTCCCGAAACCTTGAGTCAAGCCCTTGTCCCTGGTATGCAGCTATCCACCATTAGCACAGGCAAGGATCCCTCCAACACGCCCGTCCCAGGGCTATGACATTCCTGCTATTCCTATTCCCCTCCCACATCAATGCCCGTCATCTCCTCCCTACATTCCATAACCTCTGCTTCTTCCCATCAAAACCACCTTACACACAGGCCAAGCGTCCTGTTCCTCTGTTCACCTTGCAGCCTTCGACTGACTGTCATCAACAGCTTGACAGCTTGACCGAGACCTGGCCCTGACCGCATTGGCACCTACTCGACGTTGGTGTTCACGACTTACGACTTCTGTATAGAGGGAAGGATAACACGCCAGAGGCGCATCGATTTGATACGATTCTTGGGAACGCCCAGTGACCTATCCGATATCACGTTCGAGTCCGCAGAAGAGGCGCAGCTGGAGGATCGTCGTACTTGAAGGAAAGGCTGGACTCGACTCGACACTACTGCGTCTGACCGAAGGCACGGCGACTTCGACTCCAACGGTAGACACGACGTCCATCTCACTTACACGTCAACGCCCATGCTTCTCTACGCCGCCAGCCAGAAGCAGTCATGGTAATATTGAGCGATCATTCCATGCGAGCCAGTCTTCAAGTGGCCCCCCTCAAGCTTCATAAATCCCGGTCCTGCGATGCGCTGTCCTCAAAGCAGGACGCCTACAGCTCCAACCCGTACTCAACAACACACATGACGCCACCCGCGACACCCAATGGCTCGCAGGAAGATCTGGCTGCGCAGATGCCGCCGCCAGTATTCCACAACTTCCTGCGGGCCTTCTACCCTTTCCACCCGAGCTATGCCATGACCGATTCGAGCGTCACCCTGCCATTGAATGAGGGCGACGTCATCCTCGTGCACTCTATCCACACCAACGGATGGGCCGATGGCACTTTGTTGGTATCGGGCGCAAGAGGATGGCTTCCTACCAACTACTGCGAAGCATACGATCCCGAGGAGATGCGGAATCTTTTGAAAGCGTTGCTCAACTTCTGGGACTTGCTGCGCAGCACTTCAGTCAATGACAGCGAAATCTTTGGAAACCAGGAGTTCATGAAGGGCATCATAGCTGGAGTGCGATATCTTCTGGTAAGCCTGGCCTGTGACCGGACCTAAGTATTTGATTGACTAATGCGCTCCAGGAACGCACACACTGCTTGACGAAAGAATCAGCCATCATCACCCGCAACGAAAACCTGAGGCGCGTGAGGAAAACATTACTCTCCGAGCTGTCAGCTCTAGTGAAGACAGCAAAGAGGCTACAGGAAGCGCAACGGGGTGTCTTGAACCCCCCGGAGGACATTAACGACATCATCGACGAGATGATTCTCAAGGCCTTCAAGATCGTAACCAAAGGCGTGCGGTTCTTCGATATCCTCGAAGACGATCGACGACAACGAGCCCCCGCGGTGACCGTCATGGCGACCGTCATCGAAGAATCCTACGTCCCCCCGACGCCACCTGCAGATCAGACTAAGTTTGATGGAAACCACCATGCAGCGTCCCGAATGACAAACGGAACACCCGCCAGGGGTGCGCCATCTCAGCCGGTCGCCGACGCAGGACAGCCGTCTCCCGCACCAGCGAACAGGCGTCTGTCGACTCTTTATTCGCCTGCCAGCCCCAACTCGCACCGATTGTCTCAGAATGTCCAACGGCTGTCATCTACCATTTCGCATCGCGTCTCATTGGCTGGGCCTTCGCCGCTGTCAAGACCGCATCACCTTGTCTCGGAACGCCTCAACAAGAGCCACGACACCTTTTTGTCCCACCTGGGCTCGTTCATTGGTCGTCTGCATCTGCAGTCTCAATCTCGGCCGGAATTGGCGTTCGCCATCAAACTCTCAGCCACCTCCGGCGGTGAGCTTTTGGCCGTCGTCGATGTTGTTTGTGGACATGGCACCAGCTCGCCCATGCTTTCTCGCGCTCGGGAAATGATGTTCGAGCGGATTCGAGAGTTGGTTTCGGCGGCAGGTCAGATCATCCGTCACGCAGTGTTGCAAGACGCCGACGTCCTTATGCCGCAGGACAACAGCCTCCTGCTAATGGCGGCAACTGGCTGCGTCAAGGCAGCAGGCGAGTGCGTGGCCAAGACTAAATGGGTGATTGAGCGCGTAGGCGACTTCGAGTGCGAGTTCGAGGCCGGTGAACTGGGCATCGACCTCAGCGTGTTGGACCTTGCTCCGGAACCTCATTACCGACGACCTTCTATCGCACCGTCTCTCGCGGAGACTGCAACGACTGAGGCGACTAGCGTCGCAGAGTCATTTAGGAGTACTGACTCTGTCATGTCTGTTGTGCCGCCAACGCCCCACCGACTTGTCGCGAACGACAAGCCGTTGCCTCAACTTCCGCAGACCGAATCACCGGCAGATGAAGACTCTCGACGCCGTCGGCCATCATCTCAAAACTCTACCGGGCAAAATTCACGACCGTCCTCTCTTACCGATGACAACAACTCGAGCGTTGCGTCCTCCATTTCGTCAATTCGCCCGACTCTACCTCCACTTCCCAAACTCTCTACATCCCTGCTTCAGGGAGATGAGTATGGCTCCATTGAAAACGTGGGCAACGAAAGTGACTACTCCAATCGCTCTCGTGTTGACAGCATGACGGCCTCCAGTGCTGGCAGCAGCAGCACATACCTAAGCCGGGACTCGGAAGCAAGCCTTGTTTCCCAAACCTCCACTCGTGCGACAACTCCGGACCACACCTTGGCCCCGAAGAGCAAGCCGTCCATGTCAGAGCTTAGCAACGCTGGCAGTGCGAACAACCATGAGGAGGTTGACGATCTCGAGTCGAGGATGCTCGAGAAGACCTACGCTCACGAGCTCATGTTCAACAAGGAGGGCCAGGTTACCGGCGGCTCCCTCGCCGCCCTCGTCGAGCGCCTGACAACGCACGAGTCTACTCCCGACGCGACCTTCGTTTCGACATTTTATCTTACGTTCCGTTTGTTCTGCAGCCCCATCAAGTTGGCTGAGACTCTAATTGACCGATTCCACTACGTTGCCGAGGCACCTCACATGGCTGGCCCGGTCCGACTGCGCGTTTACAATGCCTTCAAGGGATGGCTCGAGTCTCACTGGCGTGACGAGACCGATCGCGAAGCTCTTAGTCTGATTGAGCCTTTCGCTGAGTTTGAGCTCGGAGGTGTGCTTCCTTCTGCAGGCCGGCGTCTTCTGGAGTTGGCTCAGCGCGTCTCGAACGACGGCTCGCTCGTTCCTAGACTGGTGTCTTCCATGGGCAAGACCAACACGTCAATCGCCCAATATGTTCCGGCCGACACACCACACCCACAGGTGGCCATCACCAAGAGCCAATTCTCGCATCTCTTGTCCTGGAAGAACGGCGGCAGCAACCCTACAATTCTCGATTTCGACCCACTCGAGATTGCTCGTCAGCTCACCATTAAGCAGATGAACATCTTCTGCTCGATCATGCCCGAGGAGCTGCTCGCATCGCAGTGGATGAAGAAGGGCGGTGTTAACGCTCCCAACGTCAAGGCCATGTCTGCGTTGTCCACCGATCTGTCCAACCTGGTTGCGGAGACCATTCTCCAGTACTCCGAGGTCAAGAAGCGAGCTGCGGTTATCAAGCAGTGGATCAAGGTTGCCCACCAATGCCTCGAGCTTCACAACTATGACGGTCTCATGGCCATTATCTGCAGCTTGAACAGCAGTACTATCAGCCGTCTCCGAAAGACTTGGGACGCTGTCTCTGTCAAGCGCCGCGAGATGCTCCGCACGCTCCAGGCGATTGTCGAGCCTGCCCAAAACAACAAGGTTCTTCGAACCCGTCTTCACGATCACGTCCCCCCTTGCTTGCCCTTCCTCGGCATGTATCTGACCGATTTGACGTTTGTTGATATCGGAAACCCCGCCACGAAGCAGATTCCCACTCTCAGTGGTGATGGCTGCGAGGAGAATGGTGGTGGCTTGACTGTGGTGAACTTCGACAAACACACCAGAACGGCGAAGATCATTGGTGAACTTCAGCGGTTCCAGATCCCATACCGACTCAACGAACTTCCTGAGATGCAGGACTGGATAACGGCTCAGATCGTCCGCCTGCGCGAGAGCGACCAAGGCAACGTCCAGGTCAGCTACTACCGCAAGAGTCTGCTGCTGGAGCCCCGCGAGTTGGCCATGCGTGCTCCGGTTGAGCCTCAGGCCAGCACCACGAGCAACACCCAGCAAAGCGCCAACCTCTTTGGCTGGATGAGCCGAGACCGTGGCGCGGCCACACCCACCCCGGCCTCTTGAAGACAATCTTCAACGGCAAACATCATTTCCACATTTCCCATGACATACGTACCCCCTTATTCTGCTTCTCTTTTGATACCCAATTTTTCTGTCCTCACTTTGGAGGTTTTATGTCCTGAACGACCTTTATCCCCATCATCACACCACACTCGGCGTTAATTTGCTTCTTGGCCCTGGTTGTCGGCCGGCCTGGGAGCCTTACTCGCGCAGACTTGCTACATTACTTGGATATTGGGATGAGTTTGGTCATCCTGTGTTACTGCAAGAGGTGGAAGCGTTGGACTTGGTCTCGTTGCGATTCACAAAGAATCCGCACAACATTCGCTCGGGCGTCTGTTCAAAGGGCCTTCTGCTCTCTTATGTACCCTAGTTTCGAAGATTTTGGATTACGGCCGGTGGGAAGGGGAGTTGTAGGCATACCAGTTGCGGCCATCGAGCCCATTATCTTGGACATCGGGCTCAAATGAGCATGGGTGGCGGCGTCCAAAAGACCAAAAGTGTACACTGTATATGTAGGATAATTCTGTATACAGGTTTTGGGATGGTGAGGGACGGTAGATACCATGAATAGGATACAAATCCTGATGATCAAACATTATTTCGCGCCATTACTATTCGCAAGTGACTAAGACGTTCACAGGGCTTCCTGTGCTGCCCACACGTAAGTATTGCACCGATGATGCCGGGAAGGCCACCTTCACTGTGAATCGCATGACAGCAGCTATCATCAAATCGCTAACGGGCGCTTGGATTGCTCAAATATCGCGCAGTAATCAACATCGACCGGCCACCCAGTCGGTAAACACGCATAGTCTTATGGAACGTATATGCGAGGAATCTCGCCATCCTTAGGCTTGTACTTCCCCTGGGCCACACGCTTGTTATGCACGGTGTATATGACGACCTGCAACATCGCGAACGCCATGCCGACCGATACCATGATGATCTGCGTTCGCAAACCTGTTTGATAGCTGAACCGCCCGTCAGCGGGTAATCACGAGTCGAGCCGGGCTGGGTATCACTTACAAGGGTGTATCGTTTGCTCGATAATACTGCGTCCCGACCATCAGTCCGCTGATGGACAACATAACCCACATCCTGTCGAGAATATCGGTGAGCACAAATTCGTATACTGCTATTGTCGCCATCGTGATCAACCTGATGAGCACCAGACTGAACTTACGCGATACTGATGCTCCGCTCCCCCGGCTCGCGGCAGTTGAGCTGCACCCACGAGTTGTGCACGGGGTGGTACCCCACGGCGAAGCTGTTCACGGCCGTCCACAGGCCCCAGCGGGACCACTTGCCGACGTGGGGGTGCGCGGTGCGGGCCACGACGAGGACGACGAGGTAGCAGAGGTGCGCGCCGATGACGGAGTAGCCGCGCTTGTTGGTCTTGTCGCTGATCCAGGCGACGACGAAGACGACGAGGAGGGCGAGGGAGGCGCCGACTGCGGCGAGGGCGTTGGCTTGGATGCGGTTGAAGCCGAGGTTCCTGTTGCTGTCAGTATCCAGCTGTCCTTACCTTGGGGACCTGTCATGTTGAAGTCGGTCTGGACTTACATGATGATGGTCGGCGTGTACGTCGTCAGGGGACTCCACGTGGAGAAGACGGCGAAGCTGCTGAGGAAGTGCGGCCAGCGCTGCCAGTGCAGCAGGGTCTTGAGGACCAGCTTCGGCGGGATGCGCATGCCCTGGGCCCCGTGCCGCTTTTCGCTGTCGTCGAGCTCGAGCCGGCGTTGGAGGATCGCCCGCTCGGTGCCCTTGAACCGGATGAGACCCGGGCTCAGGAGCGGGTCGGGGGTGTCTGGGGACCCGGGGAGGAGGAAGAGGAGGGAGAGGCCGACGAAGATTGTGAAGACGCCTTCGACTGCGTGGTGTCAGCTCATTTGCATTCTGAGGGCTCAGGGCTCACTCATTCGAAAGATAGGATGACATCGTGAACTCTGACACGAAAAAGGAGGGAAGTGAGACACTCACTCAAGAACAGCCACTGCCAGCCCCTCAACCCCCGCGAGCCCTCCAACTTGAGAATACCGGATGCTAACACCGGGCTGAGCGCATTACCGCTGAACATGCCGAAGAAGAAGACGGCCACGCGCTTCGCGAGTTCCTGCTTCCTATACCACGTCGAAAGGGTGTAGCAGGCGCCGGGTATGTAGCCCGCTTCGGCGAGGCCGAGGGCCATGCGCGATGCCAGGAAGCCCTTTCGATCTTTCAGGAACACTTGGAGAGTTGCTACCAGGCCGAAGAGCATGACCTGAGCTGATATGTACTTGCGAGGACCGACCTGAGGTTTGTGTTTGGAGTTAGTTTGCTCTCCCGGCTGAGTAGAACAGAAAGAACTAGGGAATGCTTCTAACCTTCTGGAGCAGCATGTTGGAGGGGATCTCGAGGATGACGATTCCGAGGAACATGAGCTGGTTCCCTAGGTTGATGGTATCCTGGTTGACTCCAATGTCTTTGGCGAAACCACCCGTCAGGGCGCTGGCGAGGTTCATCCGGTCTAGCTGGAACACGAGCAATCCCAAGTACAATAGCGGCAATACCGACGTATCGATTCTGGGCGGGAGGGGCTTGATTAGAATGTGGGCGTGTGGTTGTGACACTTGACTCACTTTCTTCTGGCTCGCGCCTCCTCATAATCTGTCCAGTCTGGTTCGGACGCTGGTGTGGTCTGGCCGGGTGAGTCGGTAAACTGAAGCTCTTGCTTCGAGTCCGCCATCTTGTCAGATGTTGATCCGTGAGATGTTCACGATTCTCTAGAATGCGAACGTAGCACAGGCCACGAGCGGCCCGCTCAATGGCTACAGCCACATTAACTACTCAACGGACCTGCAGAAACACGCCAGTCTTCTCCCGCTTCGGCATTTGCTGCCCATAGGCTTATCATCTTGCATCATCTCTCGGCTGGCGTTACATCCCAGGAACTCCATTCCCAGAACTCGCAAATCAGAGGCATCCCGCCGCAAACCTTCGACGAGCGTCCCTCTTCGACCCCAGCCGTGCCGCGCCCTTGGGACCATCACGCAATCGCCCCCAAACACCCACTCAGCATCGTCCGCGGCCGGCCTGGCAGGGCTAATCGGGTTAGACACCGCGTGCGCGCCGGCGCCGTTGAAGATGTACTCCACTTTTTCGCCGGACCTCGACGTGCGTTCCCCTCGAGCACGCCATCTTTCACCATCGCGCCAAGACAAACGCCGACGTGTTATTCGATGGGTTGTCGGGATTTGAACTCAACACGAGATGGGTTGGCACCATTCGTCTCGGTTCATCATTGGACGATGTCGATACTGGCTGCGAGATTGACGTTGTCTTTCGTCTGAACCCGCCTCCGCGTCTCCGGGCCCTTGTTCAAGATTGGATGTTAATTAAAGTCGTGTCCAAGCTCCAAGCTTCGGGGGAGCTTGTCGGGTTCCTGGGTTCGATTGTTGTTCGGATGCCGCTGGTGTATGAATGGTACTTCTTTAGCCTCCCATCTCAGTTGTTGTATGTCGGCGGCAACCGCATTCTAGTCCTTTTTTTCCAACGTTATTCTTTCGCAAAGATCACGAAGCAACATGAAAGCTGCAAAAAGGGTGGCAGTTATTGGGGCTGGCCCGGCCGGCGCCATCACAATCGACGCGCTCGCTCAGGAAAAGGCATTTGACGTCATCAGAGTATTCGAGCGCCGAGAGGCGCCGGGAGGGTGCTGGTAAGTACTTGTCTCTTCTTCCAACTCGCAGCTTTCTCTGATGCCCATCTGCTAATACTCACAGGCTTGGTGATGAGAAACCGCCGCCAATCCTGAAACCCGATGAACTTGATCGCCTCGCCTCTCGCACTGCGGATGAACCTCACCCCTTAATCCCATCCACATTACCTGCCCAGGTAGCCCGGTCTCCTCATCCACGCTACGATGAATCGACGGTATACCCATACCTCGAGACCAACGTCGACTTTCTACCGATGCAGTTCTCACAAGAGCCTTTCCCAAAGGAGCAGTCGGAATGGTCCGTCTCGGTACACGGGGCCGACACCCCGTTCCGACACTGGTCGCTCGTGCAGGACTACGTGCGCTCCCTTGTCGAAAGACGAGGATATCAGGACTTGGTGGAGTACAACACCACGGTGGAAAACGCCGAGAAGGACGACGAGCGCGGGGAGTGGACTTTGACGTTGCGCAGGCAGGGTGAGAGGACCGACTACTGGTGGCAGGAGACGTTCGACGCCGTGATCGTCGCGTCAGGCCATTATAGCGTGCCGTACATCCCCCTCATTGATGGGTTATCCGAGTTTGCGGAGAAGAACCCGGGAAGCGTGATACATAGCAAGCACTTCCGCGGTCGAGACGCGTACGAGGGCAAGGTGAGACAGCGACGAGCGACTTCGCGCGTGCCTATGATTCCTACGAATGCTGACGTGTGAGATTCGCAGAGAGTCGTGGTGGTGGGCGCATCGGTTTCCGCCGCCGACATCGCCTTCGACCTGACCTCAGTCGCCCAGGCGCCGGTCCACGCCGTCACCGTCGGGCATAACTTCAACGGCTACTTTGGCGGGGAAGCCTTCAACCACCCCCTAATCTCCAAGGTCCCGTCCATCTCGCGCATCGAGCCGCAGAGCCGCACCGTGCACTTCGTGGACGGCACGTCCGTCTCAGACGTCGACAACATCATCTTCGGAACAGGCTACACCTGGACCCTTCCGTTCCTTAAGCCGAGTCCTTCATCGCCCGCGCGACGGCTTCCTGCACCGAGGAACAACCGCGTCCCGGATTTGTACCTCCACGTGGTCTACCGGGAGGACCCCACGCTACTCTTCGTGGGCGCGGTGAACGCGGGCCTGACGTTTAAGATCTTTGAGTGGCAGGCCGTGCTCGCGGCCAGGTTACTTGCCGGACGCGTCGAGTTGCCCCCGGTGGAGGAGCAGAAGCGGTGGGAAGACGATCGTGTGGCGAAACGGGGTGACGGTCCCAAGTTTGCTCTTGTCTTTCCTGACTTTGAGGAGTATTTTGAAACCGTGAGAAAGCTCGCGGGCCCGGCGGACGGGAGGGGTAGAGAGCTGCCGCCTTTCAACAAGTACTGGTTCGAGAGGTTCATGGCCGGGCATGAACGTCGAAAAGATATGTGGAAGCGGCTTAATGCTGAAGCGAGGGAGGCTTTGAGTGGGAAGTCAGCCGGAGAGGCTATTCGGGCAAGACTGTAGATATGTTCAAGTGAGTAAAGCCTTCCATGTCTCTAGGGTCTCTACAACAATGGGTTTTGGATGAATGCGATCGCCATGCCATAAGTCATAGGCTATGAAGATTAGGGACTAGATGTTAGTTGAGGTGGTGATGAGGATGATGATGACAATGTTCCAGTTCAGGGGCCTACAACGACAATCATCTCAAGCAAGCAATTTCTCACAAGAGACGACTTAGACTTGTGTGTGTGGACCTCTCGTCACTGCTACCTACGCAGTATTCTATTAAGAAGGTCTGTTGAAGCTAACGATTGGGTTCTTCAGAATTCGGTGCTACATGAAGAAAGTCATGATCAGGCGGAAGAAACGGCACTTTTCCCCCTATAGTCTAAGCAGCATAGCAAGTGGAACGGATCTTCTCGTCAGCCCCTTTATGCAGGTACAGATATAAGCTCAAGACAAGCCACTGTTGTACACCGTTCCTCTGCGCCCACCTAAATGTGCCATGTGTCTTGTGAAATCCGAACGCTCACCCCGTGCCGCAGATTATGGCTAACTGATCTGACAGCATCCAGGATCAACAGTCGGGATGAATCAGCGAAGAAGAACGACCATCACGACACAAACTATGACTCTCCAACATGACCGTCACAAAACTCGGTCGTACGCTTCAGCGAGCATCCGTTCTGTCTATTTGTAGCCAGCTTTCCACAGGACAGCCGCCCCCGCCCCCGCCCCCGCATGTTACAATGACTGGCAAGCTTATCCTTGGAACCGGACCTTACTCCGTGCGACTGGGGCGTTGGCGTCAAGCGTGGCTACTCTGCGTTACACGTACTTTGCTCCCTCGCGATCCTTCGGCAGGCAGACAAGACAGAAACAAGTGCGAAGTCGACTTCCCTCGCTCGTGGGCTCGGAAGAATGGAGAGCAGGAGATATGTCGGTGTGTTTTGTGGCATACACACTCGAATGAAGACTTTCCGTGCGACCTGGGTTGAAGAAAGAAGGATTTGATGTCATGTATGCAGGGCTGATGCTGTGGAACGGAGATGGAAGTAGATTCTATGACTGGTGCCTGGTTGCTGGCACCGCCCTGATGTCAACCTGGGGATGGAGGACAGATTCAGGTGTGAAGCTATTCATATCTTGTGAGAACTTCACGATGCTTCAACTTGGCGTATATATGAAGGCTCTGTCTCTATTGATATCAGTGCTTTCTGCACATTCACAACGGCAAGCATCACAAGATTTCTTATCTTCTCTGTCCTTGATTCCATTTCCTTTGTGCTTTCCCTTGGCTCATCACAGTTGTCCATATTTCATTTCACTTACATTCCTCTATCGCACATCCTCGAAGTCGGATGACATTACAGCCATACATCAATCATGTCTTCGCAGGCTTCAGCAAGAATTCTCCCTAATCGCAGTATCTCTAGAGGGGCCCCCCTAGCAGCAGACATCGACACCATCCAGTTTCCACGCGCATGGGAAACAGCCTGGGAAGCGGCGGGCCAGTCCAACTTCGAGCGGGCGCAAGCCTTCCTCTTCTTCTACCGCGGCGACGACGCCGCCGTGAACAGCGAACTCCGTCTTATCGCATCGAACCCCAAACACCAAGACGTCGCGTCACTGGCCGCCGAAGTCCAACAGCGCGTCTTCAACAACCGCCACGCCAGTTTCGACGCGAGCCCGCTGCTGCAATGGATGCGCTTCATCTTGATCAAGAGCCAACTACCGGCTTCCTCAAAGACCAAACCGGTGCGGGATTTCTTCTTCGACCCCTCCATCGCCCGCAACCTCCCCCAACCCCCCGACGATCCCGCCGAGTACGAATACCCCGCCGCCCCCCTCAACATCATGATCGTCGGCGGCGGTCCCACGGGTCTCGCATCGGCCATCGCGCTGGCGGAAAAGGCGGGCTCAAAAGTCGAAGTCCACGTCCACGAGGGCCGGTGGGCTCGGCAGCCCGGTAGTTCCTTCGTGAGCTACCCGCCGGACGCCCGCCGCCGCGACCAGGTCGTCACGCTGCAGGACTCCGTCACGGGCCTCATGAGCGAGGAGACGAGGCAGGCCGTGTTCGGGGGCTGTCCCGAGAGGGTCTGGCCGGGCTCCAGCAACCTCCAGATCCGCAAGCTCGAGGACGGGCTGCTCCGGCGCGCGCAGGACAGCCGGTTCCGCGATATCATCTTCCTGCACGCGAGCCGGGTTCGGAGGGAGGAGTTGGCGCGGTATGGGGACTTTCATATCTTGTTGGGTGCTGATGGCGCCGGGTCTTGGGTGAGGGGTTCGTGCTTTGAGGGTCAGGACGAAGTTGTCGGGAAGAGTTATGCTCTTGGTGTGGCTTTTGATAGGCCGCGAGGTCTTCCCCGACCCCAGCCCATCAACGTCTTCCTGACAATGGCCCAGACGCGGTATCTCCTCAACGCCAGCGACTTCGACGGCACGGGGTACCTCAACATGCAGCTGACGGAAGCCGAATGGGACCAAATGGTCTCTGTAGACGGGCACCCATGCACTTTCGGCAAGCCCAGCTGTCTGGAGACAAACGGCCGTCTGCCCACGGGGTTTCAGGAGCATCAGGTCTTCGCACCTTCTCGCGACCCGGACAGCCCGCTCTGGAAGGCGATTCTCGACGGTCTGGAACTGTACGGGTTCAAAGAATGCGACGTGACCACCATCGTCCGAATCCCCATCGTCGTCCGACGGATCAACAAAGCAGTCGAGCAACTACCCATTCTCGACTCGTCCGCTCTGCAAAGACCTCACGGCCTTGTAGCCTTAGCCGGCGACGCCGCGATGACAGTCCACTTCTGGCCCGGCCGGGGCGCGAACTCAGGAATCAAGGCCGGGATAGCCTGGGCCGACGAAGTCGCCCAGGCGCTGGGTCGAGGGCATCTCGTGGGTCTGCGGACGGGCGCCCTCGGCATGTACGAGGCCTTTATGCAGAAGCTCCAGCAGCGCGAGCACGGCGGTCGCAGCTTGCCCATCGTGAAGCAGTCGGGGGACCCGGAGATGATGGCCTGGCTGATGCGCAACGCGCGACTGATCCCCCGGCACGTGGCGATGGAGTGGCTCATGGGCACGATGTGGCGTGACGCGGTGCGGATTGAGCAACGGCCTGACTGGGCTTTTGAGCGAGTCGGTAACCTTGAGCCCCAGCTGCGGAGGATTATGGAGACAATGGATGCCGTCACGCTGCAGGAGATGGCGGCCACGTTTCCCTGGCCGACTCGAGAGATGGCGGGGGCTGAGGTCATGCCGATGAGGTCTGTCGTAGATGCGTGTCTTGGAGGCGGCAAGCCGAAGGAGATGCTGAAGTTGGAGAAGGATGCGAGGGCTAGAAAGCAGGAGAAAAGAAAGAAAGCGACGAGCGCGGACGCTGTCATGTCCGGGGCCGATCTTTCTCCTGCCTTCTTGGTTACCATGGCGGGAGCTGCTAAGCCCGCGGCGCGGCCGAGATCGTGGCGGCCTTTCGGCTTCAGCAGAACGACGTAGACTACTCAGGGCTCAGCTAAGGTATTCCTTGGACGGGGGAGAGACCTCATTTGGTTGACTTATTAAGGGCAAACGATCGTGGAGAGTTTGGCATCGCCTGGTTTGCATGCATGGCGTAGCGGTGATAGCATACGTTTGGCGTTGGTTGTGTGTTCTTTCGTAGTGAGAGTTTGGAAACTGCATTGGAGGTATTATTATTTGGAGTTTGGAGTCTATACTGCTCCAAGTTTATTTCGTTGAAGAATATCTTTGTTGCGTTACGTTGGTGTCCTTAAAATTGCTGGATCTTCAGAGAACTATTGAGCAGTTGTTGGGTCAAGATTTTTTGAATACACTGTTGGCTGGTTGCTGTATAAACAAAGGACGACGACGACGACGACGACGACGACGACGACAACAACAACGAGGATAACAAGGACAAGGATAGCAGCAACAACAGCAGCAAGAACGACGACACCAAGTATAACAGTAACAGTCGAAACATTCAACGACGAGGGTATCATTACTAGAACAAGGAATCACTCTATCACCATTCACCAAGTATCCGCATCCAGCGCAGAATCCCAAGGTGAAGAGTCCCAAGACATGTCCCTCAAATCCTCCTCAATCTCACTCATGCCCTTCCTCCTGCCCATACCCTTCTTCTTGCCAGCCCACTTCACCTCCTTCTTCACAACGACCTTCCTCGGAGTCTTCGGCGCAGCCTGTGATACCTCCTCAACCACCTCCTTGACGTCGACCACCGCCTTGACGTCCTCGACTACCTCCTCCCTCACGATCCTCTTCCTTCCCATCCGCCTCTCCTCCTTCGCAACCTCAGCCGCCCGCCGAATCTCGGCCTTCTCTGCTCGCTTCTCCTTCCTCTCCGCGTCCCTCATCTCGTGGGCCCTATACCTCCTCTCATCAAGGACCCTCTCCCTCTCCCTGGCCTCGTCATCGACCACCTGCTCCTTCCTCAAAACCCTCTTCTGCCTCATCTCCTCCAGCACCTTCTCCTCCGCAGCCGACGCCTTCCCCTCCTTCCTCAACTTCCAGTCCCTCGCCATACTCCTTCTCGCCAAAGCCACTCTCGTCTCCTTGCTCTGCGGCACCCCCATGAAATAAAGCCTCGCCGTCTTCCCATCCGGCAACTCCACCTCGAACTCCGAATTCCGATCATTCAGCTCCGCGCTCACGGCCCCGGAGTGCAAGTCCAACTCCTCGGCGTCCTCGCACCCCAGAAACCTCTCCCTCGCAATCCTCCCCACGTACACGCAAAAGTTCGTCGTGAACCCCCTGTGTAGCTCCTTAGCACTCTTCGCCGAGCCGTCGAGACTCCCGAGATCGACCTCCTGCGCGGCGCGCACGAACACCGTCTCCCGGTGGATCGTGGTGCACCCCCTGAAGCTGCCCCAGTGCCTGTCATACAACACGCTGCGGTCCTTGAAGGTGCCCACGTACGTGAGCTCCAGCCTCCGCAGCCCTGGCATCCGCGTCTTCAGACGGCCCAGGTCGGTGGCGTGCTTCCTGACGACCTCGGGCCGGATGGCGAGGTCCCTCATGCCCGCGCACTGGTTCAGCACGCCCCAGAACTGGCACCAGCGCTGGATGGGCTGCCAGACGTGTTCTTGCGTGAAGAGGTTGAAGGAGGTCTTGACGGCGGTCTCGGCCGGTTGCGGGCTGGCGATGTAGACGCTGCGGAGCATCTTCCTGTAGGACTCCCTGAGCCTGGAGCCCACGCAGATGGTGAACTCGTCGGAGGACTCGAAGACGAATGTGTTGTGGCGCCAGAAGATGGGTGCTGCTTCGCGGTGGATTTGTCGGCAGGCCAACAGCAGGTTCAGCATCGTCCGCTTGGCGCAGCGGCAGTCGGAGGGAAGGTCCCAGGGATACAGCATCGGCTCTGCGATCTCGACGGTCGGGTCGAGGACCATGCTGGCAGCGGGCTCGATGGAGGTGCGGGTGTGGCCGTGGCGGAAGTGGCAGTCCGGGTTATGCTGGAGGTAGTGCTTCGCCGGGGTGACCAGAGCGGCATGGTAAATCTGGTTGCGGAGTTCGAGGGGGAGACCGAGGAGGGTTTTGGCGGAGGAATGGTATTGGTTTGGAGGGAGGGCGATGGTGAGGGTTAGGCTGGCCATTTGGACGTTGTTGATGATGATGGCTTTGGTGGCGATGATGTCGATTGATGGATGCAGCGGTTGTCGAGACCTGGCCTGTGGTCTGGACAGCGGTGCGAGCTGGGTCGCAATATTTGTCCTTGAAGTTCGAATTAATTGCCTGAATTGAAAGGATGGAGGGAATGCGGCACGGGATTTCAGCTCGACTTAAAGAGCTCAAAGAGCAGCTCATGAAGGACCTGGGCGCTTCGTCGTGCATTCAAGAAACAGGCATCATTTGCGGAGGCAGCCGCCGGGTGACTCACCCCACCGAATTCCAAGGCCAAAAAGCGCACTGAGGCCTACGGTGCCTGGCAGTCAGCCTCCAAACACACAGACGGCTAGGAATCCGACCAACTGGCGACGGATTGCAGATGGAGCTTGATTTGGGGAAATTCGGTTGGCAAGCGGCTTGCAGATTGAGGCTCAGTGAGGCGGTGCTGACGGCGGCGTCGCCGGCCAGTACGCTGCGGACGCTGAGCTTCTCCGCATTCTCGCTGCTTACCTGCATGGTCGTCTCACTGGCGTGGTCGCGAATTGACTTTCTTGGGGCTGGTGACGTTATGGGGTATGTGAAGTGTATTAGGTCTGCTATGTAGTTTCTGTTGAGACTTGAGGTCGTTGATGTCGCGTCATGTCAATGTGGAAAAAGGTCAAAGACGGCGCCAAACTCCTTGAAATCAGGCAGGATTGCTCATGTTTTCCGGCAATCGTACTTAGCCCTGCGCGACGACATCACGGATGATCTTGGTGCAGTCGACCGGGTTCTCGAAGACAAACCAGTCGTCGCGTGGAATGTTCTTGAATGCCTTCTCAAAGCGCTCTGGTTCGTTCTTTGCCGAGATTCCGACTGCCGCGATGTCGGCCACCTTGCGGATGAGGATGAGCTTGACCCAGCCCTTGAATTCGCGGTAGCTACAGATGTTAGTCGAGCGCTGGAGCTGGAGGGCAGATTGTAACTTACATGTCGCCGTACGCCTCGGGATCGGATTGTGTCGAGTCGCCGATGAGAATCATCTTCCTCTTTGGAAGCCATTCGTGCACCTTCTTCATCCGTTGCACCTTGTACTCCTCAGTCGCCAAGGTCAGCGCCGACAGCAGACCGGCGAGGGTCTTCCAGCTCGAGTCGCGGAGAATTATGGTTCCTGGAGGATAGTACTTGTCGCGGAACTCTTTCAGGAACGGGTACAGATTGTACGGAGACGCGGAGAGGTAGAACCACGGGGACTCCTTGGGCAGAAGCGCTGCAATACTCCTGTACAGCTCCGGCATGCCTTCAATGGGTGTCGGCTCGTTGACGAATGTCTCGCGGAGAATGCCGACCGGGTCGCTCGTCTGTGTCAGCTTGATGGTGTCGTCGACATCTAGGCCTGTTAGCGCCTGCCCCTGCGTGAGCGAACGACCGTAGGCATACCTGAGATGATGGCCCATCCCTCTGGTGCTGCAAAATAGGTCTGCATCTTGAGCAGCCCCGACGTGCCCTGCGGAACCATGGCGCTTGACGCAAGCATCGTTCCCGGCTGCTGCTCGTGGATCTTCAGCGTGTCGGTGGTGATGCCGTTGGACGCAGACGGGCCCAGCTTGAGCTCCTTCTTCTGTTGCACCACCCGAAGATGACGAGCCGGCTGGACATCCCACAGGAACGGCAGTATCCTCTCTTCAATGGTCTTGAAATCCTCCGAATCGTCCGCAATGCCCAGCTTTTTCGCGACGCCCTGCACGATATCGACGACCTTGCATTTGGGCTCTCTCTCGAAGACGGCCGCAACGAACTCGGCCTGCCAGCTGCCCAGGCGCGAGGGCTTATAGGCGGTGTTGTCGAGCAGCCAGACGATGTCGTCCTCGGTCACGGGTCGGCCCCATGGGTTGTAGCTGCCGAGATGCGACAGCAGACCGCTGGCGGTGAAGGCGGCGGACTGGAGGGTCGGGACGGTGGGGTTTGGAAGCTCGGCCTCGACGTCGTCGAAGCGACGCTCTGCGCGGGTTTGTTTCTGCATTTCGTCTGCGTATGACGCCGGTTTCTTGGAATCGTCTTGAGCACCCATGATTGCGACGGCGTCGATAATCGGTACTTATGCGATTGAGCGTGTCTGCCTTTGTCGGTCTATCGAGTTCGCCTCCTGCCGGTCACTTGGATCAAGAACAGAAGTGTGACTAGATTTCGGTGTTATTGGTGCCTTGGCGACGAAGTGGTTGGTAGGCTGACTGTTCAGGGCTGAAAGAAACAGTGTCGATAGGAAGCTGTTCCTGGTTGAATGGGGCTCGTAATAGAGAGAAGAGTGAGATGTAGGGAGGCAGGCTGTATGATGGAGGGTACTCTGTACGACTACTGGCGGTGCGGCGAGAGTAGGTAGGTGTCGAGTCGTGTCTCAGCCGAAGCAGCTGGCGCTGGAGCTGTATGGGCGACCATGGTGCCAGTCAGTCGCAGAAGGCAAGGCAAGGCGAAGGCATGGCCCGTCAGATGCATTATGTCAGAGCTAGACGGGTTGGCTGCATCGTCTGTGTGGGAGGAGCCCGTGACATGGTTTAGGGCGAGCTGTGACAGGTCGACTATCAGATGGTCTTTGGCAAGTGGTCGCAGGGCGTCTTGGCTGAAATACGCCCACACAGACACAGGTCCTCTCCTCTCGTGACTGGGTAGCCATGACTGGCCGATGACGATGGTCAGGATCTGCTGCAGGCGAACGTGTGTCGGAGGCGTAAGGAAATGGACGCGGAGGGGAAAGATGGAGGGGTGAAAGAGCAGGCACCTCACCTAGGTAGGCGGGGGCGGGAGGCATCCGGGACGGGGACGCCCTGGTTCCATTCGTTCTTGCCCTGCAAAAATAACCCGACCTCCGATTGGGTTGCTGCGAAGTGGGGTCACCCGATGAACTGCCGCCTCTTTTCGGCCAATGGAAAATCAGTCGCAAAAAGACAGCCTTTTAAGCTTAGCTGTCCAACATGAGACCAACTCAACTGGAAAAAATAACATGCAAAGAAGCCGATGGACATCATTGCAGTCATGCAGTCAAATACAAAAAGATATTCGGGTTCTTGGTCAGAATGACAAAAAGATGTCCTCGGAGAGGCTCGAACTCTCGACCTTTGGATGTCTCTGCCTTCAGACAGGGTCATATTGATAGATAATATGAGACCAACGCTCTACCGACTGAGCCACGAAGACTGGTTGTTGTGGCTGAGGCAAATAAACCTGCATATGGACCATCCCCACTCTCATGGTCAGTCTGGCATTTCCGGTCCTACATGAATTCCAGATGAGACTCATTCACAATTCTCACAGAAAGTTTGCGGCTTTCAATTTTTATGGGAAGGGATCTGACACGACATGGACTCAGGGTTTGCATTTGCCCAGCGGCGAAGTTGGAGAGACGGAAGGCGTTTTAGGCGATGATGAATACCATGTGCACTGCGGCGATTGTTCTCCTTCCGCTTCAACTCTTCAAAAGCCACATAGAATGCGGATGTATTTGGTTTGTGCAATTAAGCTACGGGACGACAACATCCTACTTAGATTGAAAGTAGGGGATCGCGGAGGTGCATTTCGGCACTTCAAAGTATTGATGTTCGGAACGCAAACATAAGTCAAGGCCTATCAACAAGGCTACCAAAACATCGACAGAGATGAATGAGCCTTGAAAAAGGATGGAAGGCACCTGTAGTTAATCCTTTTTCTTTTCCAATCCTTCTTCCTTCATCTTCTCAAGTTCCACCTTCAGCTTCCTCACAAACGGCCCAGAGTCCCACTCCGGATCCCTCAGTATCTTCACCTCGCCGCCATGAAACTCAACAAGCTCCCTCATCATCATGTTCGAAATATCCAAATTCATCCAGCTGGGCCTCCAACAGGCCCCAGGCTCCCTCCCCCACGCGACGCCCCACCCCAGCATCTCCTCCGAGACCCTCTCCATCAACGCCAGCATCCTCGACCAGTCCCTCGCCGGCAGCTCGATGCCCGCCTCGTCGGCCAGCGCCGAGTGGCGTTCGCTCGCCTCCTTGGAGATGCGGAGCGTGTACAGGTCTCTGTCGACCAGGATGGTGCCGCCCTCCTCGACGCTCTGGCGGTCGGCGAAGAAGCAGAACGGACGCACGCAGTTGTCGTCCTCTGGGTTGGGTGTTGTTCTTTGCTTGTAGAGGCGCAGTAGGTCTGTTTCGACGCTGCCGTCGGTGTCGCAGGGCCAGGGGACGAGCGAGGGTCTGACCCAGCTGTCGTCGACATCTTCTTCTAGTGGCGCGGTGATGGCTGCCAGGTAGGTCTTTTCTTCTTCTGGGGTGAGCTTTGTGAGCATGTAGATCTTGATGTAGACCGGTTCGATGTCGCTAATGTCTGGTATGGGCATTGTTGCTGCGAGATTTTGGTCGGAAGGTGAGATGTGGTTGAGCGTAGAGTTGTGAGATGATGTTGAGAAAAGGCGTTGAGCTATAAGTTAGAGACAGGTTCAGCCTGTGCGTGAGACGTGACGACATGCAGCGGATCGTGATGCACAATTGATTGGATGGATTGGATGCAGCAAGGTCTGCATCTGGTGTCTTGGACCATTTGGTCAGTGAATGCGGCTGCTGCCTAGGAGGATCCTCCTCGATTTGGCGAATGTCTTGTATGTCCAGTCAGCTCAATTAGATTTCCCCCGACTTCATCCGGAGACAAAGGCAAAGAAGAAACAAGAACTTTGGATAGAAACATCGTCGCGATAAGTGAAATGATACAATGGTCGGAGCCGGAGGGAATACTCTGCTTCCGTGTTGTGGGGCCGGCCCGGGTCCGGAGTCCGGACTGTTGACTGTGCTCGCGTTTTCATGCATTCGCGGCAGCGTTGAATTCAGTACATCGAGGATTGCGAAGTTCACAGTGATTTCGAGACGAAACTTGTTATCATGATACGCAAAGAAATGCCATTGTCTATGGCTGTGGGATTGATGATCCCCGGTATCTACCTTGAACCTGAACGCCGTCCAGCCCTTTTCCTACGAGGGCGTTATGCCATGACGAATGCCGACCCGTCCCCAACGCCAGTGCCATGAAATGCCCAAAAGAATCCTATCACTTAATCCAACAAGCCTTCCAAAGAAAGACCTCAGCAAACGTCAAAGGTAGGGCACGCGGCATCGACGATCCTCAGCGCCTGGTTCGGCTTCAGCACGCGCTGGAAAGTTCTCCCGCCCCTCTTCTCATTCCTCTTCGCCACCTTCGCCACCGTCTTGCCCTCTCCCTCCTTCTCCTCAACCGCGTCGACGAATGCGAGCTTATCCCGCGTCTCGGCGGCAGCCACCTTGGCCGTGAACTCGATGGCCCGGTCGCTGAGGGTGAACGGCGTGTGGAAGAGGTAGTCGCCGGGCGCGTCGCACGCCGAGTATCCCCCCGCAGCCTCTGGCGTCTCGCCCGTCTTGGCCCAGATGCAAGGCGTCCACGTCTCTGTGAAGTAGACGCCCCTGTCCGGCTCCGACCTGTTTCCGCGGCCGTCCGAGTCCGCGAGTCCGTGCTGCCTCATCTGGCGCTCGATGATCGCCTCCCTCACGAACTCGGCCGTGTTGACCTGAGCAGCTACGCGTCTGGGGAACGGGACCCTCAGTGCGTCGCCCTCGGCGGGCGCCTCGAGACCTCTGGCAGCCCGGCGCAGCTTGGGAGAGGCGCGGTTGCTGGCGGGGATGTAGCCGAACTGGCCCCTCTCCTCGCCCTCCTTGGGCTCCGGGTCCGCCGTGCGCTTCCACTCGTCAATGCGGCCCCTGACCTCCGAGTTCCACCGGTCCGTGAGGTGCGCGGCGTTGGTCATCTGCTCGGCCTTGGTGTGCGGGCTCGGCGGGCTCTGCCGCTGGGCGTGCCATCCCGGGGTCAGGGAGATGTCGAACAGCTCCGGGATGATGACCCTGAAGTTCTCCACCTCGCGCTCGTCGATGTCGCCGCCTTCCCTGTCCATCTTGTTCAGCTTCTCGATGAGCTCGGCGTCCTGGTACGCCCAGAAGTCGGAGAAGGCCACCGAGTTCGTGTCCAACGACGCCTGGTAGACTCGCTCGACCTGCGCGAAGAGCGCGCGGATGGCGAGGTCGACGATGCCCTGGCCCAGATCGCGCGGGAGGGTGGCGAGGGTCCAGATGTCCCAGGTGCCGAAGGTGAAGACCCAGATGGTCTCCTTCGGGACGAGCCGGGGCTGCGGTTGGGAGAGGAACTGGTCGACCTGGGCGGTGAGGTCGGCGATGGCGTCGGCGAGGGGGTACTGATCGAGGATGAAGTCGTAGTTGTAGCCCGGGGCCTTCTCCTGGTCAAGTTCGCGGGTGACCTTCTCGATGGTTGCGTTGTAGTGGTCGTGCGCGGTGAGGGCTTGAGCTGGGAGGCTGGTCTGGGGGATGAAGGAGTGGTGGGATGAGCAGGCGAGCTAGAATTTTGTCAGTGACGGAAGAACGATGAGTCGATCAAAAAGACGGCTCACCTCCTTGCAGAGCATCTCAGTCCAGCCGCTGCCCTTTCCGTTCGAGGACGTCGCGATATCGGGCGATCCGAAGACGATCAACCTCACGCCGCCGGGCTGGCCGCTGCCGACATCACCGTCACTCTTGCTGCCGAAGGGCGACCACGTCCACCTCGATCCGGTCATGAGATCTGATGACGGCGAAGTGAAGAACTTGCCCAGGATAATGAGGCCGAATACGGCCAGGATGAGCTGGATGACCAGACGAGGGCCGCCGCGCAGGGCTCGTGTCGAGAGGAAGCCGAGAAGAGTCTTGACGCTCAAGTTGCAGTCGAAGGGGCTTCCGCCGGGGACGGATGGCGAGGAGGGCCGCCTCTCGTGGCGGGGGAGTTCTTTCGACATGACGCCGTTGTGATGATTGCCGTCGATTTTGATGTTGCTGACGATGTTGTTTGAGATAGGCGATGTTTCGACGGTTTTGATGTGGTGATGAAGCGCCCGTCAACCAAGCCGTTGTTTTCGTCGGTGTTCCTTCTTCGTTTGATTCTTCCTTGTTTACTTTTTTCAAAATACCAAAATACCAAAAGACCTTTTAAGCCTTGCTTAGTCGTCAAAGTCCACGATCCCTCAGTCCCGTGTGTTACCACCTCTGTTTCCGAATTGGGAATCCTGTCGTGTGCTGACGTTACAACGTTGATGGCGGCACCCTTTGCCAAGCCGGCAGTTTAAAGACACCAACAAAAGTCAATTGCTGCCAAGAAGGGTGGCTGGCCGGGCGGGAATGTTGGCCGGCGTCCGATGATCTCGAAGATTCTTCGTCGATTGTCTCTCTCCAAGAAATACAAGAACAGGCAAAACAAAGAAAAAAGGAGAAGAGCAAGTGGTCGTCACCGGGCGGCTAAAGGGTTTTGTTTAAGAACGAGAAAGAAGCAGGGAAAGACTACCAAGACTGGGAGGACGAAAGTGACTTCAAAAAGGTCACCCCTCAGACCCTCTTCTCAGTCCCGTCACTCGGCGCGCATCAGTCAGATCAGGGGGGGGGTCGGTTGTGGACTGGTGGTTCCTCCTCCAGTTTTTCGCAAACGGGATGTGGCCCAGCAGCGGTTACATATGTTCTGGGCGCAGTCTTGCTCTTCGGTAGGCTGAGAAACGTACGCACAAATGAATAGGAACTAACACCGTTACAGAGCCATCCCGGTCTCAATAACACGATGATTGGAGGGGGAGGGGCGGGAGGACGTTCGAAGCTTCGAACCGGCGCGGCGTCTGATGGCTCTGAGTTCGACGTTCTCTCGGTCTCTTCCCCCGGCGTCACCTAAAGCTGGGATGAACCGGGGACGAGGGAGGGGGCAGCCCAGTTGCGGGTTGTACGTTGTGTCATCCTTGCTTTGATGTGCAGTCGTCGTCAGCTCGGTGGGGACCGTCATCTGAACGGGGTCGAGCTGTGAAAGTCTGTGTGGCTGCGGCTGCTCTGCAAGCTTGCCCAGGGCGGGAAGCCGTCCTGTCTGCTGGGTTTGCTCGTGGTTCGCGGTAAGAAACTCAGGGGGTTGCAGAACGACGTACATCCGTTCAGGAGGCTGGCGGTACAATCAAGCGGTTGTTGTGTGCGTGTTGTGTGTTTCTGATCCCGTCGTAGCCGTGTTACATTTGCTGGGCGTTCCGCCGGCCCTGCGAGGCGCTTGTCTTACCCTCTTCGAAAAGGTCTGCTGCTGCATAACGATTCTAGTCTTCTTGCGGGCTTGGAGGGCTGAATGAAGACCGGGAATGATAAGACGCCTTATTGCCGTCCACGACAATACACGTCTACATACACAGTCTAGACAACTGGGGTGATGCAGGTGAGAGGTGGAAATGGCAATTCATCACGCACCTGGGATGCATCAACGGGTCATGACTTGTGAGTATCCACATCCCGAATGCTGCTGCTCCACGTCCGTTGCGGCGTCTCCATTCCCCGCCGGTCGTCATTCGTGTCAGTTGGGTTTGTTACGGTAACACATCACGCGAGCGCCTTCGCTGTTCAGAATCCGTAGTGTCCGTAAGGAAGACGCATCTTCAAGGTTTATTACCAAACCCAGAAGCAAAAGGTCCTCTCTTGTGTTCCCTCGCCAAAAAGTCTTAAGGTGCTTGGCTGTAACGGGGAATGTTTGTATGCAGTAATAGATCGACGAGAACCGCCATCCCGAGCTAACCGGATAGCCGCCGCCGAGAACTCCTCCAGTTCCTCCCAATCCAATTCCTGGCTCCGGGCGGGCTGGATAGGCCAAGCCTCGTGTCGTTCTCATTCCCAACAGAGCTCAAAGTGACCCAGAAACGAACTCTCTACAGCCTACACAACGAGACCATTCCCGAGTCGACATCCCAAAAGTCCAACTCACCGTCTCCCTGCTCACAAGTGTTGCGCCATCGCGCCCTGTGCTTGTGCCGTTTGCCGGGGCTAAAGCCATGGGGCGAACCCGAGCAAGCCCAAACAAAACGCCTCCAAAGTCTCACGGCACAACACACCCTGGTCGTCCAAGAGTCTCAGCACACGTCATTCTGACCAGCGAGAAAGAAATCTCCTAGAAATTCCCCATCGTCCCCCGTTTCCGCCGACGGAGAACTCGCTAAAGGCTCCCAAGACATTGGCACAACCAGCCCGCAGCAATCAGGGATTGTTACGAATCGGCCTGGCTTTGAAACAAACGTTGATCTAGACGGATTGAAGATTGAAGAACGAGCCCGTTTCCGCGTCAGCTCTTCTCCTCATTCTCGTCTTACTTTCTTCTCTCTCGCTTTGCCTCCCTCCGCGGCATGCCAATCCGGTAGCGCCGTCCAGGGCCGCCGCCCGCTCGGTCATGCGCCGCTGCCGCGGTCCGCCCACTTTCCGGCTCAAATTAGTGCCGCCGTCGTCGTCGTCACTCTTCCTCGTCCACCGTCCACGGCATGTCCCTTTCACTCCGCTACGACTCGACCTGGCATTGGCGGACCAACGACACCGAGGACGACGAAAGCGAGGCTCAGCTTCATTATTTTAGTCTCTACGGATTCGTACACGACCTCCGGCTGGCCCCGTCCCCCAAAACAAGCTCAGCCCGAGTCCACGTCGCCCTCAATTTAAAGGGAGAACCCTAAACATCTCCATTCTCCCCCCTGATCCTGACCCTTCCGGTTCCCGCTGTCATCCACCGGAACCCTTTTTTTAATAACATCTGGACAGTTACATCCCGCGTGTGCTGGCCTTTTTTATAGAACCTCAGAAGCCCCCTTCCAGATACGCCCCGGACACGGCGAGCCCAAGTGCCGTGGTGAATGGGTATTTCTGCGGGAACCCCGGCCCGCCGTGCTCGGGGTCCAGACCCGAGGTGCCGGGATACAGCAGCGACGCCCACCCGGCCACCCAGTAGATGGAGCCAAGGAAGCCCGCGATGCGGAACGATTCTCTGGACATCTCCGGGCTGCTGTTGGGACGCCATGTGAAGAACAGGGTCGCCACACCGAGAATGAAGGAGAGCGTCATTGTTTGTGCGTTGTGGAATCTGCGAGCTGTCAGTGGATGAAATGTGTTCATGTTGATGAGACACGACGTTACTTAGCATGCGGGGGCCATCGCGGGTTGTGGATGTGTGTCTCGTTCCAATCGGCCAGGAATGCGCCGAAGAGGAGCATAGCGCCGTCGAGCGTGAGCAGAATGCGGCCGAACATCTTGAAAAGTGTGTGTGTTCACTGAAGTGAGACTGACGAATGACGCCTGCAGCTGTATCGCCAATCGTGCTGCAGCCGGGAGGGCTGCGAGCTCTTTAAACCGTATCTCACGTCAAATAGCATCAGCGTCTAATCTTTGTGAGGATCGTTTCAAACGAGTCGACCCTAGGAGCGGCCTTACCTCGCGAGCCGACCACCGCGAGTTCTAGCACTGAGTCGCTGCCGCCGGACTTTGGGGATCTCCGGCGGTCGTGGAACCCGGTCTCGATGTGACTGAATCGGCATTGAATGTGACGCTCTCGGGCCCGGAGGTGACTTTGGAATAGCGATTCTTACAAATGCATATACGGCAGATGAGATTTTCATGTTCACGAGTACGCTTTCACCCTCGTGAACATTTGAAAACGACTCGATCTCCGGCGTTTTCGGCAGTAGTACGGTCGCTGTGAGGATTGATGACGGAGTAGTCCGGGGGTCGCATCGCTCGCACGCTAATGAAATGCGAACACGCGAGACCGAAAATCTGAAAAGAATCAACACCGTAGCTGGTGTGCTGAGTGCTACATACTTACTGGTTGATGCAACGGATGAGTGATATGAGACGAGCTGGAATAGATGGCTCTAGCTGTATTCTGTCATCGCCAATCCATGTGCCTGGGAACCGTGTTGAAACTTCTCATCCCATCAGACAAATTTGTTTCACTGGTCCGCGATGAGAGATCCTGGATGACCGGAAAACCTGACGCTCACACGCTGGCCGGTCCTGGTCCCCGGGCCGATGGATCGCGTACTTGGTCTTCTTGTACCGGAGTAGAACGGCGCCGCGTCGATCTCCGGCCTTGACCCGGATTTGGTCTCTAGCTTATTGAGAAGTGAGCCGTGTCGGCGCCATCTTGCATTGGCTGAACTTAACCCTGCGATAAGATCGATTTCTCTGCCCTATGGCGCAAACTATGGCGACATCGCGCGAGGACAGACGCCCGATATGTCGCAGAGTCTCATCCCGGCTATCGGACGAGTTTGGGGCAGAGAATCTTGCTGAATCTCTCCGCCTCCTGAACACCACGGTTCTCACCAGAAGCGCCTATGCAAATAATTAAATACAGTAGTTGATGAAGAGATTCATGAATGACATGAATGAAAGTTGAGATATGGTCGTAGTAATCGGTGAAAAGTTCAACGCATCTCGGCTTGCGAAGTTCTAAGGGAGAGCCCTGCATATCTTGGACCCTGAACGCACACTCAGACTTGGAATTGGGGAAGTGGTCGTGCGGGTGAAAGTCATGACGACACCCAACATTGATAGTCAGGAAGCTCATCCCTACAACGGGGCTCAAGCTCCCAATACCTCACTGATCGGGCGAGCTTCTTTTGACCTCTTCCTTCTCATCTTTTGACATTCATTTCCCTCATCTCCATCCCTCCTGTATAACATCTGACGAAGACGAAGTCGAGCCAGTTCTCATCGCACCCTCAACACCAAGACACAAATCACATCACAATGGCGACACGAAAGATCCTCATCCTCGGCGCGACCGGCAAACAAGGCTCCGCCGTCATCGACGCCCTCCTCTCCCTCCCCAAGACCACGCCTCCCCTCGAGCTCCTCGCCCTCACCCGCAACCCGGCCTCATCAAAACTCAAGTCCTTCGCGGACGCCGCCAAACCCAAGGGCCTCACCCTCGTCCCCGTCGAAGGCGACCTCAAGTCCCCCATCCCCGTCTTCCGCGCCCACCCGCGCATCGACACGTCCTTCATCGTGACGACCCCCGGCAACGAGGACGTGATCGGAAAGGCCTGGGTCGACGCCTCCATCGACGCGGGCGCGTCCCAGATCGTGCTGACCTCGGTCGACCGCGGCGGCGAGGACAAGTCCTGGACGAACCCCACGGACGTCCCTCACTTTTACCAGAAGCACGAGATCGAAGTGCACCTCCGCGACCGCGCCGACGAGCTGGAAAAGAGCGGGCGGAAGCTGCGGTGGACTATCCTCCGCCCCACGGCCTTCTTGGATAACACCAACCCGGGCATGTTCGGCAAGGTGTTTGCGGCGATGTGGTCCACCATGCCGGCCGATCGCACCCTCCAGTTCGTGTCGGTCCGTGACATTGGGCTGTTTGCGGCGAAGGCGATCGCGGAGCCGGAGAGGTGGGATCGGAGAGCGCTGTCGCTTGCTGGCGAGGATATCACGTACGCGAAGGCCAGGGAGGTGTTTAAGAGGGTCGTTGGCAGCGAGATGCCTCAGACTTACACCATCTTTGGCCAGGGCATGATGTGGGCGATTAACGACGCGGGAAGGATGTTCGAGTTCTTCAAGAGAGAGGGCTACGGTGCTGATATACAGGTGTTGAGGAAGGAAGAGCCTAGGTTGCAGAACTTTGAGACCTGGCTGCAGGAGAGCAGTGGGTGGAAGAAGGAGAAGAGCGGCATCTAGGTAGGTAGTTGTCTTTGACTTTCTGGTTGCGTTTATCTGCGTCGTGGTGGTTGAATGACACCACACCTACGCATCATGAGATCGGCTTGAGCGATCTTTGATGCTCAAATTTCATAACAGACGACTGAATATCAATACTCTCTGTCCATCTCACCGTCAACAATGACGTCTCCAGGTATCAACTTCACGATCGTCTACTTTGCTGTCACACAGCCACTTGACAAGCCACTGCTTAGCGATCTATCTGGGGAAATAAACCCGCGAATCATCCATCGCCAAGGTTGTAGGGCAGAGCCTGCGGAGAAATGTGTCAAGGCACATTCGCGACATTGGGGAACGAGTGCATGCTCTGATGTCATCCCGCCCTGCTGTGCCGTACAACGTCTTTCTGAATTGGTGCAGGAGAATCGGGACTATTGGATCCTTCGACCTCAATCCAGCCCATCAGCGGCACTTTTGCATCCAGTCGCCGACAATCCAGTCCCGATGGTTCCCTGTCTGTCTTGTCGACAATTCGATTGAAGTGGCCTGCCAGGGTTATCCGTATTACTCTCAACAGCGCCTACGGACAGCACGAATCAAAAGAGGAATGTGATGACGCTAAGGGACAAGGCCCTTTTGCCCGACTTGTGCCTGTTGAACGTGGCCAAGGAGTCAAAATCTCGACGATCTGCAGTCCGGGGTAAGCAAGCTTTGTGGCATTTCCCGCCTGCGTGGCGCCGCTGCTGTCCTGGTGTGTATCGCCATGTTATCCAGCGGTAGTTAAAAAGGACCTCGTCGTGTCTGCTGTCTCTTATTCCAACAATTGTTTGCCTCCACCGACATCCCAAGTACTTGCAGATTCTTCAACGTCTTCAACATGCCTACCGCAACATCAACCGATCAATATGCAATCACCAACCTCGGGCCTCTGACGACCGTCTTCACGCCACCAGCATCCTGCGTAACCGCCGCCCCGTCCGGCCCGAATCTATGGCTCGCAGTCCGTAACGCCTTTGGTGACGACCGCGTAGCCGCCAACTACAAGAAGGAATGCGGCGTCGCGTCACAAGGAGACTGCTTCCCCTCCGGCTCCCAAATCGACGAAGCTTACTCTTCCGCAACCGCCAAGGGCATCTCTGTTGCCGGCACCATCGACTACTTCTCCCCGGCCAGCGCCTGTCCCGACTCGTACACCACGGCCGGCGTGGCCTCCAGGGTGAACGGCAGCGTCGTCAGCTCGTCGGGCATCTTCGTGCCGCCCGCCGTCACCGTTCGCAACGGCGGCAACATCGTGCAGAACCCGCCACTGAATGTGCTGATGCAAGTACTTGACGAGGGCGAGACTGCTGTCATTTGCTGTCCTCAGTAAGTCCCGCGTCATACCCATACTCCTACACTCATTACAAATAGAGACGACTAACCCCACACAGAAACTGGACCGTCGGCATCAACGGCGGCTGTTATTCAGAGGTCCCGGCATCTGTCTACGGTGAAAGAACCGCCTGCCTGAGAGTCAGAGACAACGACGACTACACCGAGGTCACGGGGTCCATCACCTACAACAACACCATCATGACAGGTAGGATCTTCTCTTACACGGCGAGCAGCCAGGCCTTCTCCACCCGCACGACGACTCTCACGGCATCTGCTCTGACTGAGAGCATGTACCCCGTCGCGTCCAGAGCGGCTGTCACCATGATCCACAAGGGCAGCGTTGAGGAGACGGGCGGTGCTAGTGGAAGTGGTACTGCCGCTCCAACGGAGACGGCGCCTAGCGCGGCTCACGGGATGAGAATGACGACTTCGGGTGGTAATGTCGGCATCTTGGCCACCGTCTGGACTTTTGCGGCTCTGGCTGGTGTTGCTCTGGCACTGCCTCTTTGAGATGTTTGAATGGGAGAACATACGTGAGAGACTATGTGGGGACTGGACGAGGGTGTTGCACATGAAGAGATACCCTGAACTTATGCACTATTTCATTGACTAAGCTATTTGGATCATTTTCTCCTTAGAAGACTATATTTTAGAGCTTTGATAAGGGCTTCATATTGTGATAAGTCACTACGTATGTCCATTGACAGCACCTCTAACCGCAGTGACAGCGAAAGGGTTCGCGGTGAAAGTGCCGTGGGGATCGGCCCTGGCTCTGGCCCTTCCGATTCTCTTATACTTCTCTTCACTCTCATAATAGCATCTCCAAATCTTCTCATCGCCGAGTATCCAGTTGCCATATGATCCCCACAGGAGACGCCTGTCTTCTTTGCTGAACGAACTATCGGGCCCGATCATGACAGCGTCGTTCTTAGCCTGCCACGCATCGGCATACTTCTTCGACTCGGCATCCGCTTCATGGAAACAATCGAGCGTCTGCACAACTGACGAGTCTCGCCAGCTGAATGACGTTCCGTTGTCCCTGTTGGCATAAAACCGCGACTTTTCGCCGCCGAAACACTGGATCTGGACCGAAAGCTTGCACCTGAGGTACCGTTCAAAGTTCTTCTCGCCAGGGCGTCCGTCGAGATACTGCTTCGGGTTGTAGATGAGGTCAATACGATCCGCAACCGAATCAATCCATCCATCCTTGAGCAGACTCGTCGACTTGGTCGCGTACGTGCGCTTGACGTACGGAAGGTCGAACTCGCGAGCCTTTGGGAAGATCCACTGGCCCGTCATGTCCGACATTTCCATATCGAATTCTCCAAACTGCAGCGTCTCGTTCTCCAAGAGCCCTTTGAGCTGACGGAACTGGTCGAACCAGGCGTCCACCTTGGCGTCGTACCTGTCTTCTTTGCTGGTCGGACACCACTGAGCGTAGAGGATGATGGACGCCGGGAACTTTCCGTTTAGGAACTTGAGGAACTTGTCTTCGAGGACCTTCCTGATGTGCTCCTGCACGCGCTCCCACACGCTGGCGTCGTTGAGCTCTTTGAAGAGCGTCGTGATGGGGAACTCGGTGCTGAGGACGCTGACGCAGATGTCAAACCCGCGCGGGAAGCTCGGGTCTTCGGCCATCTTGACGACGGCGGTCAGGAGCCTTTCGAGCACTTCGCGGGAGTAGATCCACAGCGCCTTGATGCCGTGCGGGCCCTTAAAATCATTCGGTCCTGCGACGGTACCGAGGTAGCTTTTCGACTTGTATACTTCGACGATGAAGTGCGTGATTATGCCGAAGTTCCCCGGGCTTCCGCCGAGGATGGCCCAGAACAACTCCGCGTCGTTTTCCTTGGTCACGTCCCGGATGACCCCGTCGTGGCAGACGAGACGGATGGTTCTGATGTGATCGGAAAAGAGACCGAAGCTACGACCGAGCTGTCCGTATCCGCCGGTCTGTCCGTGGCCGCCTACTCCGACGAAGGCACATTGCCCGGTAGGTACGAAGAGTTTGTTGTGCTTGAGGTAGTGGTTGAGCTCCATCATGGTGGTACTCACTCCTGTGTAGACAAGAGCACGGTCTTGGGCGATGGGGATCTTGGGTTTCAGGATCATGAGGTCTTTGTAGGTGTTGGAGAGGTCGAGCTGGATGTTGACCCCGCCGGTGGAGGAGGCGCCGCTGTATTGGTGACCGCCGCTCTTGACGGCGACGGCGACGTTGTTGTCACGGGCCCAGTTGACTGCTTTGATTACATCCTGGTCGTGTTTAGGTCGGACGATGAGACTCGGTTTCATGTTGTGTTCCTTCTGATATGTCGAGGTTGCGTACTGCTGGTTGAAGAAGGCATAATCTTGTTGTTCATCCTCGTCGCCGGTGCGAGAGTACTGCATACCCTCGAAATCTTGAATGCGGGCCATGGCTGTAGAGATTGATCTTACTGGAATTATTGAAGTAGAATGATACTGGTTGAAGAGGCGAATAGACGACGAGTAGAGATGGCTTTTTATACGTACGCGGACGTGACGAGTTGGACTGCGACTCCCGGTTTGGGCTCAATCTCCGTGTCTTGAAAACAACAGTCATGGTGGTCAGCTCGGAACGCCGCTCAGCCTCAGCATTACGATTCTCAGTCAGCCTTCTGCTACCTTGGCTTCCGGAGGTCGACCGGTATAAGCTGATATGGTGTTCACATGTTTGCTAACGCGCCCTATCAGGTGTCTCTGAGGTGAGACATCCCATTTGCGTGGCTACCTGGGAGCCTCGCAGGCTTACTACAGGTTCCGTGTGCAGGATATTACTACATCGGTTTGCCGATTCAGGCAAGATGTGTTAGTATCCAATAGGAGCGGGTAAGAATAACCGTCTCTCGAGGGGATGCCTGGTCGCACTGGCGAGATGCGCGGGCAGCAGATGACTTACAAGTAGTAGAAAGGCGAGCCAATACCACATGTGGAATAGAGAGCCGGATGCCATGGCGACAAAAGTGTCAACAGTGATAACGTCCCGAGGCGGGTATGATTTAGTCCGCCTCAAGTCCGCCATTACGCACCCGTCTGTCTAGCCGTATGTAACAACGCTGCAAGTTGGGGAATTCGCCAAGACCACAGCCGCACGATAATGTGTGACCCAAGAGGGTGTGAAACTTGCATAGTAAATCAAAGCTGTCGGCCGTTTTCGTGACACGCGGTCAACACACTTTTTCTGGTGTAACCGTCAGCCGTCTCGTTCACATTGGGATTTTGATGCTGATAAACATCCAATGAAAAGTAGCCAAGTCTGTATATGTAGCTACAACTGTGTGCTTCGTTGAGTTGCGACATTAGGAGGGCATAGCTCAACGAAAGCACGCTACAATCTTCTCTAAACCTCGCCACCGAATGCGAAAATACCAATCAGACCAAGGCCAGCCAGTATTCCAGCCGCAGGTGCCATCCCAATAGTATCAATGATGCTTATAGGGACGAGCCACTTGATTCCTACAGGCTGACGAACGGCGTGGTACAAATACCAAGGCGATGTCATCGACAGCCAAGCCGCGACCCAAACAAATCCTACCAGTTTGTGCCACGTAGGAACGGCGTCCTCCGAATATTGTCTGCCACTGACACGGCGGTAGATCTCCTGGACCGCATCCTCCACGATAATAGCTACCGCGAAGGAGACGAAAAACGCTATTGTCGGTCCTTTCGTGGGCGGTTGCCAGCAGTAGATATCAATCAAGACGTGGACTATCCCGGAACCCAGAAACACAAGGGTAGTGTTCGAGTATCGCTCCAAGCGCGAGGGACGTCGGAGACGCAGGAGGTCCCGGCAGATATAGTTGCTCATCGAAGTGAGCCACCATCGGCAATATTGATGCCAGAAAACGCTATCGAGTCCCGTTAGCAGAGTGGCGAGAGAGGTCTTCGGTCATAGATAATACTCACCCCCACGATTGACGGATGGTGTACGCGTCCCGGATGCTTCCGAATAGAGGGGGCCAGTCCTCGGGGGAGCTAGCACCCGCGAGAACTGAGACTACAGATAGCAGTCGAGACGCAAAGTCGATTATCACCCTTGACGGTCCCGTCCATGCTGTTACTGTGCCCACAACACGGGCTACCCACTGGTCGGCAGTAGCACCGAGGTACAAGAACTCCGTGCCGGGCCCGAAGAGAACAGCCGCTTCTTCCGGCGGTGTTTGCAAAGAAGAGAAGTAGGTAAAGTCAAGGAAGATATACTGCCAAAACATGATGAACAGTTGTCTCGTGATCCAGGGGCCGACCTTCAATCGCCCATTTTCCTTGTGCTGGTTGAAAAACTTCGGGACAGGGTGACGTCGAGGGATTTGCCACGGTGTTCCGATGCCTCTGAGGTTGAACATGAGGCCAACGGTACGATAGAGCTTGTAGATGACTCCATCAGCTGGCTGGAAGATGCCTCCTTGCACCAAGTCCCGGGACTCGAAACGAGAGATCACCAAGAAGTTGCAGGCTTGGAAGATGACGAGGCATAGCTGGCCGATGAGGACCGTGTTGATGACGAGACTGGTGGGGATGCCGACTGCGTGTCGAAAAAATGGCCTGGTGAAAGCAGCTATCCCCGCGAGCCACGCATAGCGAATGCACGAGCCGGGCCCAGACTTTGGCGTGAAAATGATGATTGCGGCCGAGGAGAAGCAGATGCCCAGGAGCGAGGACGCAGACTTGACGCAGGCGAGAATGCGTGTGCTGTCGTCCCAGAGGTTCATCGTTGCGGTCGAGCTTTGGCTCGTAGAAACCCACTGTTTTGCGATGTGCCGCCCGCCAAAAAAAGAAAAAGAAAAAGAAAAAAGGGAGACAATAAATCTCTCTTATGCGGATCTACCCCTGGACATGGTATTACCGTGACGAGGGAAATTCCAGCTATTCTGGGGCTGTGTAAACCAATTTCTCACGAGCTCATTGGCTGAAAAGCGCCAATTGCAAAAGAAAGGATCGAGCATCAAATTCCCACTTGCATATCTTATCAGCTCGAAAAGGATCACGTCTCCCTTGTCTAGTGTCAATAATACAGCGTCAGGAAAAAGATCCTCCATGCTCCTTCATGTTTGGTAGCTCGAATAGATGGCCATGCTTGCTCCTTCCATCCCACTGGCGGTGGAGAAGGTAGCGCAATCCTCCTCCCAGAGTAAACTCAAAATCAAGTCTTCTCCGCCAAAGTCCAAGGGATCCAGATCCAGCTGCGAAGCAAACGGGTTATCCAAGCCAGCAGAGCGATCTGTTGGATCCGATGTGGTGATGCTTTGCGTGGCAACTCCACGTGTTGGCGATACAAGATCGTGTCGACTTCTTTCAGGGCTATTCAACGATAGCAGTCTCTCCACGTAAGGGGCGCTGGATTGATTGCGCTCTTGCACGGAGTGGCTCTTATACGATTCCAGGGCCTGTGAGAAACTCGATAAGACGCGGTGGTACTGTTCAGCTTGAGGGCTAAGCCGTCCCAAGAACTCGAGCACTCGTAGTGTGCTGCGAAAAGCTGCTCTGTTGCTGGATCCGGCTTCCGAATCGAGAAGTGAGAAGCCGAGTATAAGTCCGGCGGCAAAAAGCCATGCCCTTGGCATAGGTCAGTCGATATTCTTGCCAAGAGTAGGATTGAGAGCTTACTTCAGTATACACATGTTTCCCATGATCACACCGGTATCGAGTGCTTCGGAGCACATCTCTGCCATGTACGCCGCCGCATCCACACACACTTTGGATAGCTCAGCGATCTTTTTCGGTTCTTGTATCTCTCCGCGACAGTCAAAGGTTTGGTCCGGTTTCATCTCGTCATCAAGCTGCGACATGATATGCTGAATAAGGAATTCCCTCGTGGTGGTAATGACTCCGAAATAGTAGGTACAGGCGACGTGCATATTGCCGATAGTAGTCTCTCGATCCAATGACGATTGGGATCTACTCGAGACTTGGCGCAAACCTCGGCGAAGGACGCGTGGAAGGGTACTACTCCAACTCCGAATGTCTTCCAAAAAGCCCTCTGCCGACGAGAGCCCTAGACAGCCACCATTTGAAAGACTTTCTACAATTCCGTTCAGGGTGGCTGAGAACTGACACGCTGCGGCGACGGATTGGCTTCTGTGAGCGTCGCTGAGGAGGGACTGAGGTGATGATGTGTGGTGGTTCGGTAAGCTGCTGGTAGGCCTTCCTAGAATCGAGCTGCATACTACGTCGAAGAGTCGAATACTCCGGTCGATGCGTGACCTGTCTCTGATTAACATGGATTGAAGAAGGAATCATGGTGGAACTAGCGTACCTCAAGTCACGTTCCTCCTCGGATAGAGATTGAAATTGGTCCGACATGTGTAAACCTAGAACGGAGGCGGCTTTTGTCGCGATGCCAAGATACATGAACGCCGCGTTGCGACGACAGGCACCGAACATGTAGAACGCCATGAGAACGAATGCCCTGGCCATGTTAAGTGTCAGGTCTGTCAGGAATCCCTGGAAAGACAATTTTCGAGCCTCGGAGAAGTAACGGAAGGCCTTGGGCGAGTCGGTGGGTTGACCTCGACACTGAGCACCAATTGCGATCATCATGTACAGGCAGATGCTGCCTCCATTGTCGCCCGTCGACCTGGCATTTGAGTCACTGGCTCCTTTGGCGTTCAGATGAGTAGCATCAACTAGTTGGTCGATCTCGGACCTATCGAAAAGATCCAGAAGTCCACTGGACTGTGGTCGACGTCGGTTAGCCTGGGTGAGATTGCGGGGTTGGGCGTACTCACGGCATCCAAGAATAATTGAATTAGTTCACGTTTCTCATCATCACTAATATCGTCCTGAAAGCTGTCCGGTTGCTGAACTGATACTTGGGCTTCGAACATGCGATGGCCATTGTGGCTAATCGTAAAGCCGTTGGAACCGAAAACATTGCTCAGACTGCCGCGGAGAAACTGCAAAAATGAGATCGCCGAAGCGTTGCCAACAAACACTGCGATGCGAATTCCTAGTCAGAGCCATCGAAATTCGGAAGAGGCGATTAAGGCATAGTCACAACGTACCCTTTTCTCCGCTACATGTATACATCATGACTGGCCGTGGCATCGACCTGGTTTTGGCCAGTTCCTCAGTTCTCGACTCAGCGTAGCCGGTCCGAGTATTCGAGCGCGGAGCTCGTGAAAGACTCGGAGAACTCGGTCCGTCGCTACGACTGTCTAAGCTCATCGGCGTAGTATGCCGCTGACCCGGTTTCCGAGCCGGACGACGGGTTCTCGAACGCTGAGGGTATTCGCACGATGAAGCGTTGCCGCGATTGGTGCAGGGCTGACACGGCTCTCCTCCGTCGCAGCGCTTCTTCGTCGATCGGCAAGCCACGCAGGCCTTGGCCGACCGCTTCCGATCCTCCGGTCTCACCGGTGGGCGGCCCATGATGTGACGATAACTACCGACGGGCCGGGTCTTGCGGGGCGTCCAGGTGGAGCAAGATGCGGGAGTTATGGGGTCGGGGTCCCGAATGGCAGTCTGTAAGATGCGGAAGGACGATGGTGCAATTGCCGCCGGATGAATCCAAGCGAAGAAAGACGTACGATGCTGGAACGATCCGGACAGAAGATGGGATTTCCGCCAACTTTCGATGAGTCTGAACAGTTACGGGTGCCATGAATACCGTGAATTGCCTCGGTCGACCACACAGATAACTCAACCACGCGCCATTGGAAGATAAGCGGCTCGTTGTGGTTCCGGGAGGGTCGTGACTAGGATCAACGCACTTCGACGGTGCTCGGCCCGCACACCATCCACACCCGCCCTCAGTTTTGGAGCAATGCGGCACAGGATAAGATTAGATGATGACAGTCAGTAACATGCTTCAGTGGTTGTATCAGCATACGTCTGATATCGTATCTGGGCATTGGATACCAATTGGCTGTGTCATTCTGCGAAACTCTGTTTAGCAGCCATTTCGGCCGGGACTCGGTCCGCAACTGGCTTATCTTATCCGGTGACTCCAACACATCGCTTTGATGTTGCAATTGATGGTGTAATGCTTGGAGGACACTTGTCAACGGTTTGAAGTAGAAACAATAGCTACATATATTACATATCGTCTTCTCAAAAAGCCTAGACGCGAATTTCGTAGATTTCCATCTCGCTGTCGCCCCATATCCAGTCTACAAGTACCATCGTCATCATGCCGTACGCCGACATCAGCAAGCCCCCTGCACCTCTACCTCAAACACAGCTCGACACAGTGTCTGATGGTGTATCACTGCTGTTGCCATTATCACGAAGAGGTGTTGGTCCTGGACTAGTCATCCTTGTCCCCTCCATCGAGAAAGCCCTCGCCATCGAGGATGGCGTTCCGTCTTTGCCAATCAAGTGGGCGGAGGAGGGTTACATAGTGGTCGCGATTGAACAAAAGGCGCTGGAAAAAGACGCGAAGAGCACACTGAGCCTCGCAACAAAGGCTTTGAGAGATTGCAATAAGTGTGAGCCAAAGGACGTGATAGGCCTCATCGGTAAGTGGCCAAGTTCGAGTCAGTGAAACGTATTTTTCTGACAGCCTTCAGCATACGAGCCTGTAATGTGGAACTCGGTGGCATCTCACGTTTCTAGTATCCCCCAAGTTGTAGGTGCCGTCGTCTACGCAAACATTTCGGACAAGTCGTCTCTAGCTCCATCGCCTGTGCCAGTAGCCTTTCACTTCGCCGGCAAGTCTGTCGGGGAGATTGAGCGAACGAGTACTCGGATGGAGTATTACTATCCGGGGGCCCTGTCATATAAGTTTGCGACCCCCTTTCAGGAACACTTCCATTACAACACCGAGTCTCTGTCACATACGCGCAACCTTACCCTGCTCAAGGGCCAGATGAAGAGCCCAATCTTCGACTTGGAGTCGATTTGGGATGAGCACACGTGGTACGAGTTTGCTGATAGGTCGGTTGAACACACCATGAGCACAATGGTTCAGGAGCCATATGTGAATCATATTCCAACGGTAGGATTGAAGCCGAACCACACCGTTCGTCTACGTGTTGCTAAAGGCTTGCTCAGTTGACCGGGGGTGTCGGACGAGAACCGCTGACCGGATTCTACCGACATAACTTCATATTCAACAACTCGGCAGACACCGAACTCGAGCTAATCAGCCGAACGATTGGCATTGATCGTGTCGTAGATGAGTTCATCTTCAAGTTCACCCACGAGCAAGAGATAGACTGGCTGTAAGTCCACGATCTGACTTATCGTCGTAAAAGACTATCCGAATGAATTGCTGATTCCTCTCAGGTTGCCTGGAGTCCCTCCAACGGGTCGCTATGCTGAGATACCCTTTTCCGCTGTCGTCAACATCCGAGGCGACAGATTATATCATGAACACATCTCATGGGATCAAGGAACAGCCCTAACGCAGTTGGGGCTTCTTCCAGAATATTTGCCCTTCCCTGGAGGGAAACTCGAGTATAGGGTGCCTGTGGCTGGCGTGGAGACGGCGATGAAGTTGAGGTCTCGCCATTCGGTGCGGTCGAATGAGATGTTCAACTTCAAAACAAGGAATGCGGAGTCACTCGCGAAAGAGTAGCAACGTACATAAATATACGTACACGGTTCTAATCTTGTGATATCCCAAAACCTTTGTTTAATCCATGCCTATGAAGATTCGGGGTTTGAAGAACTCGGTCCTTTGTTGGCATTGAGATGTCATCATTAGCTCCTCCAGTCAACTCACCAAAGGCTTTGCCCTTTAGACGATAACAATCGACTTGTCCACCCACTGTGCGACCCGGCTAATAGCTTTCAAAAAACCAACTCTTGCTAGCCCCAAGAATAAACCTTGCGAAGCCAAGTCTTTCACATGCCCCATGTGGCTGTTCTGGTGATACCCTAAGCGCAAAGTACAGACCGTATGAGAAAAGTGCTGCACGGCATGATCCAAGTAAATTCTATACGCGAGAAGTCGGGCGTCCCTTTACCATGGAAGCTGGTCACTCGAAATTTCTCCTGCCAAATTCAGCTTCGTGCTTCTTATAGTCTCATGTCAACCTCAACCGCTCTCGAAATGCGAGGAGGTCCATGAAAAACTAGAGTTCAAACGACAACGAGGTGCAAGGCGTTTAAATCTGACCGGCGCATTCGCTTCAACTCGCCAGAAACGACCTAAGATCATGTCGTCTTTCAACATCCTAGCCAGATACATAGACCCTGTAAGGTTTGGGAAATTGGGACCTCACAAGCCACGCAGAAGAGTGATGGGAGCTTGCTTTCTGAGTGTGATGGCTCCCTTCAATGTGACGCGTTATTATAATGCTTCATTCCTTCGTCTTCGTGGTTCATGTCGAATGACTTCCGTTCTACGTCAAGGTCTCAGTCGTCAACGACAATCCCACCTTCCTCAGGGTCTTCTTCCATACATGCATGAAGTAACATTAAATCAAAGCAATTGATGAGTAGGAGATTCTTCTCTTGCTGACGCGTCTCGAAATTATGTAGCTGACAGACAATGTTCAACAACAGTACGACTTTTCAATGGAATTACTAGCCTTTTAATACTTAAAAGTAGTTTCCATATGAACATAGCAGATTGAGTTAAACAAATCCTTAAAAACCCCCAAAGAACCTAAAGTTGGAACAATCGGCTGTGAACAGAACCTTACAAGGTACCATGTTGCGAACCATGAAAATTGAACGCGGATACCAGTCAACCTATCTCCGGTAAAGACACCATTAACTTGATGAAGTTTCTGGAATATAAAACAACCCATTCTCCATTCATTCTGTTTCTAAAATATGCATACTTTCGCGGCTGACGGAAATTCACCAACACTAACGTCTATATTGTGTCCTATGTGGAAAATTATCCCTCAAGGTGTTGCATGATACGAGCCATTCTCCTTCTGTTTTTCTCGTAAGACGCGATCAACACACGTTTTCTGATTATCTTCATTCACCAGCTGAAATACAGCAAAATTCAACTTCCACTTGGTTCATAGTCGACTGGCATCATTCCCCGCCTACGACCTCATCACAATGTCGGAAATCTCAGGCGCAAGCGCACCCAGCAGCACAGTCTACGGCCCACCAACCAGAGAGGCAGCAGCTCGAAGACATTTGCAACTCTCCAGAAAAAGCCTTAAGAGCCTTTTGTCTGAGCGAAAGCAAAAGTTTCTCGAGAAGCGCAAGAAAAGGGAAGAGGCCAAGAAACATGCGCAGGTACCCACAGGCCTCGTCAACCAGAGACATACAAAACCCCTCGATCTCAAGAACTTACATCAAAAAGCGGTACATAATGCAGCCGTGACTCAATTCCGCACGCGCATGGAAAAAGGTCCCGAGGCGACGCCGGATGACGTACTCAGGGAGGCAAGTGCCTTTCAAGACTGCGTGCGAAGGAAAGAAAGCGAGAAGGCAAAAAGCAGGAAGTTGCAGAAGACGAAGAAACATCGATTTGCAAAACTCGAAAAGAGATCGGGCTTTCTAGATCGTGCACCTCCGGTGTCACAGTCACAGGATGCCGATGAAGGTTTGACTTGAGAAAGATTAGGGCTCCATATTCACCGGGTGGTTTATACCTTGCTCAGTGAAGGGCCATTCTTTTCTTCTCTCCAGGAACAGAACCAGGCTGGGCCTACCGGTGTAAACCGGTGTGTCTCGGTGTGGCGGGTTAACTTTTTCGGTAAGAGTAGAAATAGCAAGAGCAGTCTTACTTTTTTTTTTCACCTCTCCCAACCTATTTTTTCTTCTTTTCCCTCTCGTCCGTCATACATCATTTTCAACGCATCTCAGCAGTCCATTAACGCAATGCTGCGAGTTGACGTCCCTGACGGCGATCATGCGCCGAAAATCCTTGGAGTCGACGCCCGCGATTCGAACAATATCTTCCAGAGCTCCGTTTCGCCGACAACCCAACATCCTTCCGCCGCGTCTCTCTCTATGAACCACGGCCCGTTCATTGTCTAGTGTGCGATGACCGACGGTCTTTTCAGAGAGAATGGCTACTTCCAACCTGATGATACGCCCTACGCCACGGTTACCCTCCCAATCGGCTCGAGCAACGAGGCCCGTTGGGTCCCGGACTCTCACCGGGCGGCGAAGGAATTGGAGTCTTTATTTCCGTCTCTAGTCCAGGCGTCCCCCGGAACGATCAAAATGGAGCAGTCCCTTCTCACTGCACTCACGGCAACTCACCACCTCGGCGTAACACGCTCCAGGGTCATGTGCTGGCCGGACCTTGAAGAGCACCTGGACGAGTCTACTTTGCATGCTCATCTCGAACTCCCGAACCCGGACACTCCGCTCTTGATTGTACTCCTGGACACGGGCTTTCCTCATCGTACCATGATCCGCAATCGATACATGGCCATCGACGAATACCGACAACGACATCCCGCCTCGAAGGTGCAAGTCTACCCAACGCAGCATGAAGCCGAAGCCGATGGACAGAAGCTCCCCGACATTCGCGCCCTAGATACAGTCTCTCTGACCAATGGACACTGGCGTCCCAAGACCTGCTACGGGGACGAAGAGTGCGCGCTGCTGGCTATGGCCGACTTTCCGAAGCGTTCGTGGAGCGGGTGCTCCGGGCATACCGGCGCCAAAACGAAACCCCAGTTGAGATGCCGTCAATCTCATCAACCGACCCTCACAGCTCAAGCCGAGTCCGACAAGGAGCCTTGGTTTCATCAAGAATTCGTCGAATTTCTATCCACGATGGAGTTTCGTGTCTTCATTACCACTCGCCCCAGTTCCGATGGACTCCGCGGCCGAAAGGGCCATGTTCTCCGCGTTTGCCTCACTCGGGTCTCGGATGTTGGTGCCACGGAAGCGATGAGTCCGACCGAGACTGATTATGCTGCCTGCGGATTCTCCAGCAACGACATCTGCAGCTTCGCACTTCAATGTTTCGAATCATTGAGGACACTCCAAAGTGAAGAGCTGGCGTCTTTGGAAGTGGGCTGCCGTCTCGATATCGGTGCCGATAAGCCTGGTGGACGTCTTTTCGTCAACGAGATTACAAGATGGAGTGGCGCTCACTATTACTCCCACAAGTGCTCGCCAGACTCACAGGATTCGATTTGTGAGGGATTTGCTGTGGCTTTTGTTGACTGGTTCCTGAGACCGTATATTGCTACGAAGGATATATGTACTGGTAACGGTGGCTGGGAGGGTGTGGGCAAGGACTTGGGTGGTCCACGTCTGTAGTCGTCAAGTCTTGGGGCTGACTCTGTGTTTATCTTTCTTCCAAGGAGATTAACGTGCCGTCGGGGTCGAAAAGGCTGGATACTGGTAATGCAGAACCGGTTCGTGCAAGCTATGACGAGCTTGGACAAAGGATCTGAAATTAGGGCCCGTACATCAGGTATTCTGACGCCGAAAAAGACGTAAAAAGAAGCCAATATGTTAAATAAAACTCTGATCTTGCTATCCTTGCCTCAGACTCGTGTAATCAAGCTCGCGACAGTGGCCCTTACACTTTCCATGCTCAATGTGTGTCCCGCTGATCCTTCGTTGCACCCTCTAGCCTTTCTAACAGTGCATCAATCCTCTCGGCATCCCATCCTTTGATAGGTCGTATTTGCCAAAGTGGCTGCTCTTTCGCGGCGTGTCCCAATTGCCAAGCCATTTGCAAGGTTTCTTCGCTTGACCTAAGTTCATGGTTGGCTTTCCTGTCGAGTAGAAGCTCAACTACATCCCAGCGACCATTCTCGGCAGCCCAGTGCAGAGGCGTTCTCCCATCATTGTTGGTTGCGTCTATCTCCGCACCAGCATCGATCAAAATCCGTACCTGGGAAATTGAACCGCGCGACGCGGCCGAGTGCAGCGGCAGGCTGCCGTTGAGCAACCGTGGGCTGTTGATACTGGCGTGATACTTTGTAATGAGTGTTTCCAGGATCTGAGCATCGCCTTTGATATCTGCGGTTGCATCCTCATCACTGGCGGCAACCGCTGCCACATGTAAGGGACAGAACCCCTCGATATCTTGCTCATCAACATCGGCGCCGGCGGCGATGAGGCGATGCACAGTGTCAATGTCTCGCTTTTCCACGGCAAGAAGCAACGGTGTTGATGGTTTGTCGCGACTTATGATGGTGCCATGCTGGCTGGGGTTTGCACCGAGGCCAAGAAGCGCATGGATCACCTCTGTCAGTCCTTCCCAGATGGCGTAGACGAGCGGTGTACCCAACGTGACAGGATAGCTTGATGTTATCGACGCGCCTCGTTCAATGAGATCGAAACACGCTTCCTCACTTCCAGCTTTAGCAGCTAGAGCAAGTGGCGACTCAAACGCAGTTTCCGGTGGCCATGTATGGTGAAAATAGCTGCTCCGTGGTGGCACAGGGGGTGACGGGGGAACAGGATTGACATTCGCTCCGCGATCTAGAAGCAAACGCATTGCTTTCCAGTGTTTGGATCGAATTACTTCCATCAGCGGTGTCGTACAAGAGGAATCGGGTGGATTCAGAACCATCCCGCTCTCGAGTAGATACTCGAGGATCCTGATATTCCCACCTCTAGCCGCAGCCTGAAGTAGAGGGGCTTTATCATCAGGCTTCTCGCGATTGATGTCTGCTCCGAGTTTCACCAGCTGCTCGAAGGCTTGTAGATCGCCCTCCACAGTGGCCCTATGCAGAGCGAGATGCAGGTCTGCTCCTTGGCCGGCAAGATACGCAAGTATCTCCCACTGCTTGCCTCTTGCAGCCTCGTGAACCGGCCCCGACCATTTAGGATTGACATCCGCTCCCGCCTTCACCAGTTCATGTACAATTTCCAAGCTTCCTGCGTTGGCAGCTGCTTCGAGAGCGTCGGGGTTTGGATCCGCCCCCCTACTAAGAAGTTCTCGCACGATTGCGACATTTGCTGAAGAAGCTGCAGAGACCAGTGCTCGAGGGTGATCGAAGATGTCCTCAGGTTCGTCAATCTCAGCCCCGTTGTCCAAACATTCAAGAACAAGAGTAAGATCGCCGGCTTTTGCAGCGTGACGAAGCTTCCCACCGATGCTCATGTCGTGCACCGCCAGCTCGCGAAAGATCTCCTTGTGACCCAGTTCCGCGGCTGAGTATTGGCTGGCTGCGAGGGATTCCATACTGTTGCCTTTCAAGGAGTCTGTGTGCTTCAGAAGCTCTTTAACGATGTCGATTCGTCCATGCTGCGTGGCAAAGTCAAGAGCGCTTGCAGGCCGGGCTTTCATGACCCAGTAGTCTGTGGCGCCATGCGCAAGTAGCAGCCTAACAATTTCAAGGCTTCCACCTTCCACAGCTAGAAAGAGTGTGTTGTGTCGGTGATCGCCAAATCTTCTCCCTCGAAGCTGAGCTTCGGCGCCCGCTTCCAAAAGTTCGCAGACAACATCGGCATGTCCCTGCGCGGCTGCAGCGCCGATGGCTGATCCGTATCGTCCACCGGATGCATTCACGTCGACGTTCGCATTGATCAAGAGCTTCACAACAGCCAAGTGACCATTTCTGGAGGCAGCTTGCAGCGGATTGCTATACAGTCCACACGCGCCTTTGGGCATATTTCCCTGGGCCAGCAGCGCTTGAACAACATGTCCAAGGCCATGCCAAGAAGCGCAATATAGTGGCGTGTAAGATGTCTCCTCATCCTTTTCGTGAAGTATTTGCCTCTTCTTAGCCCAAGGTTTGTCGACGCTGTTTACCTTCATCCAAGTCCAGAAGTAAGGTTGACTGGCATCGAAGAGGGTGGTCAAGAGATGTTGGTGGGATACTAGTTCCCATTTCTCGGGGGAGATCTCCCAGTGTTTCAGCCAGAAGCACCCTGCATAGAATGCGAGGGGATTTTGTTCCCAGAAATCTTCCGAATCGTGGTCGGTGGTTTGAAGGAAGTATGCAAGACAGGATTTTGCAAGATGAGCCTCGGTAGACTTGCCATGGAGCCCGAATTCTGGACAAAGATGTTCCTTAAACGCATCGGTTACAAGAAACTCCTTGACTGAATAATGCGCGAGCTGAACACGCCTTGTTGAAACTCCGAAGGTATCAACAGGGCCATGGTAAATCGATATCAAGCTGGATCATGAATCTAAGAAGTTTTCAATATCGAAGAGCTCAAGATCATCATCGACAAAAGGCACCTCGCTGGCTTCTGAGTTGATCGAAATGGCTGCACAGATTTCTTCGAGTGATAGCTTGTCCTTGGTGTCAACAACGGCCATTCCGCAACTTGCTTCAGGATCAAATGCTCACCGGTCTCCAGGCAAACGTGACCCACCGTAATAAGTTCCGAACGGAAACTCGATCCTTCTGATGAATCCTGCTCAGAACACGAGCGTAATGCATCTGGAGCGACTCGGGAAGCTGTTCTAGGGCGTCTCGGACAGCTCGAGGAGTTGCGCATTTTTTGAGCTCTTGTACCTGACAGTCGAGCCAACGGAAGCTTGAATTCGCGATCTTTGTCAGCCCCATGGCGTGCCCATGATCATTAAGGTTGTCTTACGATCCATTAGCCCGAGAGAGCAAGGTATCCCTGACATTGGTTTTGAGCGTGACTGGCCACCGGTTGAATTTGTGATGGCTCGCTAGATGTTCTTCCAGTGCCGCTTGAAGATCATGATCGGTTTCTTCATTCCCAACAGCAACCGAAATAGCTTGAAGGCCCTCGAAGGCAGACTTCAGGCGTTCCAAAGGACGACTAGATGTCAGTAGATGTACTGAAAGCTTCTTCTTCTGCTGGAGCCTTCTCAGGGATCTCAAAATGTTCTCCAGTGCATCTGCGTCTTCGCACTCGTCGAAGCCATCTATCACCACATAAGTGCTCCAAAACTGAGACATTAGCTTCACCAAAATTGCCTCGAGCAACTCAGTCACGGTCACTATTGGTCCCCGCCTCATTTTGGGTCCTGCATTCAGGCTTTCCAGGTCCCACTTGAGGTCGTCGAGATCCAGTTCGTTGTCGCTTGCCTGAATTTGGCAGACCAACTGCGAAATAAGAGACCGGTGGATCTTCTCGAGACTGACAGTACTTGAGTCGGATCCGTCGAAGAAGTAGTAACACAAGCTGCTCGACTCAATGACTTGGCAGTGATATTTCAAGTCTTGGATGACCTTGGAACTGCTGTCCGTTAGAGAATGACAAAGACCGCGGGTTCATCTTGAGCTAGAAACGAGACTTGTGACTTACCATAACACTGTCTTTCCGCATCCAGCTACAGGATTTTCAGCGCATAAGTCGAGTCATGACCAAAGGGTTCCCAACTTACACATGCCATGTAGCCACATAAGTTGGCAAGGCCTCGCCTTCCACTCGATGTAAGACTCGTTGCTGAGAAGCCACTCGCCGGTGCGGTTCGCTCTTCTCTTGGCTTGTTCTTGGTATTTCTGCTCCTGATCACGTCCACGAATCAAGCGAAGAACATCTTCCAAAGCTTTGTCTGCGAACATTCAGCTGACTGTTCTGTTTCGACGGCATGGAAACTGGGTTGGGTCACCTTGTTTCGCCTCGTTCGTTTGCTCGACCAGACGAGATACGCCGAAGCCAATCTTTGGCAAAGATCTAGTGTGTTCTAGTACGGCGTTTATGTTGCCTCTTTGGATGCATTAGAGTCGTATACCGCTAGAAACACATGCTCACTTACGCAGTATCTGCACCCAGAGCCAACTGAAGAGTTGACTTGATTCTGCCCATGGCGGACAACGATTTCTCACACTCGGACTTTGTCAACGGCCATTTCAGAACAAGCATCACGGTCCTTTTTCGGTGCGGCTCAAGCAGCCGACTAAGGTCCTCAAGCTCGCTGACGAACGAGTCCAAAAGACCTCCAGGCTTGCACATGATTTGAAGTGTCGGTAGATTGACACCGGTCTCAGCCCCTGCAATCTCTATCAGCCTCTCTGTGACATTTCTGATGCTTATTGCCTCAGCCAGCAGGCGGGCTATGTCGTCTGTCGCGCTTTTCAAAGCTTGGCGGTATTCGTAGCAGGCGAGGACAATTTTCCCAGAAGCCTCCAAGATGGCGAGGAGGGCGGAAGCGAAGCCGACGGCCTCCATTGCTGTATTGTGCGGATGTCGAGTAAAGCGGGTTTTCGTTATTCTTGACTGGCAAAAGGCCTCCCGTCTTGAGCGTCACAAGAACCGCGACGAGGAGAGAAGTGAAGCCATAAGCAGAGTTGCAGCGGCAAACGAGGAGGCGGGGTAAGATTGTCTCGTTAATGCCATTGGCCGCTTGTTGTGGTTGCGGAGACAAACGCGCATCAAATTGACTGCCAACGACTCTATTGGCCTCACCCACAGGCGCAGGCGCACGCCAGCGCTGCTTATAGCGAGCTCCGCGTTTGAGGGGGGCAAATAGCGACATGTAATACTCCCAGTCGAATTTAACCATTCAAGATCTAAAGATTGAGAAATGGGGGAAGTAGAGACAACGATAGACAAGATGTCTTAAGTATCCATTCAGTCCCCTTCCTCGCAGCCAGATCTGACGAAGTAAGTCAGACACCGGAAGCTGTGTTAAAGAAACACGAGAGCCCGGCGGGCATGAGAAAGTCATGAACTTCCCTACATTTAGTTCGATGAAGTCTACACAACATATCATACATGCAAATGTATGTCTAAATATTGACAGATACTTCAAGGCAGCTCTTCTTTCTTGATATTGGAAGAATGAGAAAAGATCCATAGGCAAGTCAGAACTATGATAAGATTGTGGAGAGCGAGCAGCGCGTAACGGTACGAAGACTTCAAAACCGCACGACCAGCGCCACTGGACTTCATGGGCCACCAAACAAAAAGTCCCAAACTGCCTGCAGCAAGTATTTCTAGATCGCCAAAGTCTGGTCTACTATCCTGAAATTTTCAGTGTGCTTCTATGCCTCGAGTGTTATATTTGGTACTATCGTTCACTGCTTGTGTGGTTTCGCAGTGGAGTGACAGACGTTTTCTCAAAGCAGCGTTGCAAAATCAACTAGAATTTTCGATGCAATGGAATTCAGATTACCATGAAAATTGACACGATGCCCATCTTTTGGATGTTAAGTGTGTGTTAAAAGACGCGACAGAACAACTTTCCTGTCTTTTCCAATATGCTTGTGCCTCTCTTGGCTCCATAGCTTCGCCAGACTCAGCCGCACATGATAATCGCGAAGGCAGCATGTAGGATGACCTCATTTGCGTCGCAGCCGAGCAGGACTTTACTCATTTTAGATAATAGGAGTCAAAAGAAAGGCATTCAAGGGCGTTTCAGGAATGACTGCGGAAGGCTGTGATGAATTACCTTGCACTCTTTCGACCCAATCGGACAGCCACACAGACAAGAAGTCAATTCCACATCCAAGACCGTAGTGTCTCGGGTGAGCAGGCTGTGAGAGCTCACGAAAGCTGCTGCCTGAACATAATCAATTTCATAAGTGTCCTTCAGAAGTATAGAATCACCAAAAGTCCTCAGCACATGGATATCGGGGTACCCTGTCATTCGACTTGCAAAGTCAATTCGTGCATCGTCTACATGCAAACTGTATCGTTAAGATTCTGTAGAAATGCATGCCTCAATCTTTTCCTACTCAATTACCAGACCATACCCATTCCGATGGTTTACTCCAGTGGTAATAATCGGCGGGTTGATGCTTACTGTTATCTTTACAATTCTGAACCTCAGTTCAAGTGGATATCATACAAAAGCAATCTATACGTCAGATCCCAATTCGACCATCAAGGATCTGAACCTGCGGTATGTCGAAAATTCCGTACACACTCATATCATAGACAAAAAAGGTTCACTCGTACCGTGCTGACTTTACTCTGTGGACAGTTGGTTTCGCAAACCACCATTCAATTGGCAAGGCGACACGAAGGCCGAATGCCAACCCGCAACGCTCTCGGTTGGAAGCACAATATTCACGGCAAACCTTGGCTTTAGATACAAGATCGTAGGCATCAACACCGTCCCCGATAACGACGAGCCGCCGTCTTCGTTGCTCTCGATGCGATACAAGAATTCTCTGCTTAGGGACTGTCGAGTGAAAGATATTGTCATCCTCCTCAAGAAAACTGACTGGTCTCTGCCGCCTTCGAAATGGAATTCTTGGGGCGATTCTGGTGTGACTTCGACGCTGTGGTGCATCGTAGTGTCCGACGACGGTGCTAGGAATGTCACGATGCAGGCTATTTATAATAGTCCCCAGAGACACTTCGACTATGTTATCACAGATCACTCTGGAACGCACGCAAGCGTTTGGTGGGGTACAAGATTACTGAATGCTTATTGGAATGGAGTGTTGACTGCATCCTCTCAAATAACACTGGGACAAAATATTGCGATTCGCGGTGGAATAACGTACATGCCCAACCCTTCGAATAATGAGTAAGTAAACATCTTCGCCTTTGACTAGCTATGGAATATTGTTAACCGATCCAAGTATTCGGTCCAGCCGCTTCTTCTACGCGAAATGGTGGTGGGATAGGGCAAACGGCGAAAACCACAACAACGATCCCAGTGTAAAGGATCCAGAATTCAACACAAAGGTATACGTCTTCATTCAAGGAAGAATATGCGGTGTAAAGATAGAGCAAAATGACTAATATTCTTGAAGGACTGGTGGTCACCAACTTTGACGGAAGGGCTTCATGTCGCCAAACTTCTACACTCGCTATTTGCTCGAGATTTGGGCAGCTGTTCGTCCCCAAATTTGCTGCTCGATGAAGACAGCCTTAAGTATGCCATTCTCTCCCCAGACAACATGAACCGAAAACCCGGCGGACTTCTAAACAGTACTCGGCCCAGCCCAGATGGCTTCTTTTTCAACTTCATACCCACACCTGGTCGTACACTTGGTAGCCCTGGCGAGGGCTTGACGACACTCAAAGAAAGCTTCGAGAAGTTCAAACCGCGCATGGGTCCACTCTCCTGCAACGAAACAACTATTGTTGCTGAGTATCTCTGTTCGGTCCCTGAAAAGAAGAGTGTTGGGGTCTTGGTATGGTCCTTAGTGCTGGCAAATCTCGTATTTCTTCAAGCGGCTTGGAAGCTTCTTCAGTGGACGGCCGGAAGTTTAGTGACACAACGAGACCCCTCAGCAATGGTTTGCGAAGGCTGCATACACTCACGGTCTAATGAGCATCTATCGATGATTTCAGAAAGAAAGATAGGTGAAAGGGTAGCAGTTGAACAGACCGGAGAACACGGAAACGGATACAGAAGGTTGGCAGACGATTAGAAGCGAGACGGTGAAGCTATCTAGATAGTTTCAATTAAGGAGGGCGAACTTGAAAATGCGCAAGTCTCAAGACCCTTGTAACAGCAAGAGTTAAATCGTAGTAGTATCATAATACATAACAATAAGGGGTGCCTAGAAGTGGGTGACGGACGCTACTGTGTACCTTAAGGCGGACTGCCTCGCGACTACACAGGATAAGAAACTCCGCGCAGTCCTTCAGATTTCTTACCTTACTACATCCCAGGCTGCTGCCATGATCCGTAGCATACTGGCTCGACAGCCAAAAGAATTTAAGGCAAAATAGGGAGATCGTTGCTTCAGTAGCCACTTGTAAGTGCGTGATCCCAACTGACTTTTCTCTGTCCTTGTCTACATTATGAGAGCCGCCATGAACGTACCGTCACAGGACCTAAGACGAAAGCTGGGGAAAAAGTACTAATATTACATCTTGACACCACCAGGTCGACTGCCAGACCTCAGGCCCTTACTCGCACCAGGTCGTCTGCTAGGACCTGGGTCCTTACTCGTATACGTAGCAGAACAGACCCTCCGTGGTTGACATAAGCTCACCCAGCGGCACCTCGGCGCCCTCTTTGACATAGCCCAGGTTTTGCATCGTGGAGATGGTGCCATTACCATGCGGCTCGAACACGTCCCACATGGTGATGGGTCCGTTTACAGCGGTTTCGACGTTGGCGCCGCGGACATCCGGATCAAGCATCTGCCACATCCACCACACGCGATCGACGTTGGTATGATGCACAAAGAAAGCCGGCTCCCCAGGGCTCACGTAGAAGTCCATGCCCGGATCGCCGCCAAACGCAAAGTGCCCGCCGGCGTGGGCACCCATCTCAGGCACGCCTTGCGTACCGGAGAACAGGTCCTCGAACCACCAAACATCACTTGTATTGCGCAGCAGCGACAGCAAGCTTGTTGTGTTGACGTATCTGTGCAGTGCATAGTCGTTCAACGCGCGCTTGAGGCATCGCGGGTTGTAGGCGAAGTTGTCGCCGGAGGGAGAGACAGCGGTCCCGCCGTCGGGAGTGCTCAGCTGCACCGGTCCAAGGTTTACGGTCATGTTGGCGAAGGGACCTTCGGTCACGCAGCCGCCGCCGGGTCCGCCGGGGATGCCTGGACATAAGAGTCAGTTTGACGTTCTACGCTACTTTCTTCTCCGCGCTGCGAGGATATGCTCGAAAACGAAACAGGGGGAAGAACCGAAAAGGCAGTTGGAGAGGGAAAGGGGATGTTTGGCTACGTACGAATCTCGCCGGTGGTGTTGGGATAAAGAACGATCTCAGGCTCGGTGGTATAGTTCACTTGCAGACCATTGCCCGACATGCTCGTCTCTGAGCCATCGAACATCGCCGAGTTTGCGAAGCCTTCTTGCTCCGTCTTCACCCAGTCCCTGTCAGCCCGTTAGTATGTTTTTGTTTTCCTCTACTGTGCCGCCGCGAGCCGCCTCCTGGGGTAGACCGAAGCATTTGGCTGTCTCAATGGGGCAGAAACGTCTCGGTCCTACTGTATCGCCCGTGAGACGACAAAGGCAGGGCAAAACAGCAACACGAACATACCAATATGGGAACGGGCCGGTATAGCCACACTCATCGCGCAGGGCGGACTCCATCTCCCAGATGTACCAACGGTGCCATCCGAGAAAGGCGGCATTCAGATGAATGACTTCCGTCTGGTTAATATGCGTTGCCACAAAGTCGTCGTATCGCGACTTGGCGCCTGGCACGAGGTCCGACGGCGTCCGGGCGGGGGTTGTCATCAAGCAGTTGAGAGCACCCGTATAGGCGATCTTCTCGTCGTCAGTCAGGGACTCGAACGACTTACGCACACGCACGTTCTCGCTCGTGCATGTCGAACTGCCGCTGCTGAGCCGCGAAGTGGCCACCCCGAGGGCATGCGAGGCGATATCCTCCAGCGTGGCGGTAGTGAGGTCGAAGGTCTGGCGCTGCGAGTGGGCGTGAAGGGGCGTGCTGTGTATGTACTGGGCCAGCCCCAGGAGGACGGCCAGTCGCATAGAGGACGGTTTGAACTGCATCTTCAGAGTTTGTTTGTCTTAGTGGCTAGTTGATTATGGTTTGGGAAGATGTTGGTTTGAAAAACAACGAAAGATGAAGCTAATGGATTATGAATTTTGGCCTGGGGTTGCAAGTCCAAGAGCGAAAGACCTGGCGTGCGAGCTTGAAGAGGCATTGATGTTCTTGATTGTGCCAGTTCACGAGGATCTTATATCTGCGACTAACTTGGTATCCTAAAGGGAAACACAATGATGGCCACAACATTGAACCTGCAGAGCACTGCGGCTTGCGTGCCCGGGCATTGCCGCACATCGAGTCGGAAACATACGCTGCTTCCGAGGCCGAGACTCTGACAAGGGTAGAAGGTAATCGATTGCTTGGGCAAAACCGCACCAAACATCCCACGAACATCTCCCCCTTGGTGTGTTGATGGTGGTATTCACGAGAATGTTCTAGTATGACTAAGCGGCCTTGGACACGGCGTATATGCTATGCAGGCACTGATTTTCGTCCCGTGCCAGAAGCTAATAGCTGAGATTGGATGAACTAGGCATATCTAGCATGGGTGGTTAATATGAGCTCGTCGGCCATGTCCCGGGGTTCCTACTACCTTAGACAAGTGGATCTGGATACCGTAGCATTGTTCAACTTCTCACGTCGCTGTGGATAAGCTTAAACTGTTGCAATCTTGCTGAGCGAATGATCGATATCACTGCGTGGCTGGGTTATCAAGGCGGAAATGATCGATATCACTACAGTACCATCCATTAAAAGCGCAGTCGTCAACAATACCTCACTGCTTCTGAAAGTTTGTAAGCGTGTGACTTCGGCCCTATAAGTAAGTGGGATAAAGTCCTATAGCAAATAATGAATCTGCGTTCTAGAATATTTCATAGATGAATTGCTTTTTTTAGATATAAGGCCAGGTTGAGGGAGAGGTTTTTGCACATAGTAACTCTTAGACACCCTATTGTATACCCCAGAAACTTGTTTCTTCCGCAATCCTAGGCGAGACACTAAGGAGTAGTTCTGTTAAGGCAAAAGCGGACAATTCTTCCCCCGTCTTCAGGGGTTGAGCGGAACGCGGAAGAAACAAGTTTCTACGATAATGCTTCCCGCGCCACGGGGCGAAAAGAACAGGTTAATATCAGATGTACGCGACTCGTAGCCCTGCAACAGCGAGCCACTAGCACCGGCTTGAGACCAAAGACGGACTTGTTTTACCGAACACGCACGGCCAGAGATGAGAACATTGTGTGATACTATTTCAGGGGCTTGCGGGCGACGGGTGGTGGGGGCGATGGGATAGGTCTCGCGGTGTCGTAGGTGCTGATGGAATTCTGCGATGGATATCTGGAGAGTGCCTGGGGAACTATGTGGCATTGCAGGACATTCTATGTAGCAGTTGACGAGTATCACGACCCCAGATCCTTTCTTATCGTAATTATTGCATGTGATTATTCGTCAGCTTCCGCCTCGGGTACCCAGCAAAGAACAAAAGGCTTCGTAACTAACACACCGCATCCAGACAAATCACCTGCATACGCAGCCTCTCGATGATGCCTGAGGATCAGCCGATCTGCGCGGTGTTTGCCCCTAGAAAGCAGCGTTTCCTGTTCTCTCTGTCACTGACAACATTGCAGCCATCGTCGACTGCCTCGACAGGAGGGCAGGAGGGCAGGGGGGCGGGCGGTCGCTCGGTTTCGGCCTCCGTGTGGCCGGATAAGCCCGACCGCCGCGTGGCCGCTCTCCTTGGTCTGCTCTTTAACTCCACAGGGTCTCCAGTACTGTGTCGCAGACGCGGCACTACAGATCGCCTTCAGTACGGGCCCTGCCGCCGACTTTTGGACGTTGAAGAAATAAAAAGTGACCTACAGCAGAAGTAGACCTACAGGGTGGGTTGGTCAGCTGCACCTCCGAAGAGATAGGCGTGAATTAACCTTATGTCTATGGAGGCAAGAGTCACAGTGGTTCTTCCTTTTGTCTTGTCCACCTATGCAGACTCATTCGACTGAGGGGGGAGTACTCTGAGACCTAGATTAGATTGTCAAGAACTTGAATGGGCGGGGGGCATTTGGGTCATCTGAGATTTGCTTTCAAATGAGGAAGGATGACTGATGTGCCATCTCCTTCACAGTTCAAGTTTTATCTTTCCAGGAGCAAAAGTCCATGGCAGTCACCAGACACCCCAGTCGGATGCATCCGACTTCGGGAACGCCCCTCCCAAAGTATCTAGGGATTTTCCTTTCCATCGGGATCTTGCCCCACTGCCATGATCCCGGCTCGCAACCTGGACACCCCATTCCATCAGCTTGTCATGGACGTCTTTGGTTGCGTTAGCGATCGTTCGTCAGATCTGTTCCTTGTACATGGCTGCCCACCTTCGTCCATGAGTCGCCGTATCCCAGAAAGGGCATCTGTCGATCAGGTACGCCCACCCGCCTTCCGAGGGCCCCGCGGACGGCTTAAATGAGGTGGGCAAGACGTAGGGAACCAGAGCAATCATCAGCTCAAGGCATGGCTTTTGGCGGAACATCCGCATGCAACATTCTAGGGCAGATGCGGACGAGAAGCAAATACCCGGTGGATGAGCGTTAGTTTGATGGGCAACGATCAATATACGTGATGAGATCATAAAGCATTTCACCCATCTCAAACCTGCACGGGAACAGCCGCTCACCGAATGATCAACACCTGTATTGACGGGTTTCGTGTGACGCTGAAAAGAACTGACTGGCGTCCTCTGGACGATACTGTTTGGACGACAAGAATTTTGTGATAAATTACCCGAGGACAGTACGTGTAGACGACACCCATTCTGCCATATTGGAGACATCTCGCATCCGCCTACTCAAAACTCGAAAATGATCTACCGGCTGTCCAACGTACCCCGCCATGAGGACGTCGTAAACGAGAGCTCGGAAACCTTAATCCTCCAACATGCCCAAAGTAGTTTGACTCCAAAGCAAGACCGAATGAGAAAGTTCAAAATATCGGCACCAGTGATTGGGTTTCGTGCAAATTGACAAGTAAGCTTAAACTTTCATCGTCCTCCACCGGCTGCTAGCGGCGACACGGAGGAAGATGGAGGCCGGCCCCATGCCTGATAGGGCATTCGAAGCCGCTAGTGGTGTGTTTCCAGATCGTTCATCTTGGATGTAGTTGATCTCACCCTCGCGAAATACAAGTCGAATACCGGGTTTCCTTGTTTGCCAGGCAGGATTGGGTTTGTAATAGCTCCGAAAGTCCATGCTGCTCAACTTTGGACTCTTCCAACCCCGCCGTTCATGATCAGCGTGTACCTCGAAAGAAAATGTAGTCAGTTGCGTCATAGTTACCGGGCAGATATTGTGAACAAGTTCCGATGAAGGTCGAGACCTCACCTTTCCGAACTTCAGGGATACTTTTATTCTGATTAGTGGGTTTTTCAAAGTTGTCACTAGTGTTTTATACAGCCTGTTTGCCTTGCCGCGTTCAGGATTTCATTTTCATTGCATCGACGATCAACCAGCTTCGCTTGGCATGTTCAAGAAAGGCTGCGAAAAAGTGTGATACGCAATTGCGGGCGCATTTTACAAATTCATTACCATTGCGATCAAGTCCCGCCCCCATCGCCAGTGTATGCAATCGTACAGCAATCTGTCTCTTGGAAAACCTGTGATAACCCCGTTTTACGGGAGGAAAGGAAAAGAAACTTCGTATCATATAATAATTCATAATATGGAAGGCTTGGAACTATCACGATTCTAATACAACAAACAGTCAGTGATAGTTTGTACTTCATTTGGTGAGGCATGAAGAAGAGCAGCTACTCAACATCAAGGAGAGATGAGCATGAGCTAAAAGAGTCCGAATTTTCGGTTCAAGCCTAGACCGGGAGGACACGCAACAGAATTCCAATACAAGGGATCGTTACCGGGTGCACATGTGGGAGCATCTCTAATCGAGATCTTTCAAACAAAATAGCTTCATAATTTATGGCCGGTCCGGACAAAAGGCATCGAGATTTGGCGGCATGAAATCCTTTTCCGGACAGTCAAAACATGACACCCCGCTCAAAGTTGACCGACAGCGAGGTGCTATGTATTGTTCCAACTTAATGAACCGATGCGCCTAATCCTTCCCCTTCTCGAATTTCTCCAAAAGCTTTCCAAACAGCTGGGTTGTTGGAAAGCTTGTCAGAAAGCTTGGTAAGTTCCGACTTCAGATGAGGCCCGGCAAGTATGTACACGTGCGATGGTCTTCATGTGGGAACATCAAAAGCTTCTTCACAAGGGAACAAGACAACCAAGAGAAACATCGCGGCTTCTCAACGAGAGGAATTTTCATCATATGGCTGGTCATTACGAACGTCCCTCGGGAAAGTCCACATGCCGGCCAGTCTTGTGCCGGGGGGATTAGTGACCGTATCGAAAGTCAATTATGGGATCTATATATTTAAACGGTCGACACCATCTCCTCAAATCCTCTCAAGCAAGTCAATCTTGACATCCAGTCATCAAAACACACTGCCAATAACTACTTGCCTACCTCGTTTCGTATCCAGGCTCAGCACTTCGCCACAAGCCCCTCAATATGCGTTACTCTCAGCTCATTCTCTCCCTCTTCCTCCTCGTTACCTTCGTCATTGCTGTGCCTCTGCCCCTGCCAGTGGATGGCTTGGCTGAGAGGTCCACCAACAGGAAGGGAGACGGGCTGAAAAACTCCAAGACTACGGCCAAGGGAATCCAGAAGAACATCAACATACAAAAGCAGGAGCTGCATGAGACCAAAGACGTAAGGAAGGCTGAAGGAACGAAGAACTTCCGTAAGGAAAAGGGTGAGCTCCAGAGCGAGATCAGGGCAGGACAGAGACAGCGTGAAAGGAACCAGCATACCGCCGATCCGAGCAACAGAAAGCTGGTCAAGGGCCTCAACAAGGTAACACAATATCCAGATACCTTATTTGAGTGAGTGACTATCAAATTTGGGATGTTAACTGTTTGCTTGTAGGTCGAAAAAGCCCAAGCCAAGGAGTACAAGCAAGCCTCGTCTCTGAACGGGGGAAAAGGCGACAGGAAAACATTGAGCAAACTCAACAAGGAAATCAACCAGGGTATCGACGTAAACAGGGAAAATAAAAAGGCCGTGAGTGTTGCCAACAGCTTTCTCAAGGAAGCAGGATACTGACTGTCACCTACAGGCGCTGAGAGGCAGTGGGCGTCACGGTCACTAAACGCGCCAGGGCAGGATCGCAAAGTGATGTGAGGCAAAGCCTCGCATGGGATGGCTGATGCTAGCTAGGATGGGCATGGCGGACGGGAAAAAGTGTAGTTTAAAATTATCAGTTGAGTTCAGTACACACGTGAAGTCAATGCACCATTAATCCACTTTGGGTTATCAATCTTCTGAAGATCAGTGATGGTGATTCAACATGACAAGGTACTTGAAAAAGACTTGCAACGAAGCAAGAGAGTATTGGGCGGCATTGGTTCCCTGGCAGTCTTGTCCAAGCAAACGCAGTCAGAAACCTCGATCAATATGTGGCCCTCACCTATTGTCCTCCTGAGATCTTGGTAGAGAAGCAGGGATCCCTCATCCAATCAACATTTCCATCATACCGCTGGTCTGTCCACGCAGGGCGTATTATCAAGGACGGTCCAGTGGCCCTTGTCTTGGGACGAACTTGAATCCAAGAAGCCGGGCTCCGAATGCCAAGCATCAAATAAACTCCGGTCAAGCTCGAGGTCAGTGGAGAGAATCAATAGAGTTTAGTCGAGAGGCGAGATGATAAATAGGCAGCTGAGATTGACTTTTACGGGAAGCTTTGTATGTGTGCGCTCCGTGTCACCACTCCATGTGCGGACCTGCCGAGGAGGGATCAACCCACTTCAACATCATGCCCCTGAGATTCCAGCATGTTGGGAACCGCTTGTTGGACACCGCGACTCTGAACCGACTTCTGCCATCTCGATGAGGATTCGCATAAAATACAGAATCGAGATCTCGACTTCATGACTTCAGCATTAGCCGACGCAGAATAAGAGTAAAATTCCAGCGTCGTCAGCACTTCAAGCCAATAAAGCAGAGGGAGACTCGCTCGGCCTAGGTCACCGCTGCAAGGGCTGTCAACATGGATGCGGAGACCAGTTCTAGAACCATGAGCTGGGACCCAGGGCTGAAATAGTCAGTGCAGAAGTGCTGTACTGTGAATGCCGAGTTCGTGTTTGTACTTCAGATGACTGCGCGAGATTTATGTTCCGAACAACCATAACCTGTGACCGCAATTGGCTAGGCCCCAGGAACGCTGTTTTATGGGCTTGATGAGAGTCACTTTCACACTTTCACAATTGAAATTACGAGAGTTTGTGGAGGTCAAGCTGTGAGAACGTGCTGAGATATCGTGGTTAGACTCCCAGTGTATGTTTCACGCGTGCAAATGACACCATGCAAAGTCTGAACTGCTAATCTACCGCCTCAGTTGGAACGATTAGATTCTCAGTTGGTTTATCGCAACGACCACTTTTGCTTGAGCAAGTGATGCGGCATGTGTACATGAAGCCTAAAGTTTCTGGCCGTTACCTATGTCCCCTTTCAGCCTCTGTACCCGTTTAAAAGCAGCATCCAACGCCTTATGCGTGTTCTCGAAATAAATGTGGCTAAACTCGCTGCTGGCCTGGCCTTTCATCGTTCGTGCTTGAATACCGTGACTGATAGTACCAGAGCGAGCATAGTGAAAGATCGTTGCAATCTCCCAGTCCTTTCCGCTGCCGTCTTTGCGTGGATCAAACCCGACAATCATCGCATAGCGATCTAGGAGCTCTGCTGGTTCGGGGATGCCTGTAGACTTTCGATTCTCTGACCGAAGGGATTCTGGGGGGCCTGTGATTGACTGGCCGGGCTTGATGTGGTCTTCAAAGAATGGACTCATAAAATAGACGAGATCCATGAGCGGATGTCCAATAGTTGACAGCTCCCAATCAAGGATAGCAATCACTCTTGGTTCCGTGGGGTGGAGTATCTAGGACGAATGAATTGGTTAGCATACCTTCTGATCCATACAGAAAAACAGATCTTACCAAGTTATCAAATTTGAAATCTCCGTGGACAATGGCAAACCGCTCACCGGGGAGGTTGTTCCTCACGTAGTTCATGATGTCGTCATACTTCTCATGAGCTCGGCCAAGGAGCTCACCCGTCTTCTTGTCCCTAACAGCCGCTTGTTGAGATTCTATGCGGCTCCAAGTGTCGCAATGACGAGCGTAGAAACCATTCTTCTTGCCGTAACCTTCCAGACCAATTGCATCTGGATCAAGCGAGTGAAGCCAGGCAAGGGTCTCTGTTGCGGAAAACCAGCTTACTCATCTCGTCAACTTGTGATAGCAGGTGTTGGGATTGTGAGGACTCACGCTTTGCGCCTGTCCGATGGTGAAAGCTCTGCCAGACTCGCATCGGTGAGAATCCTGCCTTTCACAAACTCCATAACCTAAAAGACTCGCATGATTAGTCTGAAATATCTGAGCCTGTGGATCTCTAACGCACGTAGAACGAGGTTCCTATGACCGATTCCTCGGTACACAGGGTGAAAACCCTGGGAACGGGAAAGTTGGGAACAGAGCCAAGGGCCTGAAGGACTCTGAACTCCCGGTCAACCTGATGGGCTACTGGGCTAATCGTCTGACCCTGAGGTTTCTTTCTTAAGATGAACCTTGCACCGCTGTTCCGCGTAGAGAAAGAGTTCCTTGTTAGTGTGCTATGACCATGCTGAGGAGAGACGTAAAGGCTATGAGATTTCAGACTAACGCTGCATCATCAAGAAAATACGTTGGATTGCTCTGGCCATATCCAATCTTGGTTGTTGTAACCGGTAGCTGAAGGCCCGGTATCTTTCCCGACCTATGAAGGTACTGTCCTAGGGCCTCGTTGTCAACATCATGATGTGAACCGGAAGAAGGCATAGCTGTGGTCGGATTTCAGACGCTTGGATCTAAGGAGAGATGATAGATGCAGGAAAAGCCCAATGTTTGCTCGAATACATGACGTTCCCGGGTTGCTGGGAAGACGGAATGCCGGGATGCGGAGATGCGGGGGTGTGGGGATGCCGAAATGCGGGGTTTCCAACAAGCCGAGGGCCCTCGGGTGCCGACGTCAGCGATCTTCATCTGCTGAGTCGAGAATCACAGACGCCAGGCCCAGTATTCTAATTTCAGAGATCTGTACAATAGTAACCAAAAGAGACCAAACTTCAACAGGTGCATGGTGTTTCGGAAACGGTTCCCATACACGTATTGCAGTAATCAACCAGAATCGGCACCTCGACCTTGCGAACGGCCCATCATGAACTTCGAACTTCCAGAGGAGGTACAAGATTACCTTAAACAAATCGACTCTTTTATCAAAGACGCTATTCTTCCGTTGCAACACGAAAATGACAACGATCGCTTCTTCGATCACCGTCGTGAGGCCTCACGAACCCAATGGGACAACCAAGGCCTGCCGACTGAAGACTGGGAGGCGTTGCTTGACAAGACCAAGAAGATTGCCGACAAAGCAGGATTCTATTGCTTTGCATGTCCGAAGGAGTATGGCGGCTCAGGTGTCAAAACGCTGAATTTGTACATGTGCGCCGTGCGATATCATCTCGCATCTCACCCTGTATATGGAGGAGGTGTGAGCCTGGCGAATGATCTTCAGAGCGAGCATAGCATTGTCGGCAACATGCCATTTATTCTTATGTTACATCATTACGGCACTGCGGAACAGAAGAGGGAACTGATTCCCGCCAGCATCCGAGGCGAGTTGAGGGCGACATTCGGACTCACCGAAATCCATCACGGCTCGGATGCTACGCATATGGACACAACAGCCCATGCAACCAAACTCCCGAGCGGCGAACACGGCTTCGTGATAAACGGAAACAAGAAGTGGCAAACAGGCATGCACACCGCCAACCACTGTCTGGTCTTCGCTCGAACCTCCGGCAAGGCCGGGGATGCGCGGGGGATCACAGCTTTTCTGGTTCCTCGGAAAACACCCGGAGTTACCGTCGCTTCATTCGAGTGGACACTAAACATGCCGACCGACCACGCCACGGTTGTGTTTGATAACGTCCAAGTACCCGCGTCATGCATTCTCGGACCTCTAGACAACGGCCTGGCGATTGCGCAGACCTTCACCCACGAGAACAGAATCCGGCAGGCAGCGTCAAGCTGTGGTGCTGCGCGGTACTGCATTGATCGGAGTGTCGAACATGCAAACCGTAGGAAGGTCTTCGGGAAGCCTTTATCAGCCAACCAAGCTATTCAATGGCCTCTCGTGGAACTATCAACGCAAGCGGAGATGCTCAGACTTCTCATCCTGCGCACGGCAGTGGAGATGGACCAAGTCAGCGCCGAGGCCACTGCGGCAGGGAAGGCGCCTTGGGTGGCCATTGAAAAACAGCTTGGTCACAAGATTGCGATGTGCAACTACGTTGCGAATCGTTTGGCGTGCGATTCGGCTGACCGAGCCATTCAGATTCATGGCGGCGATGGATATTCACGACATCTGCCTTTCGAGCATATCTGGAGGCATTTCAGACGATACCGGATCACTGAAGGAAGCGAAGAAGTTCAAATGCGGAAAGTGGCAGCTTATTTGTTCGGATATAAGACAGCAAATAGGGATGACGCGAGTACGGGTGGGCCGAAGCTGTGAAATATGAACGAATGTTGGCCCCTATTCAGGATACATGTACAGCTCGTCAAAGATCTGGATAGTTCATACTGATCTCTACGCTTCCCTGCAACTTTGTCACCACAAAGTCTGGCACAATGACAGTCAGTTTGGAAGCAAGGAAACTGTCCATTTGACTACCAATTATCCCCATATTGTCTATGCGAAGACATTCGTCAGCGCATCAGCGTACTCCGTATATGAAGATCCCATTTTCTCGATGTCGTAGTCATTCCAGTAACCTCCACCGGCAACCTCATATTGAGTATCCCAGCCAGCGAATCGGGCTTCCGCTTGCTCAGGTGTGACCCCTTGCGATGGCTTGGCGTCGTTGATTACCCACACGAGAGGAATGACCTTCATTCCCAACGCCGTCTGCCATGTTCCTGGGTTATTGCCAGCTCCACCGTCGTAGACCTGTAGGTAAACCCGGTCAAGAAGGCCCGGACTGGCCGCCTCAATCTGGCTTCTCACTGATGCCCAGAACCCGCTGTTGGTGTACGGCGCAATGGAATACTGGTATCCAATGCTGCCGAGGAGCTGAGCAAAGCTCACGGTGCTTGCCACATCGTACACACTCTCGTCATCGTTGTTGAATGCGTCCAGGTCCCATTCCGTCTTCAGAATTTGGAAGCCTCGGTAGAGGATTGAGTCCGTGCCGGTCCCGTTGCTGTTAATGAGACTTCTGATGTTTTGGAACGTCGTGTCGTGGGATACTAGAGAGACTTCTACTCTGTTGATATTGGTCGTTCCGGTTTTGAAAGACTGAATCTTCTCGGAAAGGACATCTCCGCCGACGTATTGTCCGTTGGTCACCACAGGAGCGTCGACGGCTTCTCCCGCATCGCCTGTTGAGTAGTAGACGAGGTCTCCGTTTTCGAGAACGCCGATTCTGAAGATGAGAAGTGTGTCAAAGCCCGAGGTCTTGAGTGCCGTCGTGTCTGATTGGAGGACGTCTTTGAAGAGATAGATGGACTTCACATTCTGGTTGGTTTGGGCGAAGACAGTTGTCGAAATGAACAAAGTGAGAAGAAGCGCCTGCGTGGCAACGCGGGTCCACAGGTTTCTGAGAGCGTACATTGCGAGGAGGATAGATCACGCCGCCAGTGGCATTGGAGCATTCACTTGTACGACATCACCAGCCTTCGGCATGGAGGGCGTGCTCTCAATCTTATAGTGGCGTCACGAACTACATGATGGCAGACGGGTCGATGCTGATCTGCCAATCTCCCCTCACACGGCGTAACGTAGCAGCTGTGAACGAGGCCCTGTGAGGTATTGGACGTGAGGATTGGCAGGATTCTTGGTTTAACGCGGCCGATTGCGGGGCTGGTAACCTGCCAAGATCACGGATGGCCTGACTGCATCGGTACCATCCATCCCATGCATGGCTAGGACTAAATTGGTTTTTGTTTTCTTGGTAGATACATAATAGGGACAAGAAGCTCGGATTAAGGGAGTTCGGCCGAACAGGATGCACCATCGTCATTGCGTGGAGGTGCGGCCGGTGGCTGTTCATACCCCGCCCGCCCGTTGCGACCTTCCGGTAATAGATAATGCAGCCGATATCTGAGCAAATCCCTTGCCCGAAGCCATCATAAGGGCTGGCGTGTTCACTATGTCAGTGAAGCAAATCACGAGTCTCCGAAACGGGGTGACGGGCAAGAAAAGATCCAGTCGGCTTTTACAATCACTCAACTATGAGTAAGGATCGCGACTATCTTTTTACTGAGCTTGCTAGTAAGCTTTAGATATCTCAGCCGAGGGATCGACTAGCCATGATGTAACTTTAATCCATCTTTCATCAAGTAGCAGTTAGATTTGAGTAATATGAACTGCCTGTCGCTGATTTATTATTGGCTGTGCGATTTCCAGGGCGGAACATCTAGATAAACGTCTTCCCACATGTTTAGTCTCACGTCTCCTGAGACCTTTCTAGCGCATGTAAACCACCACACCATGGACTTCTAAACATCCGGTCCCGTCGAGAACTTGACGCAGAAGTATGCACTGCCGACATATTCTCTTCGCAGGCCACAGTTCTCAGGAAAACGTAGCGATGGTTTAGTTTATCTAGACTTTCGCCAACTCATTAATTTGGATCCAGACAGTTATGATAAGCTTCAAAATCGCCAAAACAAAGTGTGGACTCCGCGTGGTTTGACTCAGATGGAGTCGCCCGCATGGGAGCAGCATGCGTTGATGTAATGACATTTGTGTGGTTTCAAACTCTGAGACTCCGAACAGTTCCTGGCCGACATCATCCCGTAAACAATAATAAAGACGTGTTCTTTTTCTTATCCGGGAGTAGGTCGAAGACCAAAGAAAAGCATCTTCGTCTCACCTCAAAGGCGTTGTTGCGGTAAGCCAATGAGAGCTCAACATTACATGGCAACTCGCTCCTTCCCTCTCTTTCACGACGAGCCCAGCTTCACCTTTTTTAAAGACTCGACCGGTTTTTTTTTTTTTTTTCGCTTATCTCAATTTCGAGTTTTCAACGGGCACCTTCCTCGTACTGGGGACACCCGAGTTGCCTCTCGAATTCTCCTCCACACCGGATTTTCACGACTTCCTCTTGGACTTCCACGTCTCACCTCCTCCATCCAACCTTCGACTCGCGAATATCAACCATCCTCATCTTCGATCTTCTACAATCTTTAGCCGACTCGGACATTTTTCTTTTGCTTATCTTGCGGACGATTCACGATATAGTTTGCTCTGCCGACTGCGTCCTCTACGTTAGACGCTACCTGCGATATTCTCGATCAGCCCGTCACTTTGGAAATAGCACAAAGCGTTGCTCAAGAATCTCTCACCATGCCGCGATACGGATGTACGGCTCTCCTGACCTTCCATTCTACTCCTTTCTGATCGTCAACTGCAGTTGCCCCCCGACGAACCCATCCCCAGCCTGTCGCGAACCCGGCCCGGGAGCCCCAGCCAGCTCCTGTTCGCCGCAGCCCTCGCCGTCGCGCCGGTCGACCTGAGTACAACGTGGACTTGCTATTCAGCCCGAAGCGGTATTACGGCCAAGCGGGAAATAATCGCTCGGCTCATTCGATTCGCCCGGTCCCGCGACTGGTTCTCGAGAAGAAGCCCGATGTCGCCGCCCCTGCCGACGGCCTCGCTCTCCAGTCTCCGGCTCCGATGGTGAAGCCCAGAGACCTGACTGCCAGAAACTGCGATTGCGATAGACCGAACACCGAGAAGCCGTACATCTTCACCCGATGTGGCCATGTATGTCTGACCGCTGCGAAATTCCGCTGGAAACCAACCCCTTGCTAACCTCACCAGTCGGCTTGCCAGTCTTGCGTCGACAACCGTGGTACTTGCTGCGGCAAGATGCAGAATCTTCAACTCAACTACCAGGCCGGCGAGTCAACTTGCCAGGTGTGCCTGGATGACACGGTCAGCAGCTGGTGTGTTCTCGTCTGTGGTAAGCTCGATCCTCCCACGTCAATTTCCCACCTTTTACTGACGGTTCTCTCCAGGACACAGAACGTGCAAGGATTGCTTCAACAGCATCGCTAAAGACAGCCGTCTTCGCAAATGCCCGACTTGCAGAAGAGTTTTCCAGGTTGGATACATCACTGCGCCCGATGCGTAACTCCCCGCTACAATGCAAGAGATTGTTTCCATCATTGGCTTAGGGGACGAATGGCGGAATTGACGACTACTTTCACTATCGACTTCATGTGCAGAGGGAGAGCCATCCGTTGAGTTTCTTCGGGGACACGAGACATGACGCAGTCTTCGAGGTTCATCAGCATTGCTGCATTTTGCTGGCATGCCGCACGTATCGAACTTGTGCTTATCGAGATACAGGTTTCGACACGGGAAACACTGAAGCGATCGCACCGCGGGGTTTTCTGATCATGTTTTTGTTTTGGAGTTTGGGACTGGAAAAAGAAGGAAGTCATGGCAGGTTGGCTTGGTGACATTTGGTTTTATAATCTGGGAGAGGACGGTGGGAATTGCATCTTTCGCCGTTATTTGGGTCGCATTGGAGGCAGGCACCGTACTTGAGCATGGGGAGTTCATATTACAGCATCGTGATATCAATTCAAAAGTATTTTGTTTCGTAAACGCCCAGGGTAATGAGTTTGTTCGGCCCGTGATGTTCACTTGGGCCTGATGCCACCGAGATAAAGCTTTCGAGATCATCTTCATTGAGCGCACCTGGAGCTGTATGCCGTTGGGACAAAGAGAGACGGCCTCTCCTGCACCAAGTGGACTTTCCGTCGCCGGCAAGCGTGCTTCCGATGCCATTGTATCCTACCTTCCTCCGTTGATCTCGAGCCTAGAGTCTCTACTTCGACCTATGTTATTTCTCCAGCATCCGTCCTTCCTTGATCCACTGTCAACTCAAAATCAACTACTTCATAATCACAAATATTGCTTCATCAAGCCACGCATCCCACAATCATTCTTCGAGCCATACGCTTGAAAGAAAAGTTCTAGATATCATTTCCACGCACCAGAGCCAACCTCCTCCAAGCGAGACATCATGTGCGGTAGAACCAGGCACATTTGGGTTTGCCCATGCGAAGACTTCATCACCGGCAAGGAGTCCTGCCCTCGTGTGAAAGCTGAGGACAGAATCACCGGCCATATCGTTTGCATCCAAATCAGTGTGGTTTTCCACTACTGCAACGACTGGTTTACCAATCAACCCTTCGAAATCGTCCTCTCGTCTCACGTCACACCGAACATGATCTGCCCCCGATTTTACTGGCAACACGAAACGGAACATCGCGAGATGTGCACCAGCTGCCGCCACGCACGATGCCGTAACATAGACACGGGGGAAGTAGCGTTTTGAGGAGGACGAAGGAAATAGGTCATGGAAGGGCTGCATGGTTTGTTTGGTGTTCATGCCGTACATTGCTCGAGGCAGAGGGTGGAGTTATGGATGCAGACAAGCGAATACTACATGTCTTGGTGTTCGTCGCATACGCTTGAAGATGCTGCGGTTGGAGCTTTGCGGGAAATGGACGTGGTTTATTAACTTGATAGCGGGTTATTCTCGTGATATAGACGAGGATAGGGTATAAATGACGAGCAAAAGAACTAGGAAATACATCTGCCCAGCGATGGCGCTTCACCAGCCATTATCATAATCAACTGAGTAACGCCTTCTTTGCCTTCTCCTTTTCCTCCTTCTTAGCCGCCTTTGCTTCCTTCAGAATACCAGAGTAAAACAAAAGCCTGTCCCTCTTGTATCGCAGCCCTTTTTTCCTTCGAGCATTTAGAAAGGAGACTTGGACCTTGGCCCAGTCCAACGGGATTCCCTTGTATATGTTTTCCTCCTCCTGTCGAAGCAGCTCTTCGTCCGTCATTCTAGTGTTGTAGTGGTAGGCGCCCTTCCCAGCTGTTCCTGATGCTTCTTGATTTTTGTTCTCGTCTGGGAGTATTGATGTGCGACAGGTCTGCGTGTCTTCCGGGGTTGGGGCCGGGGTTACTGAGAAGTTGGACAACGCCGATGTGGCCTTTGCCATGTTCAACGTGAAGACATCGGTCGTCGCGTTCTCCGCAACGGCCATGATGAAGTAGTGAAATGATAAGCACTGATAGGAAGTCAGAACATTGAGCCCTTCCAATATGACGGATAGCGGCGGCGGCGTCAATACCTTTGGACTTGCTAGCTTTGAGGCGGCCAACAATGACTGTTCAGGAGTGGATGAGAAAAGTCGCAGACCCGGCGAGAGAACAGCCCAAAAGAAAATACGGGAGACCGCAAATAAAGCGGTTACGCAGTGGGACCGGATCCGTATGCGGGACGATTTATATGATGCCTCGTTGGGCGAAACGCCGGGGCATTAATCCATCCGATGATCGACACCAACAACAGGTCTTGACGCCGGCGTTCCGCGTTGGAGCAAACAATGAGTAGCGTTGCCAAACAACCCCCTGGAATGTTGCACGTATTTGGGTTTCTGGCTGAACCCTTGCTGTTTGCCATTGCCTGCAGTCTCCACCAAGACAAGGTGGGCTCATATCGTGCGGTGCTACGCAGAACTTGATGTCAAATACACCATGAGCGAGAGGATGAATCGGCGTCTCAATGGCCGAGTCAAAAATCATATTGATCACATATCATAAGGGGATGTCATCGTTGTTTCTTCTTCCATGGCCGTAAGCTCGCAGTCGAGCACAAGCGCGTTGGCTCGTTGATTGCCAAGAGGTTTTATGCAGTTGGTTGGTGCTTGGTGCAGGCGTGGTATTCAGACCGGGGGTCGGAGCCGGGGAGCTAGTCCGGCGTGTTGTCTCCTTCCCGTCTCATCACATGGAATTTACAGACAAGCATGGATGTAAATCCTTCATCCACGAGGCTTTCGATGATGCGACGCTGAGGCGGCGTTTATTCAGTCTCAATCTGCGGAGCCGAACTTGCCGCCATATGACTACCACCAAGACGCATGTATATTCTGGAGAAGGCGACATCTTCCTCGTCCAATAGGCAATTGGCCACCGTGAGGCTCACTTGTAACTGAGACCCGGAACAAACTAGTCATATCAGTGCCAACGTTTACTGCAAGAATTAATGACATGTCGCCTAAGCCTATGAGGCGAGATCACATCTTCAGACTTCGTCTAGTCCTCCAAGAGCTATGATGTTCGCATGCTGGCCAGGTTCATGCCCGGTCGAATCAGTGGCTCCAACTTCCATCGAAGCAGCAAAAGTCATGTTTACACCAAGAGACATCATTATCGTTGCATACAAAATCACACGCGTAGTACGTTATATAAAGTTGTTGGAAGTCTTAATACTCGAGCTTTCTCAGGTAACACTGTACGTTTAGTTGGTTTTGGACTGTATTAGGAGAAGACTAGATACAACAGACCTTGATCCCGTATTTCGATGGTCCTTCCGTTTGCTCCTTCCAACTGAAACACCTCTCTGGTTTGAGCAAGTTCAACCACCTCTCTTTCAACAAAGAAGGCCTGCTGGCGAAATGGCAACGCGTCGGATTTCGGTAATCAATACTCAATACTCCGAAGATTGCAGGTTCGAGTCCTGCGCAGGTCGCAACTTCTTTTTACCCATTTCTTTCGTTTTTTGCTGTTATTTACTTAGTTATAAGGCCAACTATCTAGAGAAGCCCGACTGCATACTTGCCTCTCGTGGATTTTTCATTCACTCAAACTTGTTTGTTTTTATAAATACACCTAAATGAGGAAGAAGTCTAAACGATGACCGCAACCTCAGCTATATCACTGAGGTAAATATGTCGTTCAACCTAGCCAAGACCTTCAGAATAGGGCAAGCCAAGGCAAACTAGATTGCTAGTCTTGGCTCTTTGAAACCGGGGGCACTCTTAGAACCAACCTCCTACTAAATCTACAGAATATTCCTGGCGAAACCATGTTCATGTGAGAACGTGCTCCAAAGGCTTCGTGGGTACAAATGGAATGACACGAAATGCGGGCAAGTACGTCGAACGACATTGTCTTCTACGATGTGAGTGAACGTTACTGGAGAAACGGAAACTTAGTGCTGATGGCCTCATCGAGAAAAAAACCCTACGTGTTGGATAATTCGGTGTCTCCAGAGCTCAGTAATGCGACATACCAGATCGGATCGGAGCAAAAGGTTGCCACTTTCCGATGTGTCAGATCTGCAGTGACACATCGGATACGGATGTTCTGCTGCAGCAGTTTTTGCAGCAGGAAAATACTAAGCATGCTAAAGTTCCATCAACACATAAAACCCGTGGTGGTCATGACGGTTTTGAATATAATCTTCAACCACTGACTCTTCAAGTTCCCAAAGTGGAAAATGCTCCCCACTTGACTGCCTGCCGAGCCTTTGGAATTACCCAAGCATCATGCAGGTTCATTTTTATTGACTTGGGGCTTGCAACCAGACCACGTTGATTGGGCACGTTGCGAATTAGCGCGTGATCTCGGTGTGATTGGAGATCATTCCCCTGATAAGACACCTCTGCGTGATGTGCTCACATATCATCTTCGTTGGCCCGCCTTGATCGGAAGGCAAGGGTCAGCTCCCCGGAGGCGCTGTCCCAACAAGACTTCGCGGAACCCTGGCTCCTCGCCATTCAACTGTTACCGACGCTATGGAAGCCCCCTGCTCCGAAGGCACCTGGTTCAGCTATTTGCAAACAAATAAGTAGCGGGTGACGCAGTGTGTGTTGCATTTCTAAAAGCCGGACAATATTTGCTCGCTGTTGGTGCCAGCCTGGATATGTGCGCTGCAATGGGAGCGTATTGCTTCTCAGCGTATCGACTCACGCACATCGCTCATATTCTACAGACTACGGCCGAACAGTCTCTCATTTTTTTGCGCTCTGTGCAGAAGAGACGCTTAAGCGAGACGACTTGACCGGAAGAAGCACCTATAGCACAATCTATCTGACGGGGGACACCGGGATCACTGCCCGTTAACGCCAGTGAACCAGACCCCTGAAGACTGCCTGTTTGCCTCAAATTCGCCGGTCATCATCACACCGCATCCCATCGCCCTGACTTGGCATGTCCAGACGAAAAGTCTTAAGACGAGTCGCAGCCTCACACTTCCTCGTTCGCAACTGTGAATCCTTGGCAGTCCATAGTCTACATATACCATTGACATCACGGCCCGTATGGACGGCGACATGGAGCGCCCGCACTCTCCCGGGTCACCATTGATCGAGGAAAATCGGGGCTGGCACATGCCCGACGGCCTGACGCACCTCCGACCAGAGTCTCCGGGGCCAGATCCGGAGCTCAACGACTACTGCGCTCTTTGCGCCCTGGGGCCACGACGAGACAACACCGCCGAGACGCCAAATGCCAACAGAAGTCGGCTTGTGGGCTTGCTAAAGTTGGTAATACGCGAAGCCCCGGGTCCGGGCAAGCCGGGGCCGTCAGACGAACAAGCCAAAATGATTGGCAAATACATCAATGAGGTCTGTCGAACAGACTCGAGACAATGGAGAGTTCAGACACTGTCCTTTTGTGAGAAGTGTCGTGACGGTTGGTACGGTATTTTGGGTTCGGACCCCGGAATCGTACGGAGTTTATGTTCGTGAGTACTTGACGTAACCCTCCCGACGATCGTCGTTGATGAGTTGGACAACAGTCCGCATGATCGATGCGAGGATGCTGTTCTGGGAAGTTGGCACTGGCTGTGGCATTGGTACTGGGCCGAGAAGAAGAAAGAAGAGAGGAAAACGCTGGACAGGATACACTCGCGGTGACAGCGGGCAAGGTGCTGATTCACTGACTCTATGTGAGCATGCTGGTTGGATCTATGCGTCTTCAAAATGGCTGCCGAATCCGTTCACAGGGAAGGTCTATCTTTCATGACCAGGAGCCTATGGCGAAAATTTAAATCAAGCAGTCTTTCATGACCAGAAACAACATTAGCGCAAAAGCAGCAACGATGAGATTGTCGACGTCACAGTCAGCTGGTGACGACGGCATCAACTCGTCTCCATCTTTCGTGTGACGGGGCGAGAGAACAGTTTTCTATTGAGACTTCTCTCCAGTCACCCGGGGTGGTCGTGTGATGCTACTAGGCTCAAAATACTTTGACTTGGATCTATATGGAAGCTGGAGTGGACTTAATGGGACAGAGTCTAATTGATGGAACATCGAAGAAACCACGTTCAACACCAGTTTCATAGCCGTTGAAGCATAGCTCCTGAATCTTGATGAATTGAAAGACTTTCGTAGATTCCTACTTAGTCAAGATTCGATTTTATCTGTGCAACCAGTCTCTCCGAGGTCGCTTTTGTTGTCGTCGTATGGCGCCCTGCTGTTGGACTCTTCTATTTCCTCCTCAGCGCAACTATTAGCCAAGATAAGAAGACGTATCCCTGGGTCATCTATGTGTCTCGGGAGACCTATGCGGGACCGTTGCGCCCCTCGGCCCTCGGGTAAATATGTATTACTTTCTCTATGTTAGCGCTATTCATTCAACAGTCAGGACTGATCCAAAGCTTAATCATACCTGCCATGTCAAAGCATAAGGAGGGAGTTTTGTTCGTTCGAATATTGAACGTTAAATGCGTACTCGCTGCGTACGGCGAGATGTCGAATACAGCCAGAAGAAGAAGGGTTGCGGCAGAGTATTGCGGGGCGAATTACAAATGCAATCGGTGTCTCGAGAGACAGTTGAGGCTTGAACATTTCTCGTCCGGTTATCGCCGTTGTGATTCTTTTGCATTTTGGCTCTGGCAGCGCCTCTGGCTTTCCAGTTCAACTTCGTGGGGCAGTAGCTTTGCTACACCGCTGCCGCTGAATGTATTCTCACGTCTTTCACGACTCTTGGATCGACAGTGTAAGCCTTGCAAGATGCTATTCGTATCGTTTGAAGCGGGTTCCATTGCAGCCAAAGAAGCCTCCTCATCGTGGAGAGAAGCTTCCGGGCTAGCTTTTGCCACGTAAGCAACTTGATGTTCAGAAACAAACGACCCCGTCCCTGGCGAGAAGCCCGCGACATTGCTGCGTTTCGATCGCGCATTGGGGTTTGAAGCGGCCACTGATCTGACTGTGGCCCTGTGTCGGTCCTTGTCTTGGGGGTGAGATATGTTAATATACTTTAAGGTTTTAGCGCCTGCGATGTCGAGAGATTTGGCTGCTTTGGGCCTTCTGGACTTGACGTTCTTTGTGGCAGTCTGTGCTCGTCCACGTTGAGTTTTCGATGGCTGTTCGCAACCTGTTTTGATGTCTTCTGGTGCACTTTGTGAGGCGTCCTGGTCTTCCGTTGCGTTGTTGTTCCAGGCATCCCGTACAGGATCATAGAACGGCCGTCGCATAGAATCCGATGTCGTAGACTGGGATGGCTCCGCGATGGCCCGGCTCAAGTGGGTCATGGTATCCGGGCTGGTCGTCGGTTCATAGCAATTGCCGGATGTGTCAAGCACCCCAGGTGTCCGGAGGAATGGAGTCGTCTGTTTCCGCTGGGATCCTCGGGATTTGGGGGACTTTTCGCGCTTGAATCTGCCTGCAACAGGGTCGAAATTTAGAAATTCTTTCTTTGGTCCCATGCCGACCGTTTTGCTTGCTCCACCTGGCCGCGAACGGGCGGACGAGGATTGCGGGCTAAGATGACGGAGATGTTGATGAGGGGTAACGGGCCAGGATCCGAATTTGGGAGGAGACTGGAATCGGGCACATCAGCGGAGTTAGAATGGGCGAGGATCTGTGCAACGAAGAACTTTTGAGCGACCTGATCGTCGTCAGCAGGTGTCTTGTATCCTAATCTCGCAACCTCGGGGGCTGGACAAGAAGTCGGAAGACGGACTAAAAGTCGTGCATGTAATCTAGGATTTGGGCGACCCATGGCAGCATCTCGTCGCCTCGTTCACCGGTCAAAACTTCGGCGTGTCTGACAGGGTGATGTACGTCGTTCGTCCCTTCTATGCCTTTCCCCAGGGTCGCGCTTGTTAGGTTCAGGCGGCTGCAGGATAATTATGGACTGGAGCTTATTCGACTTGAGTATTGTACTTTACGGCCCAACTCCTTATCGTATCACATTGTCTGAATGATCACCAAGTCATCTCTCCCTTGTCAGTGACACCGCGGGTACGACTGTGTCAGAATTGGTGCCCATGGTTACTTGGCCATTACCAGACCTATGAGAGGAATGAATGCGTACATATCGCATCCTAGAGAGTAAGGGAAGCCTCCAGCTGCTGGGCTTGCATATGCGTCTCGACCAGAACGGTAATCAAGGTGGGAAACCTCTCTCCGGAGGGCTTGGACACGAGATTGGGCTGATGAACACAGTGGCGCATAAGCGGCAAAAAGCAAAACATCCCTGCCTGTTCAGCAGCTCATTCATCTCATTCCTCTCGCCGGCGTCAGCAGTGAGAATGGGCCAGTTCAATGTTTGTGATTGATGCAGGCGGGATCTCTGACGGCAATCGTCACTCGAATTCTTCTTGAGGTAGCATGCTTATTCTCAGGCGATGCAGCCCGGAAGATTGTTTTTCTCTCATGCAGACCCGTTTGGTAAAGCTATTTCTGGAGTAGGTTCCTTCTTTTCCCACCGACTCCGATGCAGCCTCCGGGTAGCGGCGGCGGAGGAGTCTCCGCGAACCCACCTGCATACATACTGCAATCTACTTAACGCGTCTCAGACGTTGCACAGGAGGCAGTGAATGATTTTCTCAATACCTCGATCGGCCAATTCGCGTTGGTTCTATGCCAATGATTTCCATTAGCTCTAGCCGCTGGAGTCTCCAAGAGGAGACCCGACCGCTACTTGGTTTCTTCCAGCAAACCGGAGTGTTTCCCGAGCAGGCACCGATATATGGCCAAGGCAGCCATCCAAATCAGAAAACGAAGACATGCGATAACTCGAACACCGCGGTATTTCTGCTCGATCCCCTAAGATCGCTGAGGCTCGCGCGGGTTTATTGGTAAAACATGTCCTCTTGTATCTGCGGGACTAACTTCAGCGCGTGTTTCTTCCATTGAATGAGTGAGGAGCATTGTAGGCGTGATGGGAAGAAGGCACCGTCATTGGTGTGGGGGATTACGTTGACTCTGGAATCATGGAGGTCAGCAAGATAGCCTCAATTTTAGGCTCATTTTCGATATTAGCTTTATCCACATCTTCGTTGCCTGATGATCATCGACAAATACAGAACTCCTGAGGTCAGACTCATGAACGTTGCCTGATCTGACAGGCGAGAACAACGCACGTCAACGTAGACCAATGCAGTGTGGCTTCAGCTTCAGTTTAGGCATCAACTACTCGATGTTAGTATGTCCCGCGTGATGCGATCAAGTGTGATGATGGAGTGTTTAATTAGTCTTCAGAGGTACAAAACCGGAGCGTTATCGTTGAAAGTTTCAAAAGAAAAAGTCAATCAAACAAGGCAACCAAGGCATCTTCAAGTTCACATCGTCTTCAAGTACTCTCCTGAGAACTTAATTACAATGGTGGTCACAGAGGTTGGGTGTCTGGGCATCAAGCCAGGCCTGGAAGTCATGAATGATTCCAAGCCAGAGGGGGCTGTTTTAGCAAAGGCATACACAACTGTCACCGCCACCGACGGCGGTCCCTACCGCTCGTTCTGGGGTCTCGAGATCGAAAACCCTCTCATGTTGTGGGCTTTTTTCGACTTCGACTCGGTCGAACATCACAGGAGATTTGCAGAACTGTAAGTTGAAATTCATGAAGTTCTTCACAGAGAAAAACAGCTGATGACAGTCTATTCAACACAGCCATGGCGCCGAAATCGTCAAGGGCCTACCTACTCTTTTAACCCACGGCGAGTTCACAAAGCATATCGCTTTCACCTCGTCTGCCCCAGTAGCTCTACGATCACCCATCACTCAGATAATCCTTATCCACGTCCGTGGAAATGTGGATTGTTCCGTCAAGGAAGGGCTTTCTGCAACATTGGAAGCAACGCTCAGCACGACGTTTGTTGCACATGCAGGTGTTACGGCCACTAGTTATGGTTGGAGCGTAGAGAACGATGTGCCTATTCGTGGAGAAAAAGGCCAGGCTGGGTTTGTTCTTGCGGCAGCCATTGGGTGGTCTGGGCCTGAACTGCAAAGAAGTTTCCAGGAAACTGGGATTTGGAAATTGGCCGAGGACAAAATTAGTGACCTTGAGGGCGTGCTCAAGATTACTTCTATTACCCTAAGCTGCCAATGCTCGGAGAGAGTTTCGAAGTAGCTGGGTCGTAAGATTTAAGATGGGTCAACAGTAGCTTTTTAGTTTGTACCACAGTCTAGGTTTTCTAGAATTCCACTGCCTTGTTTCGGTTTTCGTTTATTTGGCATGACCGAGAGTAATCGTGCGACTATTCTTATTCCGGATATTAATCTCTATACATACAACCAGGTGCAGCAGCTTGAAGGAGTAAAAGTCCCAGAGCAAAAAGAAGGATCGTCCACGCCCGTTGTCGATGAGGCGGGAGGCGGTCTGTCTTGGATGCCGAATGGAGCTTCTTTTCCCTCGACATATCTCCATTGCGTTTCCGCTGTTCGTTGGGGGTTCTCAATACTGGTGAAATGGCTGCCGTTGCTGCCGCTGCCGCCTTGCACATTGTTGATACCGTGACTTTGGGACTTGCATGACGCTCTGCGGGTGCCACATCCAAGGGATCCGTATGCAATTTCTTCAAGAGATTGTGGGAAGACGACGGATACTGAGTTGAGCCGACGTCATTGTGGTGGATTTGTGCCAAGGTGAGATTGGTTCTGGTTCGGCGTTTTCTAGTCGGCTGGGAATCCGGCCATCGAAAAAGGACAACTGGCTCGGCTTCGAATGGCAGCTGAATACCGGAAAGCTCGTCTTCTTCTTCGCGTGTCATCATGGGCTCTGCGCGTTCAACGAGTGACGAGTCTGTCAAGCGTACGTGTCCTTTTTTTTGGTGAACTGATTGCTGGAATGAGTCTGCAAATGGTTTGTAGATCTTCTTGATTTTGTAGAATATTGAAACACTAATGGATCGGAAGTCCAAATACCACATGGGTCATGAGTATTATAAACATCAAGACATCAGCGCCCACACACAACACTGCAGGCATACGCTGCTGTGCATTAATGACACAGCTTAACCCAGGGCTGCTGGTTATTCTTTCTAAAGAGGCCATTTTCAGTAAAGTTGTAGCAAGTTTCATTTCTTAGACACGCATGGAAGAAATCCATATGCCTGTCTGCAACTTTTGTGAGATTTCCTTGATGGAATTCTTTGCTGGCACAGGTGTGAGGTGTGATGACGTTACATAACTATCATCTTATCCAATCATAAGATTGGGCCAGAACCCAATTATGATGAAGATTTATAATTTGATCTGTCATGTCTTGGCTTTGACGCCAGATCCTTTGTTCTGCAGCCTGTGTGCTGTTGGCAGTTGAAACCAACTGATGTCTGCCCATTCTCTGTGCTTGCTGGGGTGGTGCCTAGGTTCTCTTCCCAAAGCTGTCTGTCCTCAATTCGTTGACATTTGCGCACTGACCAAAACTTGTGGTTGCTTTCGGCGCCTCGCACGTTTTTCCTCCAATACGGTTTCCTTTTGCCTTCGTACTATGAGCTCTGCGAAAGATCTCAGTACAGGGAAGAGGTAACTTCGCCAGCAAACCAGGGCTTTCGCTTGGCGCCCAAGGGCTGGTGCAACTGCAGCTTCCGCCATGGCGGCCAGTTTTGAAATGATCCGACGGTATGTAGGTCCATAATCCTTCCGGGATAGAAGAAGTTGGGGGCCCGGCAATATTCATATGGGATATTTGTTGCAGAGCTAACGCAATCCGAGCGTACGTTGGAAGTGCCTGAGGCTCAGAAGAATAGAGGTCTTGATTAGCTACTGTAACTACCAGTATATTAGAGCCAGTTCCGCACTCCAGATTCGACCATGGCTGGAAACACAGCTGTTTTTTGTTTCCGTAGATTTCCGCCGTAGACTCGTACAGCAGGATACATGTACTCAATGAGAAGAACTTCAGTCACAGACTCATCCAGGAGTATCCCATTCGTAGAGAGCAATCACTCAGTCTTTGGCAGGCATGTAAAAAGGTGGCCAGCTGTATTTGACGTTATTAGACTCCTTGCTTCCTGGTTTCATTGTTTACTCTCCCTGATGGATCAAATGTGTTTCCATGCAGAGTATCTGTACGACGGTGTTCTGTTTCGCAAAGGTTCGTCATACAATCATAATCCAATCTGGCCTCATATACAGCACCAAGGGAAGAATGGGAGTGGGCCGGATTTCTAATTCATAAGACTTGGTGACCCCCGCGACGTTTTTTCGCTTCTCTATCCATTTACGGTGACTTTGATGATCTTCTTGATCTATCCGCGGTCAAAATCATGCTTCTCGGGGTGTTTTGGAGTGTTGCAGGCCTGTTCTGTCTGGCGGCAGCAATCCCACGTCTTGAGGGCTATGAGAGTCTTTCGGATGCCGAGGTGGCAGAACTGTCTCAAGATGTAGCCCAGGCCGTCCACGACAACATCAAACTGCCTCTTCTTTCAATTAGCGCCATGACCTCGACAACCGGCTCTCCTCGCAATGAGGCAACTCTTGCTGTGCGCCAAAAGCTTTCACTCAGGGATCCTCAGCCCCCCGGAAATTTCCCGGGGTCCGCCTTGCCATTCTCAGAACAGGAACGCAAATGCCACAATGAAGACGACTTTCGAGGTCATGCGGAGATCCGGAGTGGAAAGCAGCATGATGGTGCTGTGGCCTTCTGTAAATCTTCAAAAGGCATGGCGACATTGACCAAGGCTGTGAACGGAAATCCACCGTACCCGGCGGTTCGCTATCGCCATGTCGACAGGTGGAAGATTAATCACGACTTCAAAGTGGAATGGGAGCCTGGCTGTGAGACGAGCGAGAGGATTCAAGAGATCCAGCAGCCAACTGGCCCTGGAGGCCCAGTCTGCTATCATCTGATGAGGGCAAACTACTTGAACTGTAAGTTGATGAGATATTTCCCACCATGAGACAATAATCAAACTCACCATCGTCTTCCAGGCATCAACGGTGGCGTCGGAGGCAGTGTGCAGGTTGGGTGCTTGATCTACACGTACAACGGTGGGAAGGCCGGTCAATATTATTGAGCCTTCGGGGACGAACTCTACACGGTTTTGCTGATAGCAGACGAGTTCACAGTTATGTTGAGATGATTCGATAAAACTTTCTGCATTAATCGATCACATTGTCTACACGCATGCAAGACACTTTAACAACGTCAAACTGGACGTCTTAGCAAAATTGGTCTGTTCACTTGTGTGAAGCCGCCAAGCTGTTCCTTGATTTCACTCATACCATAACTAGGAACTTTGAATTGGTCATAGATTCATTATGCTTGATCCCTTGATCGTGAGAATGACGGTTCTTTTCCCAATCGGAGCTGAAGAGATATTTACAGAATCGCCAACCGCTTTCCCTCCTTTCGTTCGACATGTTCGGCCAACGGAAAGGAGGTCTCGGACAGCTGCAGACACAAACTCCAGCCAAACTGTCCTTGATAGGCTAAAGTCCCCACCATCTCTGAGACAAAGTTTTGAATATTTCGTTTGGCAGGAACGCTCGACTGCGCAACATCCCAAACCAGATTCCGTCCGGTGCCCGCAAACCTGCCGTCACCTGCCAACCGCGATGCTCATCACCTCACCGTCAACCTCAACCTCGCAACAGGGCGCTTGGTCTAGGGGTATGACATCCCTTTCGCAAAGGGAAGGTCTTGGGTTCGATCCCCAAAGTGTCCATCCTTTTTGGAGGAACCTAGCATTTTCAACATGATCAAGTATTCTTCACATACGACTTTTTGAGTACCGCGCAGCCTGCGTCGGTCTACCTATTTGACGTCAGTCTGTGATTGCTTATCCAATATATAAATCCCAAATTACTACAGCAGCGCAGTTACACAGCCGACCTCGTACATTAGACCGGTCCTTCCCATCTGATGTGGTTGCGCAAACCTCCGAACATTAGCCGGTGTCAGGAGTTCTCACCACCCCCACACTCTTGTTTGGACGTCGCGAAACACGACACCTTCATCTCTGGCACTCTCACCGGCCGATTTCCAGACCGACTTTTACGAGCCGCTGGGCCTTTGACTGCAGTTTTCATTTAGAAATTTCATCATCCCGCCTCTTCCGCTTTGGCACTTCGCAAAACGCCTCAACGTGATGTGGGTGGCTTGCCCGGCAAGCCAAACAGTTAGCCTAGCCAGACAAAGCAAGCGTTGGCGCTTGAAACATCCTTCATTCAGCCAAAGCCGACTGCGAATTTCCCTTCTCTCGACCGTCCGGCGCTCACATCAGCTTACCTAAGTTGGCTCAACTGCGAAGAGGCTTGCAAGCACCACGCGCCTCAAACGTCCGGCTTACGCCATCATAAACGGTCTCCGACACCGCCAACGCGAAACTTCTAGTGCTGCGTTCCAACTTTAGGCACTCTGATTCCAGTCGCCTGACCTCAACTCAAGATTGGGTTATTAGGAGCACCCAGGCTTTCCGTCCGATCCTTGTACCTTGCGTCTTACATTATCTACTCCTCTTACTGGTTTTTCGCCGATCCTTCAACACTTGATAGGTTCTATTGGAAACCAACCTCGGTCAACACAACGACTCGAGTAAGCCGACTCGATTACTGGCTGGCGTTCAGGATGGAATCGTCTTCACCTATCCCCGGTCTACCCTTCGAGATCGTCCTTGCCATCATTGACGCCGTTCACGACGTCCCAAGCCTGGGATTCTTGTCTCGCACGTGTCGAGATATTTACAACTCAGCAACACCACTACTCTATCGTCGAGGCTTCGCCAGGGATGATGTTGAAGTCCAAAGCAGCATCAACATCCATACAAATTACGACATTGAGGAGCGCGTACGCGACTACACTGTTGAACCATACGCGAAGCCAATAGTCCTATGGGCTGCTGAAGCTGACCCGGTGTACGGTCTTCCTGTGCTCGAGAAGGTGCTCGCTCAACGTCCGCTACACCTTTGGGCGACTTTTCATCTCCCTGGCAACACATGTCAATCACACTGGCCCTGGACATGCGAGCCCGGAGAGCCACTATCCTCCGGTCGTATCACCGCTCTCCATGTAGCGGCCGCGTCAGGCAACTTCCCAGTGGTGTATTGGCTTCTCGAAGATCATCTCTCACGGAGCAACCTCGGACTCGAGGTCACAGCTACGTACGCATGCGTATGCCCATCCCGCCACCTTCAAATTCTACGCCAAAAACACGGTCTTATCGATGCGGAAGACTGTCCGGATGCTACACCGCTGCACTTGGCCCTCGCCCACGGTCATCTGGACGTCGCAAAGCTTTTGATTTTATGCGGTGCTAACTGGTCTCAATTCACCGAAGGCTGTCATGGAGTGACCGGGTTAATGATGATCGCTGCAAATGGTCATTTATCGCTATTACAGTGGCTGTTAACAAGTGGTATGATTACGAGAAAAGACGTTCTATATGAAGATAACATGGGCTTCAAGGCCAAGGACTACCTGGCTGCCTGTGATAAAGATAAAGCAAGGAGAACCATGGCCTGCTTGTTGACGGACAGTAAGCTGGACCAGCCGTGCGAATGTGGTGCTATGTCAAATGCTACGTGTGGCATGGAGGGTACTCATTCATGCGGATCAGATGAGTTGTCGATAGACCAGGAGGCCGGTACCGTTGGTGGCGTTCAGGAGTGAGTTTCTTATATAGTCTGCAAATCTGCGACTGTAATGGTCTTGGATCTTGCTTTGAACGTCAATGGGGAACATGACTTCGTGTCAAAATGGGACTTAAGGGAAGGGGTCAAACCCCTGGAAAGCGTTGTATATATCATTTCTCTTGTTTATTGGCTGGGGACTTTCTGGTTTCTCTTCATCCAATTTCGCCATAGGCATTTCCGACATATAATTCAGGGACGAAGCAACGTATCTGCTACTTTGAATAAGCCTCTTCCAACTTGTAGTCTTGTCGAGCCAGTGGACCCCGAGCTGACTATGGGGCCGGTGTCGGTGCCGCTCCATTAGCCGTTGCCGGACGTTGACCGGAGGTATGATTGGCTCACCGTGAAGTCCCGTCCCGCAGCCCGCGGAGATGATAAGATAAAGCAAATACCTCGCGCTTATCACTTTACCAACGTCAAGCTCGGTAAAGCATGTCACTTGCCACGGAAGACTCAATCCAGCAATCAATGTCTTCAAGCGTAACAACGGTGGATGCTCGAGGGGGCGGGCAGCTGGCCAGCCTTCGATATCAAGGGGAACGAGACGGTAGCCCAATTACGCGACAACGCAGAGGTTGCTTGACTTGCCGCAAGAGGTCGGTTCATCCTCCTGGTTTACCTCCTATTTACAGTGAAGAAAGCTGAAACGACCAAGGAAGAAGAAGTGCTACCAACAGCGCCCCGTTTGCAGTCATTGCTATCGTCTCAACCTTGTATGTCGCTGGGAAGACCCAAGGGATGCGAGTGATGAGATAAGGACGTCTCAATCGACAGAGTCTCGCAGGATGACTTCATCACTTGCTTCAACAAGCAACATGAACGATGTGAATCTGGCTTATCTAGGCATCTCGAACTCTCTCATGTCTGGTCCCGCTTCTTTGACGGACACCCAAGATGGAAACACAAATCTTGTTAGCAGCTGACGCATGATGCTCCGATATTACTCGGCAACGCTGGTCTTCATGTTAACCAACAATTTGCAGAATAATTGTTTTCTATCAGGTAAGTCTTCATTCAGTTTAAAAACGGTTTCCATTGTTGTAACGTTGATGAGTTGAGCAGTTTTGCTGCCGATGGCATTCGAATGTTCTCCTTTGATGTACGCTTTGGCGGCATGTTCCTCAGCGCACCTAGCGCTCCAGCATTCCAACTTTCGAGTGGCAGCTCTACAACATGGTGGCATTGCGTTGGCTGAGCTACGTGCGTCCATGTCGAAGGGATCCCTGAATCAAGAAATGTCTTTGGCCGTGTCTCTGGTTCTATGCTCGATGGAATCCATTTCTTCTGGCACGGACAACTGGACGCATCACCTCTCCGGTGCTGCTTCTGCGCTCCAACAGGTTCCTGATGATACTTATTCCTGGACAATTCCATATCATCAAGCTTCGGTGGATCCCAAGGCCGCACTGCTCCGCACCTACGAGGGTCGTTGGCTCCTTCGAAACTTCGCGTATCACGACATCATTATGAGTGTCTCGCTCAATCGCAGGCCACTGCTCACTGGGGATTATTGGCTGTCAAATGATGTCGACGTCGCAGACCCATACTTTGGGCTCGCGGCACGAGTGGTGTATCTAATCGGCGAGATCAGCCACCTCAATGCCGACTTTGTGGCTGCAACCTGCGTTTCCGCATTCGATCAAGAGGTCTCTTGCGATATACGAAGTGACAGCATCGTCATATCTGAGCTGTGCAGTAGAGCAGAAAGGCTCGAAACAGAGCTCCAAGACTGGCGTTGCCCCTCGAGTTCTGGAGATGAGTCTTTAGTACTTCTGGCCGAGGCATATCGACATGCGGCTCTGATTCACTTGCACCGGGTTTCTCGCCGTCATACATCTTCCAACGCCGACTCACTCAAATCGAAGGTGCAGAATTCTGTGGCTATGATTTGTACCATATCAAAAACCATGGCGAGGGGTTGCTATGCAGAGACCTCGATGATCTTCCCCCTCTTCATGGCTGGTGGCGAGGCAGATACCCCTGAAGAGGTGCGGACTATTAGAGAACGCCTTTGTTCGTTGAACAGCAGCAGAAAGTTCCGCAATGTGGATGCTGCTATCGCGGTCCTTGACGAGGTCTGGAAAGCAAAGGTTTCCAATACAAATGCTGCCAGACTTGACTGGCTGACCGTTGCGAGAACACGCGGCTGGAAGCTGGCGCCTTTTTGAGATAAACTCGATGTGCGGACTTGTGAGCTAGCAGCCTGCACTGAATTTGAGATTGGTCCTGGGTACACATGTACACCGGCTCAATGTTGGCGAAGTCTGTGACGCAAACGACTTAGAAACCAAAAATGAGATACGAATCTTGATCATGCTAAAATAGATAATCAGGATACCTTACAGCCGTGATACTCCAGCTGTGCTTGATAATGCTTCCAAGACCTCCGCTGCTGCGCGCTCACCACTCCGGACCGCGCCCTCCATGTAACCCTTCCACTCCCCCGCAGTCTCTGTTCCGGCAAAGTGCAAACTGCCACAAGGTTGTCGGAGGCTGTCACCACCAAGAGTGTCAAGAACACCAGGCGCCAGTGCCGCGCAAGGGCAACCCCAGCCAGACCACTCATCTTTCACCCACTCATAGGTTGCCAACCGGACGAACTGGCTGTAAACTCCCTCGAATCCGAACAGTTGTGCCAGCTGATCGAGCAGCTTATTCTCCCTATCGGTCTTACCCAACGCCGACCAGGCCTTACCAGCCTCTCCCGCCATGAAGCAAGTGAGTACGTACTTGCCGTCCACCGGTATGCTGGTATCGCGGATGACACTTGCAGGGCCTACGAAGGACTGCGCAAGGCCGCAGAAACCACGTTCAACCCAGAACGGCGTGGTAAACTCCATCATTGCCTTGGTGTAGTATCCGTATGTAAGAGATTGAATCCAGGCCTGCTTGGGTAGAGGCAATGGGGGCTCGAAAGCAATCGTCTTCAGCACAGGGCCCGGAACAGTAGTGATGACCTTGCGTGCCGCCAGAACGCCTGCGTCGGTTTGCACCTTCACCCCCTGGTTACCATCAGATACCACGGCCCTGACAGGTTGGTTGAGGCGGATGGTTCCTTCGGGCAGCGAGGAAGCCAGCCCCTTGGAGAAGAACTGGGTGCCCTGGCGGACACGAAGGTGCTGGCCGCCGCCCTTGCGATCGGAACGCATTTGGAGCAGACCACCGCCGGACTTGCAGTAGTTGAGGAAGTAAAGGGCCGAGATGTCCGTCGCTTCTTGGCCGAGCATAGCGCGGGTCCATACGTTGGCCGTAGCTAGGGCTATGTCGTCGGCACCACGGGATCGCAAGTATGCGTCGAATGTGAGACTATCGAGGCCTGTGTTCTTTGGCTTCCATGCATCAACGACTTGGCAATCGGCTTCGACCATGTCACGGATGGCACCCAGCCTATGGCGGGTAGCTTCATCGAACTGGACCATGGAGTAAGTATTCTGTATCACTTAGATGGTGTCAATGGATCACTTACGAGAGGAAGTTCTCCGTACGGAAACGGGGAACACTTTCCGTCGAATCCCTGCATGACAACGTTGCCATCGGTGTTCTGCTCGATCAACTCGGCATCAAACTCCTTGGCCAAAACATACATCCTGTGTTGGTTGGTGTCATTGATCCATGCCGCGCCGAGGTCGACAACGCCAGGCTGGCCCTGCTGTAGCGGCTCACTCCAAGTCTTACCGCCGACCCGATCGCGCGCCTCGAGCAGGATACAAGAAAGGCCGCCTTTGATGACTTCGCGAGCAGCAGCCAGACCAGCAAGACCGGCACCGATGATGACAACGTCGACTGATTCGGTAGTGTCTGGGAGTACTTGACGAGGCACCGGTGTTATGGCTTCCGGGACCGCGATCACAGCATCGATCTCGAATTTCCAGGAGGGCATCGCCAGCATGGGCACCGGCACGAGAGTCATGGCTGGTCGATGACCACCGAGGAAACGTTGAATATGGCGTACATGCTTCCGGCTTGTGCTGCCGTAGTCGACGATGTTTAGTGTAAGCTTGGCGATGTCCTTGACGGATGCACCTGCAACCAGGATGATCTTGCGCAGGTTGAAGAGTGCTAGGTGGATCTGAGACTCGTAGTCGTCGGGTACGTGGCCGTCTACGGTAGACCCAGGTTGGCCGGCGACATGAATGAGCTTGCTGGCCGAAGCTATCGTTGCTGGTGCAAAGTAGGCTTTGGAGGTGTTGTTGAGATCCAACGTCCGAATGGTTGGGGCCATGGTGAGCTGGGAGGCGGGGAACTTGGATGCGGCCGGATGTTGCGACGAATGGATGGACGGCTTGGGAGGGTAAGATGTCGAGCTTCTCGAGTGCAGCAAGACTTTGATTCCTTTTGGTAAACTTGGATGTGATATCGCCAGCTCTTTAGTAGTTCTTCGATCAGTTATCTGAGCAATGAGCTATGCCTGTATCAGCTCTCACTTACGACATCCGCTCGGCGTGGAAAGACCCCGGATTGTCGGACAACCTTATCGCTTTACCCCACTTCCATTCGGCCAAGTGATTGCATCTGATAGGCGATCTACACCGATAGACCCCGCGTCGTTGGAAGGACACGCGCTCTCACTTGCTGGTCTCCAATTGGAATGTCTCCGTCATGTTCGGTGAAGCGGGGCGGCGCATCTGCACGGCGCTCCGGGCGGGGTGGGGCTGCCAGCATAGACTTGATTGGTATCTCCGATTTTGATCCCGATGATCGTATCAGTGGTCCCGGTGATGTGGCCGAGCCGACTTCGGAAGATCAGTGCCCGTGTAGTTTCTTTGTCAGAAGCCCGTCGACAGTATGATTCACCTGTTTGTATCCCTGCCCAAAGAGGTCTTGATCCACATAATCTTGCTGAACGAAACTCCTATCAAATTGGGAATAATCCTTCTCAATTGAGCTACGGCTTGATAACAACATCCGGCTTCTCCTCAAAAGCTTTGTCTGCCAGAGACAGGTCATATTCCAAGGGCATGTCTATACTACCGAACAGTAAGTTTGTTTTCCGTTGAGGTTACCGGAACTTGGACCTGAGCAGAAGGTGATGTTGATGTGGTGGCCTAAGTTCACGACCAAATTCCGTTCGTCGAAAGTCATGCTCTAGATTGGAGCAATTACTCCGGCAATAATTTCAAGGAGAGAATGCCTCCAATTACTCATCAGTCGGATCCGAGCCTCTCGGACAGGACCACGGACGGACGGCATTGCTGGAAATCCGGGCTCACGTGACGGTGTTGACCGAGGTCCCGCAATTCCCGGTCGGTCTCGCTCCGGCCAATCCGGGCCATTTCTGTCTGACGCTTCACCAGCCCGTTCTGGATTAGCGTCAGGGGTTCCTCCGTGACAGGTCAGGATGCATCCAACTCAATCAGACGAAACAACCAGCATGACCCCATCGCGTCGCGAACGAAAGGACGCGGAATATTCTCAGTTAAGAGATCCAACCCTACCAATATGTCAGGGCAGATCCGACCCGAAAAGGGGCCCTAGGAAAACAATCAAGGCCAAGGCAGTCTTCGTAGCCGCCGAGCACCGTCTGAATTGTTGGCGAATGCAAAGATGGGCCAACACGAAAGGGCAGCAGCAGGACGTGCCAGCAGCGAGCAACAAGCCATCTGCAAAGACAGCTGGCATGGCTGAGCAGTGCAGCTCGATGCAGTTGTTGTTGATGCCAACTTGGGTTGGCCGCATTGCCGTGGCCTTCACGGACAGCCAGCAATTCCCGCTGGCGCGCGAACAAGATGGTGCGTCCTTACGGGGTTCTAGAGCCCCAAGTCTCCGTCTTCGTGATTCAAGACAACATATCCCCGTCCATCTTTGTCGCCAGCCCGGCCAAAAAGGGACAAGATCCGACCAGATCGAGGCAGGTCGCTTGCGAAGCTGCGAAGGATCCAGAGGTTGGTCCGTCGAATGTCATCTATTGGCTACATCGGCGGCTAAAACGAGAGGGCCTGCGCCGTCTCGACCCAATGGATGGCCATCCCAATTTCCCGCTCACTGCAAAAGATGAGAAAATAACCTTATGCAGGCTTCAGGGATCCATGCAGCAGCCCAGCGCGTCCGACCAACAAGACCGCCCTACCTGGCGTTATCTTGACATTTAACCACCGCTCGCGACGTGCCGAGCAGGATGGCATAAAGGGGGCACCAGCTCGTTCGGCGATGCATTAATATTCGCAAAAGTCCCCGCTGCGGCTGTTGCTGGTTTCTGCGGATCGAATCACACCTTTAACTAGCCGTGAAACCCCCTCCATCCAAGGCTCGATCATCGGACGAGAACTCGCCCCGAATCACTCAATCGTCAAAATCTGTGTCTCACCGTGGAAGATCGAACAAAATGTCTCCGATTCTCAACCCCACAGCGCCGGCCTTCAGCCCGCCTGTGTCGATCCCCCGTCTCGCTTCTCCTTTCATCTCCACCTCCGCACCTACCGGGGCCGCCTCCGAATTCAACCCGGGCTTCTTTGATTCAGTCGATCTAGCCCTCGGCGCTGATCTCCCCGGCTCTGAATCTTCAATCTCCGAGACCAGCGAAGTTGCCATTTCACTGCTAGGCGAATCGCTTCTGAAAGCCGTCTTCCACTCCCCGAGCTCGCCGTACTCGCCCATCGACGAAGACGACGACGAGTATGACGACCAGTTCCTCGCATCTCCACCCGCAACAGCGTCGACTCCCGGCTCGGTTCGCGACATTTGGAGCCCAACTGCAGTCTCTTGCGGCACTTCAGAACCATTAGACTCGCCATTCTCGTCGGTGCTGTCTCTCTCTGACGAAGACATGTATGGTGCCTCAAAAGTCACGGCGCCATCCCGGAATGAGACCTGGAGAGTCAACGAAAACTGGGCACATGATGACGACGTTTACCTGGACCAAGATATCAGTCCTCGCCCTATCAGTATTGCACCTGTTGCAGCCGAGCCACCACTCAAGATCGGGTTTGACGCCAACCTGTACAACAGTGCCTTGGCCATGCAACAACAGCTCTCATGGCAACATCAGGTTGCCACACACTCCTCAAGTAACTTCACAACTTTCAACCCTCAGATGCAGGCTCAGCCCATCATCGCTCCGTCTCTGCAGTTCATCCACGTCCCTTCAGTACCGCCTCCAAAAGTTGGCATGGCTCCCCTGTGGCCTCTTATTTCAGCGCTTCACCGGAATCTCTCGAAGAGTCGGCCTGATTTGTATGGTAATTTGCAGCCATCCGCGTATTTCGGACCTGCTTCATGAAGCATATGCTAGAAAAAGACGGATGAGCCATCTCGGTCACAAGCAACGCATTCATCAACGTTTCCGCCGGAGCCTGCCGATGATCTGCATCTTCTGCCACTGAAGGGGAGCCGGCACCGATGAAGGCCGCTAAGGGATGGCGGGGCCCCAATGGTCTGCTCCGAGCAATTTGCGATCTTCGTCACGGAACGCTCATAGTTCTCGCCTGCTTCTCCTCCCGGGCTTGGCGCGGACCTTCGGGATCAGATTCGGTTGCTCTGCAACACTTGCCGCCTGTCCCCGCGACTGTGAGATTCAGTTTAGGTGCTGAAAGACTCAAACAACACGCAAGCTCCGTAGCAGAGCTTTGAGTGCTAGCGGCGTCACTCCAAGCATGCACAGGGGCCCTGCGGCCGCAGGTAGTCATCAAAGACCCGACGGATTGTGGTTTGACGATATCCTTTCTGCTACCAAAATTTCTACGGAAAAACGTTGCAAACACGAAGGCATTATTCCATAACCGTGGCATCAGAAGGCATTCATCTACTTGGGCGATGGAATCGAGTTGTGTGATTAGGATCCAACTGTTGAGGTTCTCGAGGAGCCTCATTGCTAGCGTATCCATTCTTTGTACCTTATTTAGAAAGCAACCCTTAGACACTTCTAATCGACTCTTCCAGACAATACCATTGTCATCTGAACCTGCTTTAAACGTCCCATGTGACTGTAGCTGGATGATTCTGGAAGGGTAAGGTTGTCATCTAAGGCCGCCTCCCAAGTTCAGAATGACCAAACCCGCCAGGACCTCTGCAACTTTGGCAAGCGGGACGGTCCGCGATGACGACCGACTGGTATCTCCTGTCAGAATCACGACCTCCGACAGTTCAGCTACCGCCCGCGCCATGCGAGGAGAAGATATTTCGAAGTTAAGCAACGCCTCTCTGTTCACCCTCAGTTCTTTCGATATCGTTTCCAGGAAGCATGCGGGTCTACGCAACGACGATGTCACACATTTCCCTCTCAGCGGCAACACTGACCTCCGTCGAAGTGCAGACCAGACCTTGAGCAAAGGTTCTATACGTGGCGGCACTGACTCATCTGGATGGGGAGACTGTGGGCTCAGTTCGTGGGGAGATAGCAACTTGAAATACATCCCTCCCGCCAGTTCAGATATCAAGGACCCTGCAATGGAGGCAGCAGAGTCCGAGCTCGTCCGGAAGCCTAGCCCAGATTCGACTCTCAACCCTTGCTCACCGGATTTCTCCCCTTCGACAGCCATGGCTAGCCTCTCTATTCAGACTCTCGAGGTCAGGATTGCTGACATGGACGCCGCAGTCACTGCATATGCTCAGTGCATCATCGCAAGTGCATCATCACAGCGGAGGCCAAAAAAAAAGAAAGGGATTGCCAGGATTGGTCGAAATGCGTATTGAGGCACTGAAGTCTGATATGGATGACTCTTGGTCGGCTATTACGAGTGCGAACCCTCTCAAAGACTTTCACGTAGATCGAGGAGCAGCTACAGGATTTTGTGCGAGAAAGACAGCGTATCGAAGCAAAGATACAGACCGACAAGGAAAAACTTGACTGCAAACGTGCTGCTGTGGAGAGAATGGAAGGCTTGATCTGAGAACATCGACAGACCCAACAAGTAGAATCGGCGTTTCTACGAGGGGCCGGCGAGAAAAGGCCAGAGAATCACGATGACATATGAGACGAAGGAGTCAATCGACACCAATTCTGGTTGCGATCCAGTTCCTACCAAGTCTTTGCTTGGATTACCGAGCACAATTTTGCGTTGCAGGTAATCGATAGTTTACGCAAGTAGCCTAATATTGCATTTTAAGCCCTCGATCACTGAGAGAGGTGACTCAGCACTCCCTCCACGTCTGACGCTTTTCGATTGAAGCAGCGTCGGACTAAAACGCTAAAAGATGACAGCATCAGATATCACGAAAGCCCGGGAGTTAGCTCAGGTGATCAGGTGAAGAAGACAAACGGCACAACGGAAAAACACAATTCAACAACAGACCGATTGTTTTCATGTTCGTGCAAGAGACCCTTAAATCAGCCAATTGTTTAATAATTCCAATGTTCAAAAATGTCTGTGTGTGTCGTATCACCCAAAGAAGAAACTTGTATGACGTCTGCTATGACTGCATGTATCATTTGCTCGCGCATTCGCGCCAGGCCAAAAGCCCGAGTTGTGAGGACCTCTTGGCAAAATCGGCGTCAACTGTCAGCGGACACCTGAGAAAATTCCAAACCGGTCGCGGAGGGGTTGAAATCAGGACTTTTATGGTGACCGAAGTCATTCGGTGGAATACCGGTCGTCGAACGGGGTCGAAAAGTCCGTGGTAGTGGGGGCGAAAATGCCGACCTCCGGCGACGAATCGTCGCTGGCCCGCCGTTTGCTCCACCGAAGGATGGGAGATGGATCGTAGGAATAACGTTTGAGAATATTATATATGGATGAACATGTTCGTCTCATGGAGTAAACGCTGAAGGCTTGTTCGACAGCATCTTGTTTACTTGATCTGTATCACAAACGTTCACGCAAAATGACTCTCACACTTCCAGTATTACTCTTCGCATCAACATTGGTGTATTTGGTCGTCTACATTTACAAGGTGCGCCCAAGTCAGTCCTTATTTTCTTCGGTCATGTCTTTCTGACTGGCATAGGTTGTCAACAATCCTCTGAATGTTGTGCCCGGGCCTTGGTATGCTCGATTCACTGGACTTCCCGGCACCATCGCCACGCTCCGAAGACGACAGGTACAATACTACCACGCACTCCACCAAAGATACGGTCCATACGTGCGAGTATCCCCAGGACAAGTCTTCGTAAGCGATGTCGACGCTTTCAAGACTATCCACAAAATAGGCAGCCACTTCCCGAAAGCCGACTACTATCACTACTTCGGCCCCACCGAAGCCGGCAAGCCACCGTACGGACTGTTCCAGATGACCAACGCCCATGATCATTCGCAGAGAAGGAAGCTTTTGGGGCGAGGGCTTACTGCTTCGTCACTCCGTTCCGACTGGGAGGAGATGGTGAGGGAGAAAGTCTCCACGGCAATCGACGGCATGGCGAAGGACGCACAAGCTACCGGTGGCGAGGTGGACATTCGCAAGTGGTGGATTCTCATGGCTTGCGACGTTGTTTCTCGCCTGATGTTTGGAGAGTCTTTTGATGCGTTGAAGACCGGCAAGGTAAGGTTGCTCGAGAGGAGAAGATGCTGGTGAATACCTCAGTCTAACGACATCTACAGGAAGACCCTTGGTTTGAGGAGGTGCCCTTCGCCAACACCGCGTCATTCTCTGCTCTTTCTTTCCCTTGGCTTTACGGAGTGGCTAAGCGTTTGCCAGTAGTCGGGACACTGAGGATGTTCAACTCACACCACGTCTTGCTCGACAAAGGCCGCGCTGCGGTTGAAAACAGCAAACAGGCCACCGGTTCTCAGGCAGCAAACTTGTTCGCCAAAGTTCTTGGCCAGGCAGAGAAGGACGAAGGGTCTCTTACAAGTGAAGACATCTGCGTCGAGGCTGCTTCGTTCATGATTGCTGGCACCGACACAACTTCCAACACTCTGACGTACGGCATATGGGCCGTTCTGCAGCGCTCCGGGCTGCAGCAGACCCTGGAGGAGGAGCTCGCCGACGTTGGTGAAGGATTTACCGACACTGTGCTGGAGAAACTCCCGGTTCTTCATGCGGTGGTTGAGGAGACTCTTCGGCTCTACGGAGCAGCTCCAACACCGCTACCTCGGATCGTCCCTGCTGGGGGCGTTCAGCTTGGAGGTTATCACATCCCTGCCGGCACCGACGTTGCGACGCAATCTTGGACTCTGCATCGAGACCCGAAGAACTTTCATGATCCAGAAGAGTCCGTCCTCTTATCTGATCCCTCCTCAAAGAGCTTCAATGGCTAACATATTACTAGATTTGACTACTCTCGATGGATGCCGGATAGACAGCTCTCCGAGGCTGCTAAAGCAGCTTTTACACCATTTGGCGCTGGTTCTCGCGTCTGCATTGGCAAGCATCTGGCATACATGGAACTTCGATATGGCATGGCTATGTTCTTCCGTAGATTCCGTGGTGCGCACTTGTCTCCAGCGACCACTCCCGAGAGCATGGAGATGGACAATCTTGTGTTGATCGAGCCCAAGGGGAAGGTCTGCAAAGTCATATTGCCAGGGTCGGTGTGAAATTTTGTAGGCTGGAACAGAGCGTTACTCGGCATCGAGTAGCATCTTCCGTGCTTTCGTGTACATAGACGGTTGACTAAATGTAGAAAGCTACTTCCTGACTGGACTACTCTAAAGATCAGATTGGGTCAATGAAGTTTAGGTGTTGCGCAAGTAGCCATGTCTCATTGATCAATCATTGCGCTCTTCCTGCATGTCCTCTTTGAGACCAGTAGTACATTCGTCATTTGCGGGCCAAAGCCGAAGATCGAGGTGTGAACACCATGATGACACATGCAGATCATGCATGAGTCTGCTTCCAAGTCGCCTCAACCTCCTCGCAGTGCTTTTCGAGTTCGCTCCACTCAAGCTTACTCCATTTCGCCGGATTCTCACACGCCTCAACGAAATGGTTCATCGCCAGGATGGCCTGCGAAGCCCATCTCTCGGGTGACACACGACCCACGCCCGTCGCCAGCGGAGTCATGAGGATACTACGAATCTCCTCTTCCCCCTCCGCCGCCTTGCCTGCCCGCACGCTCCGGTTGTGATTATCAACCGCGCAGAGCAAGCTCCAAATGCATTCATACACGACTTCGTGGTCCCAGGTCACGTCCGCCGGCGTCCGCATGGTTGGGCAGAGAGCGACGCGGCGGGCCCCCCAGACATTGCGAGAGCGTGCGTGGAAGTCGTCCGGGATGCGGACCAGCGTGCAAGTGCCCGGCGGCGCGAAACCCCGCCACTGCTCGTACAGTTTCTTCTGCGCGACGTGCGTGAGGGCGAGGTAGTCGTCCCTGGGGGACAAGACGCGCGAGATGGCATCGTCGAAGGCGCCGTCGAGGCGGCCGTAGGAGTTGGCGGGCGACACGATGGTGTCGAATTGGACCGATTCTGGGAGCCAGGACAGCGGACATTCGAACATTTCGACGCGGACGGAGTCGTGCAATTCCCAGATTTTCCTGCCTTTTTCGAAAGCGTCGAAGTGCCGCTTCTCCATGCAGAGCAGCTGGATCTGGGGAATGGATGAGGCGTTTGATGTGGACATGGTGGATTGAGCGACGAATAATGAGAGATGTCAGATGATAACCTGCTCAACCTTGTTGAAGTTGGAGATTTCGTCGTCTTATATTGCTCTACCTGTCGCTGCGGAGCATTGACGTTGTCTGCTGTGTTGCAGGTGAGATGGCTGCCTAACCAACAGAGCCACGGTGGCCAATCGCTGCCCGCTAACATGGTGATGAGTACTTTGACGTCCAGTACTTTGGTTGTTCTAGTTTGCCGGAAAAGCGGCTGATGGAAAGGTGGCATCTGATTATTGGAATGATGAGCCAGATATTGATAGGGAAGGTTGAGGCTATAGTGAATGAAACCTTAAGTCGTCCGCTAAAATGCTAGGCAACAAATAACGGGAGCCTGAGCATCTCAATCTCAAGTGTTATGCCGGCTCGGAGCGCAGCAACTCGGAGAGATTTGAGCAACGTGTTCTTACCTTACTTACAACCTGCAGGCCAATGAAGTCTGGCATCTAGAAATGACAAAAAGACTCGTCCCTGGGAGACAAAAATCAATCGGGAAGACTTGCCCTGGTGTCGGTGAGAAATGCATGCAAAATACAAAAATGTTCCGAAACCGAGAATCGAACTCGGGGCTATGCCTAATCTCTCAAGTTCATGAGAGGGCATCATGTTGGCCACTACACCATATCGGATGTTCATGTGGATCTTGGCGGCTTGTCGGCTCAAGACCCATCGAGTGGCCGTCGAGGATGTCCACGCTGAATCTCTCAGAATCAGAGAGTGTTCGTTGTGGGAGCGGTGCGCAAACAAGAGAACGGTGACAACCAGATACCGAAGAAGAAAAAGAATTAACCAATAGCAGTATTGTCGTGAAAGGCTACCGGTGCCGAGAACACGCAGGCTACCAAGATGATGGCAGTGACGACAATTGAAAATAAGGGCGCGTCTGAAGGCAGCCCGCCAGTCAAGCGGCGTTCCAGGCCTTGAGGTTGCTGTAAACGGAGAAATCAGGCCTCTTACTGACTGATCTCGGAGAGCTTAGAGGTTTCGTTGGAGCTGCTGCTCCGACTCAGGGAAGGAAAGATTTCGCCATAAGTGGACAGTCCAGTATATGATTCGAAACGCGGGACTACAAGAAAGCGTTCAAATGGAAGGACAGGATAGTTTGTATCTTCTAAGTTGACGTTATTCGTCAAGCAATGGCAAGGGTCACAAACCAGAGTTTAGCGAGATTGCGCGCCTGAGGCTTTTGGTCCCCTGCCATTATTGCTTAGTAATGTGGGCGGCTCCCGCCGGGATGAACGGCTTTTGAGTTTGAGCTGCAGCATGATGCATTTCTTGTTCATCCCATCAAGATACCCAAAATCAACCGTCGCAATGGCTCATCACCCGTCATTCACTCTTGCCGGCCTCTGTAAGTAACAGATCGTGGCTCGTGATGATATTGCGGCCCAATTGGCTCACACCCTCTTCAGTGGCAGTCGGCGGCACCGCCGGATTCCTCAAGACTCAGTCCAAGCCATCCCTGATCGCTGGTCTCGGACTTGGAGCCGCCTATGCGTACTCTGGTAGGTGACTCTTCATCTCAGTTGGGACATCCGTCGCAAGCTGACCATCGTCCAGGCTATCTGCTCAAGGAGAACAAGGACTATGGCGCCGAGCTCGCCTTGGGAAACAGCATCGTTCTCTTGGGTGCTAGCGCCTCGCGGGCCATCAAGACTGGTGGCAGAGCACCGATACCGCTGGCGTTGGCCACGGCGGGTGCAGCAGCCACGTTCTACTACCAGAAGAAGTACCGGGAGTTCAAATTCGGCGTGTAGAATGGGCTTGGAAGTGTAGGATTACGTGTAGGCATGTGGCTTCAAAACGCTTCTCAAACATCTCTCTATCCGTCCATGGGTGCTTGACTTGAACCAGTTAAGATGTACCACGGCTCTCGTGAGATAGTGCACCTCAAAGACTGTTCCTGTTGCGAGCGGACTGGGCGGAACAGCTTGGGACACGATATCATATGCGTGAGGTAGAACGTCTTTTCGGAGTTCGGGAACGGCTCCAGGCGCAACAAAAGCTTGTGCGCACCGCAAGCGCGACTCTGTTCAGGTTCGCTCGCGAGGAATATCACGAAACTCTCGTCGGGCTGTAAAGACGGCCTTGACTTCGGCGGAATCTCTCCAGGAGCAACATCTCAGATATGGGTGCCATTTCCTGGCTGACTGGAGCGTCAGTCCATCGAAGAAGCCAATTCTTCCCCTCGGTCAAGCTCGGGCATGGTATTTCGTCCATCGAGAAGAACTCGGTCGCGTTCGGTATGGTCTGGCTGTGATTCGAGAATGGCCGGCAAAGGTCAGACTCTGCTCAATTGGCTTTTCAATATGGCGCGATTTGGGGTGTTATCGCGAGATACTTCGTGCCAGCGCGGCTTGTTTGGACGGCGGAAAACGGTCTGGCGATTGAAAGTTTGAGGTCCTTTCGGCGCCACACGATGCGTGATTCGGGTTCCTTGCAAAAAAGGAAGGAACAGCTGTCGCAAGCTCAGGTCTGAACCGAAAGAAAAGCGTCAAGTAGAAGGTCGAAGATAGCTAGAATTGTCGGTATGCAGCGCGGCTCGCAACTCTGAGAAAAATCGGTGTCTGTCAACATGGAAGCGAAGGAGAAGGAAGGAAGGAACTTAATGCGTCGCAAAATGATGGACAATTGCCAATCCAGCCGACCCACTTATGTAATCATCAGCCCGCGGAACAGATCCTTATCAGATAAGAAACTGGATTATCTTATCTGGCCTATCTTATCTGTGTAATACGCCCCAGGAGGCATCTTTCCCCGACATGACAGACATCGAGCAAGTGAAAACTAAGAAGACTTCAACATCACCTTGATCGCAATAGTCGGGTGAATTCGGTGGTGCTGCGGCTCTTCCTCTGGGTTTCGGCCCGTTTACTTTCTAGACTGGATTGATCACGAGCCCGTAATGCAGCTCGTAAAACCGATTCCTAACCTGCTCAACATCGCGATGGCAACGAAAGGCGCAACATGTCATGCCTGATCAACCAAGTTATTGTTTCCCATAGAGAGCTGATTTTCCCCAGAAATCAAACCTCATTCATAGGTACTGACGTTGTGAGATTGATAATCTTTGCACGAAAATAGAAGGATAGCAAGACCGTTCAAAGCCTTGAAAGGCGCCTGCCTGCGCCGGCTAAGGAGTCTGCTCCGATAGAAATGGGTAAGGAAGGTGTGAAGTTCGTTTGGCTACTTCCTTCCAAACTCTTGATTGTATTTTGGAGGCCAAAACTAGCTGCAGACGAGACCAGCAGCCATTTCTTCCTCTCTTCAACTCTCTCCACTTCACCCCTCTCCGCTCCTCTCCACGCCCACCATCAAACCTCGTTGCCATCTTAGTCCTGGGAGAAGACAAATCACCTCGAATCCAGTCTACCACCGTCAATTTTCGCGTGAGGCCAACTGTCATGGACGTTCCGACCACGCCTGGCAACGCTCGTTGCAAACCCGAGCTTCCCCAGCCCCCCTTGTCAACCCAGCGGTATCTTGGAATGCTGCCAGGGGAGAACGCAACTAGCAATCAAGTTGGTATCGAATCATCAGGCACGTGTTTCCCTCGTCTCTGTGACCCGCAGGACTTCCAGTCACGCTGTCTCGGTCGCTAACTTCGTGGAAGCCTCGTTCGAGAAGCAGGACTACCATACTTTCCAAGATATCATCGACCACAAGTATGTTGATTGTGATGAGTCCGTCGACATGTTTGAACTCTGCGTCAAGTGGTCCGATGGGACCCTTACGTTTGAGCCAGAGCAATACCTTCAACAAGATTCCAAGTACGCCGTTCTCAAGTACTGGCACGACAGAGGTGGCAGGCACCTCTTCATGGTCCATCGGGATGTCTGGCTCGTCCACGAAGTGCTTCAGTTCGAGGCTTCGAAGAAAGGCGACGACCGATATCTCGTGGAGTGGGTCGGACACCCATCAAAATCATGGGAACCGTCAAGCCAGATCCCAGCTTGCATGATCAACAAGTACTGGACCGCTCAAGAGGAAGCCACCTCAGCGGCGGGAAAGGTTGATATGCGATGCGCGACGTAGGCTTCTAGGACAAAAGTCTCGCCTTGAACTCTCTCGTACAGAGAAGATGCAGGAGGATGAAGATCACGACTGGTCACCGAAGAAAAAGCTACGCCGCAGGGCCTGATCACAAAGTGAGTTACTTCACACCTCTAGTCGGTGCTCTTCATGATCTTGATGGGAATGCTGATATTGTAACACAGGTCTAGCCGGAACCATCGACTTCTACAAGTCGTCGACAACAACTACCGAATCATTACACGAGTCTGTCAATTTCCCAGACCACAACTTTCTAGCCCTTCGTTTCCATCATGCGCGCCGACGCTACGACGATATCAACTACCAACTGTACTAATGAGCTATATGCTGAAGGAAGCCGGGAAGGCGGATGACATGATATACTTTCGGAGATTAGAAAGTGGCATAACATGTCACCAAGTCCGGAGACCGACTTCAGGCAAAAGGTCATGCGCTTTCAGAATAATTCATCCATGGGCGTGGAGGCAGAAACCATTAGGACCTTAGTTACAAGCAATTCAAACTGCTCAGGACCACTGCATTTTCCAAAACGGGGGCAAAGCAGTGCTTATCGAGGTAGACTGGAGGGTTAGCAGGGGTATAATGCGGATCTGATGAAACTACTGATCGGTCTTCCAAGACCCATTCTCGAAGTGTCCCTGTCTTAAGAATAGATCCGAGAAACATTATCGGCCCTAAAGCATGGCCAGCCTGCAATCCAGTTCATCCCAAGAGCACAGCAGGATATACTATCATACTACATGTATGTCTGGACTTGACTGGCATGTGGAATATATTGCCATAGCCACTGCACAATGATCACAGTTCAAGTTGAGTCTCACATATGATTTCAACTTGAAAGCATTTATCAATAACATTGGAAGAAGCTTCGTGTTGCGTCGGGTGCCACGATCTCTCACAAAAAGATGGCCGGTAAGGCTTTTGTAAGTTTACCATCGACAGGTATGAAATTGTCTAGGAATCTATGTCTAGAAGATAAAGTACGATAAAGACTCATTCCGCCAGTTTTATATCATAATCAGCCAATCTTAGGCCAGACGCACTCAATGCCGTCGCCGTAGGACTGCTGAATGTCTCGTATTCAGCAGTTCAAACTCCAATACCGAACCATCCTAGCACATGATACATCTAGAAAGGTGTTGCCCCAACACTTTTCAGGTCAGCTTAGCTTCAATCAAAATTGAAGAGATGAGAACTTACACATTTCCAGCAGATGCATAACGGGCAACAACATAGGTCTTGCCACTGGCAGAGTTTGCAATGGCCATGCCAACCCTGGAAGTAGACTTCCAGATGGCTTGGGCTGCGATGAGTTAGCAGCTGATCATGTACCAAACTACTTGTGTTCGAGAAAACTTACTGTAATGACCATACTGGGAGAACGTGCTTCCGTCGGGGCTGTTCTTCGGGATGGCTTGGCCGCCGTAGAGCTTCTTCTCGTTAAGCCACCAGGTGGTGGCGGCCGTGTACGGAGGGTTGCCGCTACCAAACTGGTAGTAGAGGTTCTCTCCCTGCCCCCTGGCCCCGTTGAGAGGGTCGTGGGACATGACATCGACCGAGCCCAGCGTCTTCGCGTAGGTCAGAGCATCGTTGGCGAGGCTCGCGTCCCAGGTCAGTGGGGGGGCTCCAACTGCTTTCCGGGCAGCGTTGTGAAGATCCAGGGCTTGTTGTTGATCGGCAGTAACACCGGGGACAGCTGTCGGAGTAGGAATAGCTGTAGAGAGAACCCGGGTCGTAGAGGCGACCAGGGTTGTAGGGAGAACAGAGACGGTCGGGAGGACGGGAGACAAGGAGCCGGAGAGTGCCCTGATGCTAGTACTGCTGTTGTAGTTGATGCTTGAAGTGGAATTCGACAGCCTGATCGTGGCGGTTCGTGTCGAAGTTATGAATGTGGTGGTGTAGAAGACGGGAGTTCCAACTGATGAAGTCGGTTCGGTTAGAGTCACCGGGATCAGCTGGGCGGCAGCATTGGCTGCGAGCAAAGCTGCCGAGACCGTTGCACTGATGGAAAACCGCATGACGGGCGATGGTATCTACTCTCGTGAAGTCTCAAAATCGGTCGAATCGAAGGTCGGATAAAAACAAGAAGAACGGCAAATGGTCCCTGCCAATTGCTAAAGTGAAGAATACCCGTAAGTTAATGGGAAAGGCGGACACAGTGTGTCAAGGGAGAGTATGCCAAAGGTAAGATGAAGAGCAGTTAGGAGAAGCGGCTATTCGAGTCTGGCCATTCCATCTCGAATATATATCATTTCGTCTCTCGTGTATTTCTCCTGGGTCCTGGGCAAGGCCGGTACGGGTTCCGCTTTCGTCGCAATCAAATTCGAGACCACTGGTCATTCTTTGATACCCAAGCCACGACATCAGCTTAATCAAACACCAAGACATGGTGTCTCGCATTGGCACAGCGGGACGGCAGTCAAGCCCAGTCAGCCTCAAAGCCTTCCAGGCCTTGCTGGCTTTGTCAAGCGTGCGAAACATCATCTTTCGCTTTTGGAACACATGAGGGATTTTCAGACGCAGCTCATGAACCCAGAACGAAGCAACCAGTCCGAACTTGCTTCTGCCTTTCGATGCATTGCATCTGCAAAACACCAATGTGCCCGATATGGCAGCGGAGGAAAAGAGAGCTCAATTACCCCTGATCGCCCAGACACATGCATTCCGCATCTTCTCGCCTCCCGTCAGTGGCTTCATCAGGGCCTCTCAGGGGATGAGGTTCGCCAAATCCAGAGGAAGGATGTCTGATCTCATTGGTATGTAGGGGGCGCTGGCATGCAAACCTGTTTCCCAGTCATTTCCACCCAACTTGGCGATCAGCACCGGGAATCAATAACTTTATTCGCCGTGGCCCGCAACCCACAACGAAAATCCTCTACAACAGCGGCTCCATCACCGCACGACTTATCTGCTTGATCGACATTCATAAGATTACCTTTCTCCCGTGCGAAGATTTCTGTCTTTAGTCTGGCGTCTACGTGTCACGCCCACTCTCCTCTTCTCAGATGAAGGTCTGATGGTGAATCTCATATCAGTGTCATGGGGCTCTTTGTAGGCGCGTGGAGGAATGCGTGGCCAGTCTCACTAGATAAATGCATGCCAACTCCACGACACGAGCTCTTTCTGCTTGGGACCCAATGCGTTTGAGAAGTCACACTAAGATAGGCGCATGGCAACGATGAAGAATCACGCCCGTTGCCGAACGTCCTGCGGATGACCGGGTAGTATCATTCCGAGTAACCTCCCACAGCCAGTCAGCTGCGGTATTTGTGCAACGTGATTACTGCGTAAATCTCAACCATGCGTCTCTCAACTCTTCTCCAACGACATGTAACATGAAACACTGCCGGGTCGGACATTGATAATGAGTACCAGTGACGTCGAGCTTCAAAGACGCCGGTTGCTATCGCGATGGAAGAACTATGCGATCAAGGTATCGACGGCATCGTATTACTGTGGAATAATGGCGCATCATCGTACCGATCTACTGGTACTCTCGCGCCGGCGAAAGACTACTTGTTGCTTGACCCAATCGAGGTCTGACGTACGGGACCATCCGCAGCCCATCGTGGGCGACGGAACATTTTGCCGCGGAAGTAGACTATCGAAGCTCTAGATTAATGTTCTGATGACGCGGCTTCAACCCTAGCGTGGTCGTTTGGACGCCTTATACAAAAGCCGTTCGGCAGGCCTCGTCACGATATTACGACTGACCGCCCGCCCAATCCTGTCGGCTTTCACTGAAAGCCATGGAGAAATAAGTACATCAAGACCGGAACATACAATTTCACCCATTCTGACCGATTCATCAACAAGAGTGCGAATGATTAACCAGGTCTGTTCGATGAAGTAGTGAGAAAGTATGTTGCAACACGTTTCAAGCTCCAAAGACACTCAGGATGAGCCAACAAGTCTTGCGTGATTCCTTCTCATCTCGACTTTCTTCATATTGTCCGAAACTTGAGCCGGTAACACAGAGTACGCATCGTATCGGCTTCTAGTGACCATTGCTGCGTCTTCAGTCGAATGCTGCTCCAGTGACCGGTGGTTCCGCCGCGGCAAAGTCCGATGAGGGTTGAGAGGACAGCTTAGGACGCCACGCAAGATTCTGCCAAGCGTGTTTCTTTCAAAGATCCATCTCCACAAGGACTTCATCTCTGCCACATCTGCCATGTCCGGTCCGGATGACCGAGGTGGGGTTCACGACCCGAGACAAAAACTAGTCCTAGGACAGCAGACAAAACTAGAGGCAACGGAACGGATACCCGATCGTTCTTTCCAGTCTTCCATGCTCATAAACATGTGCTTGAACTCAGGAGCCCAGAATTTATACTGCTTTTGTGGCTTTCATAGTTCCAATAGCTCCATGTCAGGCGGCTCGGTCATTTTGTCGTGAGTGAAGATGTAAGTGAAGTCTGGTCTGCAGCGTACTTGATGATATCCATCTCAACTGTTTTACCCGAAAACTTCACGCGGAGGTACATGTAGTCAAACTCACCGGAGTCGAGACCGCCGACTACATCGCTTCACCGATCGCAGCTAATCTGGACCGTCTTCCCGTGTCTTTGTGTTTCGGAGATTTTCAGAATCGGTCGTGCATTTCCGAATGCGGCGAGGCAGCCTTCAACATTGGGCTAGACCCGGTGGTGAACACAGCAGAATAAGAAATGATTCCCGAAAACTCGTCATAAAGTAGTCGTTGACAACCCAAAAGGGAACAATTGGTCCCGTTTGTTACCTACGGTAATATTTACCGTAAGACCTCTGTCTTTCCCGCATCTTTGCGCTGTCCACGAAGAGCTGGGCCCTGCATCAAGGAATCGCCAAGATATCATGTCCAAAGAGAACATGATAGGCAGTGTGAGGCTTGCCGTCGGCCTTGGCATTACTGAACACGTTAAGGGACATTATCACCACACTCTAGCCTACATTCCTATCAGTCATCCGACGACGTGCAGATTATTCCTACAGCTATGAAGTTTATTCCGGACTCACAACAGGTTTTCTGGAAGCAATCGCAAGTAACTCATCGGTATAACCTCGTCCAGATGTTAACATGAGTGAAGCCTCATCTGTTGTCCCCGGACGTCATGAAGAAGTCGAACAGTAGACTTGACCTAGCTACTCTACTTGAATGGCTTCACTTCCTATTTGTGCAAGTATCTGAAATAATGAATTATTAGCACATTTTGGGAGAGATTTGCTGGGGTATAGTTGCAGTATCAAACCTTCTTTGGAGCCTATGTCCTTAGAAAGTGGAATTTGGCACCCTCGAGAACTCTCTGAACTAAAGTGGTGGACAACCGACTGAGAAGATATGTAGAGAATGAACCTCACAAGCTGCATTCTTTAAGTAACGCCCAGATATGAACAAAAGATGAACTCAAGAGCCCAGCCCAGTGAGAGCTGAAGTCTATGTCTTAGCGACAGTAGCAGTTGAGAATTCACAGTGCTTCATATTGGATCCCTCAACAGCTGGAGTTCTCTAACAATGATTTCGTGTGACTTGTCGCATCATTTGCCGTTGTCATCTCAATATCGCCTTGGAGGAAAGGCACCGGTGAATGATGTGGCATGGCAAACATCAGAGGGGTACTTCGCTCTAAAGTGTGCTTAAGTTTTCTGACTTACCTTGCCTAATGCCAAATAAAGCACGGACAACTCCTTGTTCATTATTGTCCATTTACGTTATTCAGAATCATTGTCGATCGGATCGTACCCTTGCTCAACGCCAGATTGACAGCTTACGAGCTCGGCTAAACAGGTCAGACTAACACACGGACTTGGATTCAAGCTGACAGGGGCACGCGAACCCCCGATGCTGACAGCTTCTGCTGAATTTCTGAGAGACTGTCGCTTTCCTTGAGAGTTTTAACTGAAATAGCCTTCTCATTATGTCACATTTTGTTTGCTAACGTGCTTCCCTCCAAAGCTCTCAAGCATCAACATTCAATGGATCTGGATCCCTGATCAATGATATTATCGCGACTTCCGGGCTCGGACCAAGCCTCGTATGACGTCCAACCAGACTTCAAGAACCAATCACCGCGCATCCATGCACTCTCAGCTAGACCCACCAGTCATCTCGCGCAACGCGTGAGTCCAACAGAGTAATCTTCCCCTCTCCATCACTGGTTCAATCGGGGCCATGAAGGCAACATGACCGCGAGGCGAGCGGACTTTCAGCAGGGCAGATGCCCAGTCATGTCAATTCAGAACCTTCTTTGCGAAGAAGATGGCTCAGATATACCGGAAGCACCTTTTCAGGTCGAGTCTCGATCAGACTCGCACCAGTCGTCGCCAAGATCACATGAGGCTGAGTCCAGTTCGGAGTCTCGCGAATCAACCATCATACCCTCGCGGACCCATTCCCCGAGCCATGAACCTGCATTTCCCGCCCACACTCGAGCGGTATACGGAAGACAGATGACGCCATTCGAAATCGAAATAAACCATGGCCCTGAAGAGGATCAACCGCCCAACGCTTCGTGTAAGACATGCGGAGGGATGGGAGTATTTGGTGATGACCAGACAGGTACTAACCCTACTTTTGGTACAATGTGTCACGGTCCTGGTTTTCCATGCTAACATGGTTTACCCAGGAAGAAAAGTTGACTTTGAGAAAACCTTTTGCTGCGATAGATCGGTATGGCGGTCAGTGTCTGGTGTTGAATCTGGAGTCTGATTGGTTGTAGGTCATGCAATATGTAAACGCGCATCCGCCGACTCCCAGAACACCCGAACAGACAAAGGGAGATTATCTCTTGTACCTGATCGACTTTTACGACGATAGAAAACGGAGAGGCATGTGGCAGTTAGTGACTTATGCCTACAACAAGGAGTTTTCCACGAAGAAGAAGAAGGCGGCTCTGCAAACAATGTGGCGCAGACTTCTGTTGCGGGACGAGGAGGTAAGTCGTCTGGCAAATTCAACCACAGCTTTTCAAAGTAGCTAAACAGATTTTAGGAGGAGGTTGCAAAGTAAAGCCTGTTCAAGATACCCGCACGTTCATATTTGAGTACATTTATTCTTCAGATTTCTCTTTCTCCAAAGCCAAACATTGACCTTGGTGACCACCGCAGTCTGGCCCTTGGAATGCCTCTCTCTAGTCAGACAATTGCCATGGTGTTCTCATGAGCTCTATCGCCCAAACTAAAATTGTAAATGTCGGGCGGGATACAAAGTTTGGTTGTCTAAGAAGGCCCTCACATACCAATGTGTACTCGCCGGGCGGTGTAAGTTTAACAGAAAATGAACTTCATCAGCAACAAAGACTCAATCCAGCACTAAATGAGTCCGTAGCACAAACCCAATGAACAAGGCGTGAAATTGAAGTCATAGGTTGCTTCACAGCACAGGACGGCGATTATTCATGATTAGAACCTCTTGGAGTACATGTATTCAATATTCTTTAGTCGTTTATTATTAACTTGTGCGAAAGTAGCAGTTGCTCAGCTCTTCCTCCGATCAGTTGTTTCTACCCGTTGCCAAACTCGGACTGGGACAGGGCTGTCGAATGCATGTGACCCAAATGGTAAGGTCCTATGTCTATGTTTCGATGTGACTCTCGATGCCTCCCCTGGATCCACGAAATCAACTTCGAGATTCTTCAACATTAAGAACACGGAGGTCAATATAGTGTTCTTGGCCAAAGTCTCCCCAGGACACCTCCATGCTCCTCCCCCAAACGGAAACCAGTGGCCCCGGAGGCCATTATTTACCAACTTCGCCGTTGCATCGTCAAATCTTGTCTTAGCAACATTATGGTGGCCTGCCGTCTTATCGTTATAGAGGCTTTTCAGCTTGCGGATAGGACCGCTGAACGGGTCATCAGAATAGACCAAGAATCTTTCCGCCCAGAATGTCTCGACGGAGTGCTCGGGAACGCCGTCCAACAACCTGCCTTCGTTCCAGAAGGAAGCGTCTAATCCGCCCAGCCAGTTTGCCGTCATAGTGACGGTCTGGGCTTGATGAGACGAAGGCCCGGAGGCGACTGAAGCACGACCCGTTGCGCTAGCGACGTGAAGGCGGAGCACTTCACGATAGACCGAGTTTAGAAGAGGTGCTCTTCCGATGGTTGTAAGGTCCATCTTTGTGGAGCCCTTAGATTCCTCGATCGAAAGCTCGTGTCTTAATCGGGACGCGAGTGAGTTGTCTAGAAGTGCGTGGAGAGTCATCCACGCAGCCGCTGGTATCGTATTGGCTGTAGTTCTGAACTATCATATCAGTAACTGAAGCCACGCATAATGATAGCAATGTGGGCAAGGACATAGAAAGTCCGACTTACACGAACAAATAGCCAAGCATAACGGTTGATATTCCTGGATCCGAGAACCCCAGCTTCTCGTGGCGCTGGACCATCCTTCGCACGTACCGAGTCCCCCAAATTGGTTCGTAGTCACTGTTGACAAGCTCTTCGTTGTTCCAGTCAAATAGTGAATGGCAATGTTGTCTCCATGCTTGGAAGTTCTTGAGCATCTTGTCTCTCTTCTGGTACTTCGACGGAAACATCCACCTGGGTAGTTTGCGAGAGATGACAGGGAATGCGTCGTAGAACTCCCAGAAGTCTTCGCAAAAGGTCGGGCAGACAGAGAAAACATGTTCTCCGTAGAGAGCCTCGACTTCGGCTTTGAAAATGGCGTCTCGGACGAACCGGTATAGATCCGGCAGTTGAGTTGGAGACGAGCTCTCAGCGACTTGGCCTCGGAGCTCGACTTCAAAGTTGTGTGAGAACCTCTTCATGATCTCTCTCAAGCTATCCCCGTTGAGGAACTTCGTAAAGTCTCTGCGTTGATGCTCGATGATTCGTCGTGATGGGTCTGCATGATTGGTTCTGAAGCCTTCGGCGTCGCGATCCTCGAACGCCTCAATGTGGTCGTGATCGAAGATAGCAAAGTCTGAGGCCGTCAAGCCAAAGAAAACAGACAAAGCGTCGAACAATCCGGGAACCGGGACGTACTCTTTCGAGTGCCTGAACAGGGTTTGCACGCCATCTCCAGGCAGTGCAATGCTGAGGTTCCTCCCTGGTAAGGATAGGGGAACAGTGCTTCCCGGAAATCTGGTTCTGGAAAGTGTTATCATTGAATCCGGCGTTGATTTCATGGCGTTATCCATACTGGAGGCGAAGGAGAAATTTCTCAGCATCAAAGACTAACGATACAGCGTCGCTGATCATAGGAATCCTAAAACGAGGCATGGAGAGCCTCCAAACATTCAAGCCTTTGGTCCTGCCATCTTTCAAACAATCTTTCAGGGAAGAGAAACAATATGTTACGATAAGCGGAAGTACTAGAATGAAAGCATGAGAAATTATGTAGCCTGCCTGGGGAAATGCGTCAGAGCCCCTGAGACTCAGATCATATAAGCGTTGTACAAGCATTGTGCTGTTGCTTGATTGAAGAGTTGGCCCAGTTGAGTCTTTGTCGAAATCGCGCGAGACGTGCAACGAGAGAGCTCAGGTCGTCACACGGCGTGCCTGCAGTCTTTTAAACATATTTAAGAAAAGCCTGACGAACATACCAAAAACAGCCTTTGGGTAAATACGGCCTCTTCCTACCCATCCTCGCAAGGTGGCTTTCGTTTACTATGTTTGCCCTGGTTGGGGGCCGGACCGATAGTACACAACCGCCAATGTCACCTGAAAGCAGTTGGTGCTGGGCTGTCTGGGACCCTGGGTTCACCCGATTGCCAAGTGTTGTCGTCCCTTGGAACGTACATCACCATGCAGCCAACCAACCATCACCCATGTATGTCACCGGAGGAGCATCCCAAAGGAGCTACGTTGATCGCGCGGCTGGTAGCACGTCCAACATCTCGAGTAAGATCCATTTTCGGGTGATTCAAGACAATCGAAGACGCATCTGAGTGATTATCGGAAGGCGATTGGTACCAACAGGACGGATTTGAGTGGCATCAAACATGATTGGGACGGGTTTTCCTCTTTGCCCGGTGGTTAAAGTGGAAGCTCGTACTCTGTTTCCGGCCCTCCTCGCTGCCACATCACTGCCACATCGTATGTCACGATTGGGCAGACGCATGCAACTCATAAGCGCCGTGTCGTAACTCAGCAAGGCTTGGAGGCTCTGCGGAACTGGGCTGCAATCAAAATAGGTGATGTGCGTGATGATCGACGTGCCAGCTCACCAGCTAATACTGCTGCCTTTGCGCCGCTTTTTGTCTTAAAAGCTGGAATTCAACATGTGAATTTAGACATCAACTGTACGGATACATCTTTTGCCTTGTTCAGGCGTAGAGCATTGCTGACGAGGCTTCTGGCAAACTGTCAATTATCTTCCAAATGTTTGAGAAACGCCCAGCCATTTTGAACAGGTAATTCATGACATGTGAATGATTGCATCCACGCCGAGCCGGATCTCAAGGCCACACATCCATTTCGAAGCACGAGACTCGCCTCGGTAAGGCAGAGTCCGGATCTTATGTTTGCTGCCGCCGCCGGTGGCTTCCGGAATCACGGCCGGCTTTGGAACATGTTGGCGCAATCCTTGCGGGCACTAACGTCTTACGGCGGGCTGCACCGTGGCAGAACCCGACGAGCGTCAAGGGTCCAACACGCGAGAACGGCAACACGGGTTCCCGCGCAATCACAGCGCACGGCAGGACACCCATTCTGTAGCAAATAAGCATGTTCTATCGGCCGTAGTGACGGCCGTAACGTCGTTTCTGCCGGGAGTTGACGACGTCCTGTTGTACAACGCATGTGCATGAATGAAGCACTTGCATCTTTCAATCGACCATCGGAAGACCTCGCACGAGAATGACGAGTCGATGTGGTCGGCAACGTTCAAATCACTCGAGTTGAGGACGATTTTGCCTTCGCTGTTCGGGTTCTCAAAATAGCCTTGCAACGTTAGACCTTTACCTCAGCCCCTCATCTGTTCCATCAGCACTGGAGTCAACCGAAGGCCCCCAACGCGCAGGCATGCAATTCGGAGGCGCATGCAACGGCCAGTTTGCAGTTTAAGCGCGTTCCTGTTTCCAGGTTGGCGACAGGGATCTCGTCCAGTATAATTATGGTCAAGGTTGCAAGACACTTCCAACGGCGACATCCAAGTCTGATCGGTTTACCTGGATGGCACTAAAGAACAGTGTACGCCACTTACATGCAGTGCCGCCCCCATACCTATGAGGAGGCAACGTTTGCACGCCTGCTCTTCAGCTGCGCGAATATGACGCTCCAGACGATACATACTTCCCAGATCCCGGAGATGATAGGTAGATTAGACACAATCTAAGATTAGGATGCTATACACAGTAACCCTCGTTGTGTCACCCATGTCCAACCAGGTCAAGGAGTTGTACTTGGAGTTCCGCGGGTCATAGTGCATACAACAGAAAGTTGTTCACTCACAGCAAAATCAACATTCTGCTCGGACATCGCCATGATCGGTGCGGTGACCAAAAGTCCGATGATCCTGGGAACCGGGGCGTTGAAGTCTCTTGTACTGCTTAGCATTCATGGCAGATCCGGTTTAACTACTTCTCCCAGAGCTATTTCCAAACCGGACACTCACAGACAGATGTCCGGCTGTATATCATTCGAGCTGCAGCATTCAACTACCAAGATTCCTCGAAGTCAATTTACAATGGCTTCTGATGCTTATCAAGGAATCGCGGGCCTCTCTGCGCGGCTCGCAACCCCAACCTCATTCGCTGGGAGATTCCTCTTGGTCCAAGTATTACAGGCAATTTTGCCCGGAGATTGAAATCTTAGAACTTCCTCTATTCGGAAGTGGTGCTTGTTTGCTGCGGTGAGTTTGCCGTCTCGAAAATGTCCTTGAAACCGGTGAGTTTGATTCGACCAAGAACTGAACCGATATCTGGGCTTTCCAAAGCTGATTCAGAGTTTCGTGAGAGGATCATGCCTGGGTGCAAGCTGTTTCTCTGTTGGTCACCCGGTGCGGCCAGGTGCAGCATCTCGAGATGCAGCAAACCGCCTACGCATCTTTTGCAGGGGGTACGAGACCGGGTGTTTGGAACAGATCGTGCGCGCGCGTCAGTAGGCGTCGTCGATCCTGGTGTCGATTTCGATCTGGTCGATGCGGCATGCTACTTTGCCAGAGTTCCCGGATCAGCAGTGGCATTGAGATATGTGCCATGTTCTCTCCTTCCGATCAACAAAAGAAACATTTGTCGTGCGCCGATGTACGCACCAGTGAGAACCGACCCCGCGAGGCCTGTCGTGTTTGCTACGACCGACGTGAGCCATGGCAGCGGATGAATCTTTACGATCGCTTGACGCGTTTACTCATCTGTCCCGACCACATGCACCACTATCTCACTCCTCGCGCGTCGCACAACATGAACACGATAACGCAGAATCAGGATCCGGCGTAGAAGGCGAGTTCTTCGCTTCGGCAACGCGGGACGTCGGCCGTCCGGTCGAAAAGCAGACAAGAGGTCGCCGACCTTCACGACCATGTTCAAAAGTCCATGCTTTGTTTGGAGGTACACACGATCCGCTTGCTCCCTGTTGGTCGAGGGATCTGGCAAACATTTGCGCGCGTCAGATGAGATGGGACGGTGTAACGAGATGCTCACCAACAGCTACCGCCGCAGGACAGCCAAGACTCCGAGTTAGGCTCGATCTCCGGGGAAAACAAAGAACACCTTGTTTTGCGGCGGTTGGTGCTGCACTCGAATTGCTCACAGACCCCAATCCAGGCCATTACCAATCTTGTGGTAATCAAGGCCTGTTCCCAATCATTCGTACCCGATGATCGAGTCCAGTGCGTGTCACTGGCGCATACCAGACTGATCACCTGATTGAAATCCAGATCACCGAACGAGGGCACAGTAGGGATTGTCGACCTTTGGAGACGTTTCTGGGGCGTCCACATCACCATCTCGTATTCCCTTCGAATATGTGCTTTCACTTTCATGTGGTTCTCATGCATATTAATGATCCATGTATTGATGTATTCCTGCGTTTGCTAGGAGAGGAGCGTGCCGAAACGCCAGGTTCGAACAAGATTGTGCTGAAAAGGAATCGCGAGGCTATGCGAGAGAGCCTCTATAGGGAAGAAGAAAAGATAGCAATGACAATTGAGAAAGAGCCGGACCTTTTTCATGGTCATCCACCGCAAAACAACGCACTCTTATTACTCCAAGCCTCTGAACCTCCTGTTGAACTCCTCCACAGCCACGGCCACCATCTTGTACAGGAAGGCACGACCACTCTCGTCTCCCACGGGTATAAACGGTCCATTAGTGCCGCCTCTCAGAGTTAGGCTGAGACCCGTACGCTCCTTCGCGATTGTCTGGACGTCCTTCAGAGGCACATCCCACTCAGATGTCAGACGCCGGCTGCGAATAAGCAGTATCCGAGCGTAAGTGATCATGACAACCATATCCTCGCGGGGCAGCTCCAAGTGCGCAATGTAGTTCTCGTTGAAGTACTTCCCGTTGTCGACCTGCTTCAACCAAGATTGGCCGAGAGCCTCGCGCGCGTTGTACGGGCGCACGATGCCGTCGGAAGGCACAAAGCGTGCTGGGCGAACTCGGTCGAGTTCCGAGCCGTCGAAGACGGTGGTCGTGTTGCGAATACCTTCGGAAACATTGGATGCCATGTCCAAGACGCCAATGGCGGGCTTGGTGGCAAATCCGACAACACCCTTTCCGATACCCTTGAAGAAGCCGAGGGCTCCCTCTTGTTCGGCACCCTCAAGCGGCTTGCGGACAAGACCACCAACCCCAGATGCGGCGCTCGTGAAGAACGAGTTGGCACCAGTGGTCACACCGTAGAGAGCGTGCTTGGGGCGGTTTCTGGCTCGAGTGATGCGACGACGATCTTGGAATTGCTTGTCAAGGGTGGCAGCGGCTAGACCCTTGGACAGACTGCCGGTGAATTTGGAGAAGGAGTCAGTGAAGCCATAGACAGACTTCTTGACGAGAGATGCAGCACCCTTCGCAACACCGATACCAAAGTCCTCGGGTTTATCTGAGAGGATGAGTCCTTGGTATGGTTCGTAGAAAACATCCGTCAAGCCTGAGCTGATGTTGTTGAATAGTCCAACTGGGTTGCCGAGGAAATCGGCAGATCCAAGAATCTTGTGGATCTGGTAAAGCACCTCTTGGCTGTAGTGATTGGAAATGTTCTGTGTCAAAGCCGGCACAGACACTCGTACGTTGTCCAGCATAAGAGCATTCAGACGGATAGGGGCGTCGTTGACGTTGCCGATGGCCATTGTCATAACGTTGAGGAAGAACATCAACGGGTTTCGGGTAGATGTCTTGTCTTCGGCGTTGACACGCTCTGTCCGCATGAACGAAAGGTCGAGTTGCATTGGCTGAATGTTCAGCAGTTCGAAGTAAATATCCTGGCCAGATTGTTGCTGATTGGGCTCTGGGATATCCAGCTCCTCATCGCACAGCTTGCCCTCCTCGTTGCTGTCGGACCATGCCGCGCCGGGAATGTTGGAGAAATCGAGCACTGCGTAGACGAAATCTTCGTCGAGCTCGATTGTCATCTGTTGCATCAAAACCGTGGCATACTTGATGTACAGCACACCGTACGAATCGTCCTTCACTCGAGTTACCATTGCGTGAAGAGACGGGTGTGCGTCGACCTCCTGGGCTCTCTTTGGAACAACGCTGGGGTACAAGATCATTGGGAATAGACCGCCATACAGCTGGTTGTCAACTTGGATCCACTTCACCGAGAAGCTGACTGTTTGGTGAAGAGGCGAGTCGTGGTATCGGAGAGACACATCTCTGAAGGTGACGTAGGCCAGCTCCTTCAGCTGAGAGTTGATAAGCGAGATTCCGATACCCGATAGCTTGAGCTGTGCTCGGAATGTGGCGGTCGTTTCTTGATCCTTGACTTCGAAGCCATCGGTGCTTGTGCGAGAGCCAGACTTGGACTTCTGTCTGTACAGACTCTTGGATTGTCGGAAGTTGGACAAAATCAACGTTTGGGTAGGGCCATCTGCGGCAACATTGATGTCGATGATCTTTTGTTGTCCGGAGGGGGTGGTGAACTTCATCGGAATCTGGTTGCCGATTTCGGCGAGCTTCACATGTCTTTCCTTGCCGTGCACGTTGATGATAATCTCCCGGAACTTTGCGGCCGGGAAGTCCCACGCGTACGGCATGATGCTGCGCGGTGGCAGCCTGTACTTGATGGGTCTCCAGCCAGATCTATCCTCGACGCCATCGTCTTCCAGACTAGGGTTGGCTTGGTAGAAGGTGAATTCGGTGTCGCTCTCGTTCCTCATTTGGTACGGCCAGTTCTTGGTCTCCATGCTGAGGTGCAGGAAGATTGTCGCACCCTCCATCAAGATCTCAGCTCGGATGAGTCGTTGCCTCTGGCCAGCCTTAGCTATCTTGATGTGGGTGGTGCCAATATCCGAGATGTTGAACGGAGAAGTCCATTGATTGTTCATTCCAGGGTGGCATAGGGAGAGCTGCTTGACAGCGGTTTTCTGCATAAAGTGCAGTGGCTGGTGAGCGCCTGGTTTGAGCGTCATGAAGCCTGAGGAGCTGGACTCTCTGACATTGATCTCCTCTCCCAGTTTGTTCTCCAATACGAACCGCGGAGCAAGGGTAACAACCTTGGACATCTTGTACTTGCCCTCGCCAGCCTCAGTTGTGATGCCGATATGGACCTCGGTGTTTCTGGATGGCGAAGGAAGAACCACCTCTGTTGTACTGCCAATAGCATCGAAACTTTGCGGCTTACTCCATTCTGAATCCGCGATCTGCAGCAGCGCACGGTTCCTATGGTCGTCGTTGCCGTAGGAGAACATGAGCGGCGTCGCCTTGGGCCGATCCCTCTCCGACCTGTTTGATAGGGTCGCCTGGCCTGCGGCAGGTCGGGCGCCCTGTAGGAATCCCTTGGCTCGGAGCTGCAAGTCGAGACCGGTCTTGTTTAGAATGACGTAGGGGCTGTATACCGTCACTCGGAATGCTCCACCGCCATCGGGAATCTTGTGGTAGTGAAGCCTGAGGTTAAGCTGCAGACCATCGGCGTCTTTGCACAACAACCTGTCTTCTTTCTTGAAGTCATCTGACTGCCCAGAGTTGATGATCGCAAAGTCGCTGGGCTTGAAGACGGTGTCCTGCATGTCAACGCTGAGGAGAAGCAGATGGGAGAGTTCGACGACATGTACAGGGCTGAGACCACCTTTGCGGAGGAAGTTTGCCCAGTCCTTCTTGGTGTTTTTGTCGTAAATGCGGTACTTGAAGTCGTATGGCAAGAGGTTCTCGAGGATAACGGGTGGTGACAACTTGATGCGCATGTACGGGTAGTTCCTGTGCAGACTGTAAGCATGTGATCAGGATGGTTGTCTTCCAGCACTTACTTTGTTAAGGGGTTGGATCGGTCGAAAGTGGCATTGAGCTGGAAGTAGAATGGATCACCATTCTCGCCCTTGCAAACCATCGTCCGGGTAGGTCTCTTCAGAAGATCTCTCCACCACAAACTCTCGGATGACCAGGCATACCCGAAGCCCGAGTCGGGCCGCACAAGCAATGACTTGAGGAATGCGGCTCCAACAGGAGCCGGGCGACTTTCGCCGGGAGCAATCTTCTCAATCTTGAGCAGGTGACCTTCTTGAGCATCATAGACGCCGAGTTCAACCGGGATCTGGGTCTCATTCTCGACCACCAACGGCGAGCGGAAGGTGACATATTTGACATTGTCCTTGCCGAGTGTGACTTCGACAAGTAGTCGGTGCAGAATGTTGTCGGTCTTGGGCTTCAAACCGTAGATAGCCTCGCCTTCACGATTCAGTCGTACGTTTTTGACCGGGTCAAACCCGCTACCCTCTAGTTGAATACCAACACTACCGGTACTGCTCTCGGTTGAGAGGTTCTCACGCATCTTCTCCCAAGGCTCGAAGCTCCATGGCGCTTCTTGGCCGTCTTCAAGACGAGCCGTCATGTTGTCTTCGGTCGTGGAACTCTTTGACTGCACCACAATGTCGAAACCAGTGTAATTGCGGATTCTGTATGGTGCGTCCACGCCTCGAGGTTTGCCCAGGACGTCTTCATCTTTGCTGAGGAATGCGAAAGACTTCGATGCCAGTGCGATAGTGGCGGTAGTCAATGTGACATCGAAGATCTTCTTGGAGGCCACGTCGATGGACATGAGTCCAGACTGCGCGTCCTTCGCCATTCCAATGCCAACTTGCCAGGGCTCAAGAAGAGGTTCCCAGGCAGACTTGGAGAAGTTGTACACATTAGTGTATAGATCAATGGCGGTTTCAGCCTTGAGGTTGGAGGACCAATCTTCCGCGGTGGCGGTGAAGTTCTTGATGCCCAGGTCCAAGATCGGGAGTTCGTGGACATCGCCGATCAGAACAACGCGAATGCCTTCGATGGTAGCGGAAAGCTCTTCGTGTCGCTTCGTCTGCGACTGAACTGCAGTTCCTTGAGGGTCCTCATGAGCCTGTTTTGCCTGGGACGCTGCAATTTTCTGCGTCTGTGCCTTGGACATAATTGTCTTGTTGGCAATAGTCGATGGCCCCTTGCCGCTCGCAGTGCGCTGCTTCAGACCAGCCTGTCGAAGTTGCCTCGCTTTCTCGTCGGCAGCTGATGACGATGACTTGGGGTCCTTGGGTTGCTGGTCCGAAAGCTCAGTGGCCTTGCTCGCAATCTGTAGCGCAAGCAGAATATCCCGCAATGACAGTCGAAGAATCAATGGCTCGATGTCGGCATGAATGCTGGTGATGTTCGGCTTGGAGCTGTCCATCGACATCTGTACCGAGAAGTCGTCAATGATACGCAGGCGAGAATCCTCAAATCGATCCATTCGGCAGAGGAACATGCCGATCTCGGAGACTTGGAAGGTCAGGGCGTGCTGTTGAGATAGCAACACCTGTTTGGTACCGAGTACGATGGCTTCAGAGCTGGAGCTGAGAGGGTTTGCGATCAGGATGACTTGAGCGTCAACAATGTTGACCCTGTAGGCAATGCTCATGGTGCTTTGCGGTTTGTCCTCGGCGTTCTCCTGGGGGCTGTCTGTCTCTTCTTTGTTGCTCTTCTGCGATTTGGACTTCGACCATGTCACCTGCATCGAGTCCGCGTCTGCATCCGACTCATCGGGTGTATCCAACAAGGACTCATCGTCGACGATTGAGGGTTCTTCGGGTTGCAAACCAACCATGACGAAGTGCTGGATGGCAAAGAGGTAGTCCAGGGCAAAGATGACACGTGGGCTATCGATGGTAACGATGGCGATGAGGTTTCTGTCCTGTCCGCCGGACATTGTGATGCTTGCCATAAGCTGCTGCACCTCCTTGTTCGACGACGTCATGATCCTTCGGAACTTGTTAGTGTCGCGAGGTCGGCTGTCGAAGATGGTAAACGAGTGGATGAGGAACTCTCCCTCTAAAGAACCATCGTTGAGCATTCTTGTCTTCAGCTTGGTGACGTCCAGTGAAAATCGCGAGAGACTAGCATTTTCGAGCTTTCCAACAGGCTTGTCGTCGGGCGCTAACAGCAGCTCCATGCCGATAGTGTTGACTTGGAAAACCAGGTCGAGCTTCGTCCATGTCTTGTCCTTGGGTGACAGCTCGGGGCCCAGATCAACGAGCTGTTGCTCATTGCCTTTGTTCTTATCAATGGGCAACGACTTCGCTCTTTGCAGAGTTTCCTTGTCAACTTCACGCTCGGCCTCCTGGTTTTGTTCGTCAGCATCGCCCGCAAAGGCTGCTGGAACCGATTTCGAAATTTCCATCAAGAAGCGAAGCTGGTACTGGGTGAGCTTCAGGTTGAAGTCGGACATGCTGCCTTCAATTTCAAGCTCGGGACGCTTGGTGCCGTCTTGGTGTTCGGCATAAGTCACGTTGAAGCCCAAGTCAACCTTGTCGATGAGTTCAAGCTCTTCGGAGAGGTCTCCGGGATAGTTGAAATCGGACGTCAGGCGAATATTGCGAATTCCTGCGTTGATCTTTGTCGCAATTTGCGAATTCTCGGAGTCATCCAGAGGAGCAAACTTGTTCTGGGCGTAGATTTCTCCCAGGTACGCAGTAATAACATCTCGCTTAGGTTGGCCGTGATTGACGACACGAGGGAATACGACGATGGGCGTCTTGACCACGACATCATACTTGAATCTGCTTGTGCTTTGCTGAATCTGGTTGGCCTGGTTCGCGGCAGCTTGGCGGGCAGCGTTGTAGATGGCCTGCATCTTGCCGAACTTGACAAGGAACTGGATGATTTTACGGAAGGGTTCTTCGAGGAAGTTGAGCTTCACAGAGCCAGCCCTCAGGTAGACTGAGGAGTCGTAACCAGGGTACGCCTTCTTGTTGGTGGCATCGAAGGTCTCGTATCGGAAGTCGGCGAGCTCGTCGCCTTGAATGGAAATGAGCTGCCTCAAGTTCGACTCCTCCGAGACACCCTGGTTAATGTCGTCAACCAAGTTGAGATTTCCTAGCTTGGCATTCACACGCATCGTCTTGCCAAGGAGGAAAACGCCAACGTCCGCGTGGTTGAAAGACAAAGTCGCCAAACGGATGCCGTCATTGTTGAGGATGAGGCGAATACTCTTGAGGTCGACCTTGACTCTGATGGAGCCTGTGTTGGCAGGTGCGTCTTCCGGCGGGGCGTCCACGGCAATCTCAACCTCTTCATCATCGCCTTCGTCTTCCGAGTCTGAAATCGCCTTCTGTTCCTGGGGCGAAGCTGCGTCATTGTTGTTACCAGTAAACGTCGCTAGGATGAAGTCGAGCAAAGTCAACAGAGTCTTCCTGGTCACCACGAGGTTGATGGTGGAGATCGCAGCCGTCACGTTCGTCTCAACACCCTCGTACACGGGCATAAACTCTGGTGATCTGCGGTTGACCTTGGTGAACTTGACGCTGACGAGACTTCGGTTCTGCTCGCGATCGTCAGGATCCCCTGACGACACGATAGACTTGAATTCGGCGGAAGGGTTATCGACGAAGTCATCCATGATCACTGAGCCCAGGGACACCTCAGCCGACATGTCGTATGGGCGCAGGTAGAAGAGAAGGTCGAAGTTCTCGGCAACGAGCTCAACCAAGAGTGCATCTGGCTTCTTCTTGTCCGGATCGCTGCGGTACAGAGAGCCCTTTAGAGTGTCGACCTTGAACTTGAACTCGAAAGAGCGCTGCTGTAGCTTGAGCTGCTCCTTATTGTCTCGGCCGCCGTCTGCATCCTCAAACTCATCGCTATCGTCCTCGTCTTCGTCGATAACGATGGCGGTTTGCTGCTGCATGAAGGGGAATTGCGACGACCTCCGGCGGGAAGGCTCCTTACGAGATCGCGACCGAGCCGACGCGGTGCTCAGCCCCCTAGGGCGAGTCGTAACCGACTGGCCTTGCGAGTCTTGGATCTGTTCCTGCTGATTGTCGGCCTGGCCGAACTTGGGAATAGCGACATCGATGATCCTCATCAAGTTCTTGTACTTGGTGTCCGAGACGGTGGCATGAAGAAGTGGCAAATGGCCTGACACCTTCAACTTGGTCAAGTTTGGTGCCTTTGGCAAGATGGACGTCTCAACAACGAAGTCAACGTTGATCCGCTCCACAACGTGAAGATGTTGCGTGTCATCCTTCTCCGTAAGCTGAGCCTTGGTCACCTCGATGGATGGTCCTATCAGCACTTGGGTCGAGGAGAGTTTGACCAGGAATTTGTCGTACATGACGGACTCCAGGCGCTTAAAGTCGTCATCGGTGTACGATTGTCGCTGCTTGGACTGGATCTGCTTCATGGTATCTTGGTCGACCAGTTCGCTGTTAACGCTGATGTGACCGGCATCCAGAATGAGACAAGTCGACTCCTTGACCGAGATGCTGACTGGTACGATGATGAGAGGAGCCTGCAGGTCGAGTTGGGCATTGATAGTCTTGTGCTCTTCAAGAGCGAACTCGAGACCTGCGCGCGTCTGTTCACGGAATGTCTCGACAGTGGCGCCGGCAGTCTCCATCAGGGCTGTAATGGATTCCATGTGCCTCTCTGGTGGCCTGAAAAAGTCGGCAACGCCCACCACGAAGTTAGGGTTCCAAACGATCTCGAGCGGTTTGAGAGATCCAGACAACGCGATGTCTCCCTGTTTTTCGATGGGATTCTGCTCGACCTCAAACCGGAAGAATGGCTCGTCTTCATTGTCCTCCAATTCTTCGATCGTCAGACGCTTGTGCTCATGGACTTCAGGCGCATCCTTGACTCGCACAATCTCTGGGAAAAGGGAGTCGGGAGTGGTTCCGTCGTTCACGCGTAGTCCACCCAGACTAACGTCGGCCAGGAAGGAATCGGGGCGCTGCAAAACCTTGGCCTTGAAGACGTCAAAATGGAGACTGAGAAGGTCGCTTCTCTTGCCGTTGTGACTTTTCTTCAGCGTAAAGCTTCCAGTGCTAAGCCATGCCTCGACTTGCATCTTGATGGTGTCACGAGGCACGTCAACAGACTCGGCGATAGCCGTCTTCTCGTCGAATTCGATGGCATCGTACAACTCTTTTCGTTGCTCCTCCGTGATTTGTGTGTTCTCGTCTGTGTTTTGCTGTTCTTGTTGCTTCGCCCCGCCACTCCACATCCATGACACCCAACCTTGCTGCTGCTGCTTGGGCGGTTGGTTCTTGAGGGCTTCGGCATTTTCCTTCTTAAGCTGGTTTCGAGCCAGGGATCTCCAAAAGCGCAGGTCTTCGTAGTCAAGCTTCCACTCGAGTTTGTTGAGGTCGTCGCTCTCGTCGGAGGAGAGTTGCTGTTGTTGCTTCCGCTTCTTGAACAGCTCGATGTAGCGCTTTCGATCGTCGCGTCTTTCGCGGAAGTAATCCCAAGACCATCTACGGTTCCTGTCGTGGATCTTGCTGAGGACGGCGTCCCCAGCGAATTTGAGCCACGCTCTTGGATCCTCCTTGGGCGTTACGCCCTTCGGCTGGAACTTCTTGTACTCTTGGTGCCGGATGAAATAATGGAAGAGATCCACCATCATTAAGCCGTCTCGGTACTGGTCGTCGTCGATGACCAAGCCAATTTCCTCGAAGAGCAGACTCGCCTTGGCTTTGGGAACGTGTGTATCGCCAGTCTTGTCGAGAACGATCTTAGCCTTTCCGTTGACGGGGCGGAGGATGAACTGGTGGTTGAGGTCTGTGTCTTCCGTCGATCCTATCAAGCTCTTGAACTTGTCAACCATCTCGTCGTGCGGCATCGGCTCGTCGTCATCGCTCGTCACTTCGCGGCCCGGGCCCAGCAGCTCTGTATCTGTGTTCCAGTAGACAGCAAGGGCGCCGAGGGTTGCGAGCTTGTGGGTGCTCTTGGTAGAGTCTTGGATGAAGGTCGGCTTCCACTGGCCGTCGGTGCTGACAGCACTGAACTCCTCGAGTGTGACACCGAGGGCGAAGGGGTGTCCTGGTGCGGAGATGGAGTCTTCGTATCTGATGTGGATGTTCTTGACCGTGACCTGCAGGTTGTCGACGATCTTGGTGACCAGGCTCTGGGTAAAGCTCTGGCTCTTCTGCTGCTCCTCCTGGGTCATGCCTTCCTGTGATCTCTCCTTGAGCAGCTCGGCCGAGTCGAGCTTCTCCATCTTGATTCTTTGTTTCCTGCGCTCCTCCTCGTCCTCGTCATAGGCGGCTTCCTCCCTTGGGGAGGCAAGCAGGAAGACATCTTCGATAAAGACCTTGACGGGGGCGCCGCGTAGGTTGGACCACGGAATGATGAGGGTCAACTCGCCGAGGTGGCCTTCCATAACATTGATGGGCAGCTTCAGCTGGTCGAGGGCCTCCCTCCGCAGCTCGAGGTTCCTAAGCTTGACATCGCCAGACCAAATGCCGACCTTGAGCTGTGCTGGGTCGAAGTTCTTGACGTACATACCCAGAAACCTGTTGAGCAGGCCGGCGACGAGTCCCTCCAACATGGTATCTGTATGGCGCCGTTACCCTGGCGAGGGAAGCTCAGTATGGGGAATCTATTGCGTGTCGGCCGTTCGAGGCATGGGAAGGGAGGGATAGATTTGGGACGCCGCAGAGCTCGATCACGCCGGGCGGGGTTAGGTCGAAAACCGGAAGGGCTCTGCCGACATGAACGGGTCGTAAGTGTCGTGATCTGGGGACGGAGATTTGGCGTGGGTGGTATTTTAGGTCGTGTCGTGTCGTGTCGTGGCGTGGCAAAATAGGTTGGGTATCTTTTTTTGGCGAGGGGTAGGTAGGTATCGGTCGTTAAAGGGCTGTCGTGGCAGCTTGCCGTAACTCCGAACGTGGGACGGTAACTTAATGAATGATAATGCCAAGTCACAGCCTATTTCGAAAGTCAATCTAGATAGACATGGACAGATTGCAAGGCATGTGTTCACTTACCTCCCTCGATGTTGGGGCTGATGGAGGACAAGCGAAGCGGCAGGGTTGGGGTCGGTTTGGGCTGAGCTGGTCGTGGTGTCGACGGTCGACGGTTTGTGCATGATGACGCTGCCTGATTCTCGATTCTCCCCCGCAGCCCGTGCGGTGCCAAAAACAGGCCGCCAGCTTGGCCCAGACTGTGGCGCGTTCTGCCGTTGAGCCACGGAGGGGTGGGTCTACTGCATCATCGCCTGATTGGGTTAGCGGTGAGCCATACCGTAAAGTTGCAGGAAGGTAAACAGCAGCACCATCCGACTTTCTTGTCATTTCATTATGCAAGTAAGAAATCTAACAGCATATTCAAGATTTAGACTGTTTAATTTTCAATTATTCTAAATGTACAAAATCTCATGTTTATCCCACTGGCAGCGTCGCACTTTCCTCGGCAACGGCAGACTTGGGAAGCTTGGACCATCACGCTAGTCTCACCCCCACTTCGACGTGGGTTCGTCCAATGCGGAGCCTCTGGCCCGGGCGTGGACATGGGCGAGGTCTCCACATTACGTCACTAGCCGGCAGCTGAAGCTCCAGCCCGGGCGACGGTGGTGCACCTCGATGTCCCGTCCGCCCTCTCTACGCAGTACTACGCAGTACCTAATTAGCGATGAGCTGCCGGAGACGCTGGAACTAGATGGAAATTGATGCCGCCGCTGCCCTGGTTTCTCCCGTCTGTTGTGCCAGTTATCCGGGACGACTGGGTCCTGTTCCTGCTGGCCTTACATCAGTCTGAAGCAATCTCCAAGTACCTAAGCTAAAAGCTCGTCCGTACGCAATAAATTCGAGCGGCCGCACGTGGTTCACCATTTTCTTCCAAGACTTGCATTGAACACGATCCTCCCTGTGTTCGAGGTAATTTCCGACATTGAAAGCACCCCAACAAAGCAATTGACACTTCAGATACCCGTGGACAGCTCAGACGCTCGCTCTCCTACCTACTACACCTCCCAGCTTCAAACACCCACCTCAGACCAAGCTTCACAATGCTTCGCTCCTCGCGACAGCTTCTGCGATTCGCTCCGCGCTCGGTCGCAGCTCCCTCTACCACCCATTCCTCCGCGTCCTTCTCGACCAGAACCTCCCAAAGCGCACTCCAGAGCTCCAAGCGCCCCTCCACAGCACTGCAAGCGCGCGTGTCTCCCCTCGCTCTCGTCGCCCGCTACACAAACTCTCCCTACGACAAGATCGACAAGAAGGCCGAGGCAGAGATCGCCAAGAAGAAGCTCGAGTCCAACCCCGCCGAGGTTTCCACCGAATCCTCAACACGTCATCTTTTCGAGCCTGCGCCGGCAAACCCAGACCGCGACGCTGACCTTTCTGAAGGGCTGAAGCACGATGTCGTACGTCCAACTCCATGATCTGCTTGTTTTCGTCTCTTTGCAATTGCTAACAATGACCCCCGCTAGAACATCGTCAAGGACACTTTCGACCTCAGCGAGGTGCCGAGAGAACCCCTCGCCCTTGGTATCGCCGGCACCCTTCCGTACCTCGCGACCTCCTTGAGCACAATGTACCTGAGTTGGGATCTTAACCTGGAATGGCCCTCGACTTCGACGTTTCTCAACAACATCTACATGAACCAGGAGCTGGCTCAATACTGGCTGAACCTCTTGGAGCCCATCCAGCTCGGCTACGGCGCCATCATCATCTCTTTCCTGGGTGCTGTTCACTGGGTAAGCAACCGCTTCACGTCTCCGTGATCGCGAAGGGGCATGCTAACAAAGTACAGGGCATGGAATACGCCGAAAAGACTCCTGACCCCAGACGCACGCAGTTCCGTTACGGCATGGGTGTCGTCGCTCCCATGGTGGCCTGGCCGACGCTCCTGATGCCGGTGGAATACGCCCTCACCTCCCAGTTCGCCGCCTTCACCTTCCTGTACCTTGCCGACGTACGTGCCAAGAACAAGGGCTGGACCCCGCCGTGGTACGGAACCTACCGTTTCGTGTTGACGGCCGTCGTGGGCGTGTCCATCTTCATCAGTCTGGTCGGCCGGACCAAGATTGGCAACGCCCAGCCTCACATCGGTCAGGAGCTAGCCGAGAGCATGCACAAGGCCAAGGGCGACACGTCCCGCGACTGGGACAAGCTCGAGCAGGAAGAGCGCGAGCGGGTCAAGAAGGAGAAGGAGGAGGAGGAGAAGAAGAAGAAGGAAGAAGAGAAGAAGGCCAAGACCGAGGAAAAGAAGAAGGGCAAGAAGGGCGATTCTAAGAGCAAGGACAAGAAGCAAGAGAAGGCTGCTGACGACAGCGCTGAAGAGGGCAAGAAGGATGACGGCGAGGCAGACAAGAAGGAGGAGACGGAAGACAAGGATGATGGTAAGGACGAGTCTAAGGATGACGGTAAGGACGAGTCCATGGATGAGAGTAAGGGTGAAAGCCAGGGAGAGAAGAAGGACGAAGGCAAGGAGGAGAAGCAGGACGACTCCAAGGATGAGTCCAAGGACGCCAAGGGCAAGGGGGAAGGCGAAAAGAAGAGCGAGGTCAAGGGAGAGAAGAAGGACGACAGCAAGGACAAGAAGGAGAAGAAGGAGTGAAAGGCCCCAAGCCGAGATTTGGGCAACCGTTCCATTTGTATTCATGTATGAAGCGATCTTGCAGCACGTCACGTTCTAGTGCGGCGTTTGGGCTATAGCATTGTACCAGTTGGTAGCAGACTATTTACTGTTCAAGTTCACTATTGGCTCGTATCATTGCAAACGCTTGGTGACTTGCGTATTGGACATCACCTGATACGGCCGCATAGCTGGATGAGCTTGGGTATGCATCTGAATTCAGGGATCGTTGATAAAGACTATCAATTCTATTCTAGGGAATTACGAATTAGGAGGGTTTCCGTGTCTTACAAACGTTCCGACTAACACTGCCCACGCCTTAGCTGCCATCACCACTAGCCTCCAGCACGATGGGCTCATCTAACTCGCAAAACGTTTCATTCTCAGGCAGCGTCCCATTCACAAGATAATCCGCCGTCACCTTGTTCGCACAAGTTGACGTGCTCACTAAACCATGCTATTCCCAAGCAAGTCAGCACTGTTGACAGTCACAGATCTACCAAGAAGACTTACCCCATAATCATTGACATGAAGCACAACGCTCCCCTCAAAGGCAGCACTCATGTTCCTCGCCGAAACAAGCGGCGTAATTGCATCAGCCGTAGTCCCGATAAATAAGATCGGGCTCCTCGTCTTCACGCCAAAGTCGCCCGAATACCTCTCTTTCGCATTCAACCTCCACTGCGCGCACATCATCTCGAGCATGATCGGACCATCACCAAGAATTCGGCTCTTCCCCATCTGCGTCGCCATGATCGGCAGGAAGTCGTCGAGGGAAGACACCCGGGCAATCTTGTCGCCGCACGCAATAGCTTTCAGCGCGTCGGACTTCGAGCTCGAGTTCGAGCTCGAGTCTGAGTCGATTAACGAGTCGGTTAACGGGTCGATCAACGGATTGATAAACCAGTATCCAGAACTCAATATATCAATGAAGCTGTCGTAGTTCTGATCCATGAGGGCGTTCAATTGGCCGGTGACTGATCGCCAGGAATTGGGGTTGCCAAGGGCTGAACTGATGGCCGACTTGACCATGTTGTAGTCTATGAGGATCGTTCCGAAGGGGATGGGTTGGGAGTTGAGCTCATCGATAAGAGCGTACGCGGCTTCTTCGAGCTGGGCGGCCGTCATATTGCGCTCTGCGAGGGCGCAGGTATACGGGTTTGCGATACACCATTGAAATATTGCGCTAAAGGCCTTGTCTGCGTCGGTAGATTGTTCTTCGTCACTTTTGTTGCACGAGGGTCAGCTTACTTCTTTTCCTAAGGTCGATTTTCCTAGAACAGGAGGAAGAGGTCCAAGGGGCTCACAAGGTGTTGTAGTATTCATGGCCGTTGATGTTTGCTTCAAGCACCATCTTGTCGATTCTCTCTGGAAACATGGCGGCTGCTGTTTGACCCAGAAGAGTTCCGTAAGAGGCACCTAAAAGAATCAACGTCAGCAACACAGGCATTCATAGCTTTGGAAGTCCCCGATGCGGGCGGGATGAATCTCGGACAGCCAAACAACATACCCCAGTATCTCAGGAGACCATCTTCATCCAAAGCATCCACAATCTGAAGCATGTCCCGTACGACGAAGGCCGTGCCGTAGACCCCCCCGCGTGCCTTATTCTTCTCGTAGCACTTATCGACAAAGAGCTTCGCCGAAGCCCAGAGCCTCCCGGGGTTCGTGTCGGACGAGTTCGTGTATTGATGTGTTGAAAGGAAAGACCAGGATCCGAAGTAGCCCGATATGTATGAGTTTCTTTCGTTGTTATCTTCGAAGCAGCTGAAGAAGAGGGTGTTACCGGTGCCGCTATTGGGTATTAATACGTGGTTATGGCCGTGGAAGTAGTCTCGGCGTTTGGGTTGCACACGTACCGAGGGTCAAACGTGACGAGGTCATGGTATTCGCTGGTCGAGCTGCTCATAGGAATGGACTCAGCAATCATCAATGAATATGGAAATACTGATAATGGAACTCACTTCCGGTACCATGCCCCATCGCGGGCCATTGTATCTCGTCCCTCCACGCCCGGCCCGCCAAAGTTGAACAAGATACTCCCCTTGGAAGGCTGACGTACGGCGGGAATACGGAGCAGTTGAAGCTCGATCGTCTCGCTGGAGTTGGGAAGTGTGTAGTCGAGCGGCACCGTCAGGTTTGCGCACTGGATGGGTTCGGAGGAGTTGAACTCGGTACACTGACCCCAAGCGATGCCTTTTTGGCCTCTCGGGCCGCTGCCTGTGGAGGCCGCATGGAGCAGCAGTTCGATAATTCGGCAAAGAAAGTTCGATAGTCGACTCATCTCGTGAGTAATACAGGGATGATTACAAATGCTGTAGTGTAGCCGGGCTGGGTACGTAGGATTTGAGTCGTCGTGCCTGAATCCCGTTGGTTGTAGTGATACCCAGCCGTAGATGTTGGTCGTCAGATGGCTCAGAGCATCCAGAGACCACTTGGGGTTTAAGGAGTAGTGTAGTCCTCCGCTACTCTCTCCAGTCATCATCCGAACAAACACGATAGACGCTGCCTCCTGCCCAGCAAAAGTTCAAGCAAAGCTTCAACTGGCAAGAGATAGTATTCTAGCAACTACGACCCAGGCCTCCAGCCAGTTGAAGTCAAGAATCTAAGGGTGCCATGGGCAATCGCCGTGCTAGTGCGGCTTTCTTGCCTGTAAATTCAAGCAAAGCTCCTTCTTGATCTTATTGATCTCGATGCTACTAAGTGGAAGTCGCCTTACCTGCATATATGCAGCTCTTTCTCTATCCATTGATGTTGATTTTGATGTCACTATACGTATGGAAGTCGCTCTGCTCGAATCAGTAACGCTCCTTCTCTATCCATGTTGATTTTCGTTTTACTGCCTGTCCAAGTAAAGCTCCTTCTCTACATTAATGGTTTTGATGTCGCTATCTATGTGGCAATCGCTTTTATGTGAGAATCCGCGAGATCCGTGGCAGCATTCACTCCCAGGTTTCATTTCCATGGCTCAGCATCAGTCCTCAAGAACGTCAACTTTATGAGCGCAGACCATGCAGCACGTTGGTTTGTCCTCCGCAGCGGCCTGTTGTTGACAGATTTGAACAAGGTTGATCGATTTGCAGTTGCTTATGCTGTGGAAATCTTACCCTTCTATACAGAGGATACGTTTCCGGGTTTTGTGTGCTCTTGATGGAGGAGAATGGCTGCTCGGCTCCTGGCGACTGGCTGGTTTTCCTCCCGGGTCAGTGAGGCTGATTTATGACTGCCTTTGCTTGGTCTTTCTTTTTCGACGTCGACCTGCTTATATTGCTCGTCTCGCTGCCGGTGTCATTATGCTTCTTCGTCCCTTGTCTCCAACTGTCAGCACGTAATTGCTGATATTGGTCTGACAAACATTAGCATTCATCATCAGGCATCTTCCATGCTTCTCCGTTCCGGTCATCGTGCCGAGGCACGGTCTTTAGTCCAGGTCGGCGAAAATGACTCTGCTTTACTACTTCAATGTTGTCGTTCTCGATGTCTGCAAACCATGATCCGGGTAGACAGCGTGGACCAAGTCGATGAGGTGCAGAAATCACAACGACCAACGACCTTTTGTCCAACACATCCTCCTAATCCTCCATCCCGTCGAACCCTCCCGACTCGCTCTCAAACATCACCACACCATCCGCAACCCCGTGGCCCGAGCCGGCGGTCTCGGCATTACGTCGGGATCATCTTTCGCAGCGACAGTGCAGCATCCGATGCCGGACACAAAGGGAGACCCGGCGAAAAAAAAAGAGACTCCCGACTCCACCTCCACGGTCAGGTCCCGGCACAACCCGCCTCGGGGCTCGGGCGAACCAACGCACTAACGCAGCATGCATGCAGCACCACTTGTCGAAATCTGGCAGAGAAAATGGGTGACAGCAAATAAAGCAAAGGGCGGAAGCTGCAGCCCTAATGAGGGGAGCAAAAGTCTGGTTTCCAATCGGGTACCGGGGAATGCAAACCGATAGCATCCTTCAACGGACCCCCCATTCTGTTGGATCTGCTTGGTCTTTGGCTCAACAGTTGAGCGGGAAGAGACTAGTGGTGGAAGGCGGGAAGAACCCAGAAATGTCAAGAATGTCGGCCGGCTAGATCGTGTCTTTGATTCACTCGACCGGCGGCTACAGCGAGACATGTCTTTTCTCGAGGTGGGCGGTGAGCTGCAGTATCCCGAATCCTCCAAAGTATTTGCATAATCACGTCAACGATGAGACACTCGAAATTACTCTTTAACTTCTTTTGTATTCAATCTCGCAGGCCCATGTCGTGTGGAGAGGGCGATTCTCACCGCTACTCGACGTCGACACGGAGCTCCACTCATACATGCGTTGCCTCGCAACTATCTTATCCTGCTAACCTGTAGCCACGCTGTCCCATAAATGGGAACGAGTCGTGTGAAAAGCCTCCACTGCAAATTTCAACCCCGGGGTTCGAAGTGGTCGAATGCCACTCGTAACAAAACAAGCCAGCTCGCGACGTCATAGTCGGGAGGAATGCCTGGTTGCTGATGATGATGATGATGAGAAGACCCATAACCTTCTAGATGCGAAACGTGACGCTATCGCAGGCCTCTGCGATCGATGCAATAACAATTAAAACGAAAGATGGTGCCGGAGGGATGCGTAGTCCTCGGTGTATGGCGCCGGTGGTCCCCATGCTGTTCCATGATCCTCTTTATAGCACAGCCGTTCTAGTGATCCGACCGAAAGATGCAACGCTGACAAAAAACAAACGCCGGTGTACCCAACGCCACACGAATGACGGGTATTGCAAGGGAAGAGAAGTCGATCCACCGTTGCCTCGGGAGGTGGTGTATGTCGACATGAAAAGGGTATGGAATTCGAGCGCTCGCGAGGGGTATCGTGGTTGAGGCGGTCTATACCGAAGGAGATATGACGTCGGGGAAAGATGCGCTCGGTGCTTAGTGCTTCTTGTCGGAGCTGGTAGAGTGTTGCGCCGACTGGTGGTGGTGCTTGTGCTTGTGGGAAGAGTGGTGCTTGCGGACCTTTGTGATGTTAGCGACGGGTTCTTGTTCGAAGCGGTTGTGACGTTGTGAACGTACCCTCTGGCGACCACGGTGCTCCTCCTCGTCCGACGAGGTGTTGCTCAGGCGTCTCCTCTCCTCCTCGTACCAGGTGCTCAGCGACTTGCCGCCGAACATGAGGTCATCGTCCTCGATGATGGTGGCTTGGATCCAACCCTGGGAGGCGAGGTCGGCTTCACCCGCGTTGTGTTCCATGGCGCCGACGTTGGGGATAACGTAGTAGTACTGATCTTGTGCCGGTGACATTGTGTGTGGAGTTGTGATGGCGGCTCTAGGTGGACTCGAGGTTGAAAGGCGGGAAGACGGGTAGAGGTGCGAGTTGGGATGGAATGGACGACCCTCTTTATGGTTATTTCTTATGCGGCGGGAGTAGCGAGTAGCGCGTAATGCTTGATTTCGCGTAGATGAAGTGCTTGGTTGTGGTGTTTTGGAGAAGCCGGGGTGATCGCGGCGGGCGTTATTTAAGCCTCTATGACAGGGACCCTTGGATAGCAGGAAAATGTGCCGGCAGGGAAGTCTGGACCGCTGGAATTCGGGATGACGGCGGGAGGGTCGAGGGTCTGGACGAAAGCGACAAAGGAAGCAGAGACAGAGACGGGGAGGGCGTCGGATATCGAAGGGTCCAAGTAGAGCAGAAGCAGTGATTTTTCCGATCTTCTCTTTGTTCTCGGGTTGCCGGTGAGAAGGGCAGGGCGAGACAGCGCTAGACGGGAGGGCTGGATCGTGGATCGTGGAAGAGGCACAGAGGATGAGAGAGGACGGAAATATGTGCGGTGGAGCCTAGAACGGAGGGAGTGCCGGCACTTTCACTTTGGTTTTGGAGATGGTGATGGTGTTTTGTTGGTTTCGGAGAGAAAAGACCAAGAAATGGGAAGAGAGAGACGGGAAGAGGCCGTCGTGACGGAACGGAGGCGGACGGCAGCTGGGTTAATATGGACGGCAAGATGTGGGAATTTTCAGGATTGTGGGAAGGGAAGGCGCGGCGACCAAGAGATGACAAGGCCCAAGGCAGGCACACAAGGCAGAAGGCAGGTGCACTTTCCCCGTATTATTTTCAGGTTGGCTCGCGTGGCGGGAAGGAAAGACCGCAAGTGCGACGAGGGAAGGAGCGAGTGGGAGGCCACTGAGGGGGTGTGGACCGGGGCACCAAGGGGGGAAGGAGCAGGGGGGACACTCTGGAGCAGGGGGCAGGGGAGGAAGGAGGCACAGGGGGTACACTGACGGGGTACACTTAGGAGTGACTTCCTCCTCCTTCCTCGACTTTTTGGCAGACGGACTGACGGAGCAGGGGGCGTTTGAGGCTGGTCCGTGCGGGACGTCGACTGAAAAGGTACCGAAATGTGGATGAATAGTGGACACCGACGCAAATTGGCGTTTTGTGGATCCCAAAACGGACACCTGAACGGGACCTCCGTAATGGGCGTCACGCCTGTTGATTCAGGAAACGGTACTTTACAACACCACACTGACACGCCAATATCTCTCTCGGTGTGTCTGAATGATCAGTTCTATGCTACCTGTGAAGCTGACATTGTTTTGAGACACCGCACCGCACAGCAGACCAGAGTCAGGCTGTCACCCATCACTCAAGGGCAGATATCCTCATCCAAGACTCTTACTCTTGCTGCTGCGCTGTCAGAAAGGCGGGACAGGGATCGAGGAGGCTGACTGCGCTGCGTGAGATGCAGATTGCTGAGTGCTGCCACACCCGATCAGAGTAATTCGTACATCTCCAATCGTATTGGCGGATATTGCCTGCTGAGGCTTGCTGAGGCCGCTGCCAATCCTGTCTGTCGACCCGAAGAGTCACCACGGTCTGATTCTTCGTCAGGCTGTCCTCCAAATGCGGGGGTTTCCGGAACGGGATAGCTACCTGCTCAGTACACCCGTCTTCGGTCGTCATGATGCTTCCCCTCCTCCAAAGCTCTCCCCAAGCTCCCTTAGAGCTTCGGTAACGCCTGACGCGATGAAGTGGCTGGATTAGCAGCCTGAGACCGCGGGCGCCCCCTACCGGTTGTGAGGAACACAGGAACACCGGCCTGGACTGCCGACGTGGACGAGAGGATGCGGCCGAGCCTAAGACTCCCATTTGAATTACTGAACACCGCGGGAAGGCTCGACGCCAGTCTGGACCCCCAGGGCTGAGGCCTGGATCGTGGCCGACGATGGTGTGGTCGGAGCTCTGATGTCCTTTTTCGGTGTCTGACTGTCCGGCAGCTGAATGGGCCATGATCAATATCATGACTACACGTATCCGTCAGAGTGGTATCGGGACAGGATAGATGCAGGGTTGCAATGGTTCGCAAGTACGGACGTGTCGAAACCATGAACCCAACCATACGAGAGAGCACAAGATCCGATGCTGTTGAGGAATCAACAAAGGAGAGACACAATACGAGTTGAATTTGAGTTTGCTTTGCCGTCCCGGTTTGTCAATGTTTGTTTATCACGATAATTACCTCTGTCGGCGTTCATGGTGTTTTCTTGCTTTGGACCCGGCTGGCTGCGTATTCATGTTTCAAAAGGGGAAAACACATGTAGTGCGCAAGTATCCGTAGATGCGTCTTCACCAGCGACAAAAGGCGGAGCTGAGCTTCTTTGCTCTGACGGAAGTAATACGCATCTTCGGGTCGCAAGATGAGGATTGGATGACAGGATGAAGGGAGGCAAACTGTCAGCATGATGATACATGGACAAGTGATGATGCTGATAAACGGAACGACGCAACTGGACGATTGCAACGGAGACACACCGAGGATTGCAGCGATGATACTGACTGATACAGCGCCCCAGAAACCAGAAACCACAGCGGCGGGCGGCGAGTAATGACGCGGGCACTTGGGGGTAATGAAGGGTGAAGGGCGAAGCACATCATCCTCACTGTCACTGTCTGTCACCGTCGCCCGCTGTCAGTGTCACTTTCTGACGGACGGATACAGCCATCGATGCTGCACCGCCACGAAGCGGAAGTACCCCGTCTCCCGTCTCAGGTGGTGAGATACCTACCCCTGCCGCGATTTGCAGATGTACAGCAGCTTACCTCGGTGCCCCGTCCCCAGGTTTTCAATTCCGCCCTGGCGCAGCGTATCCGTAGTGTGTAGGAGGGGCTCAGGCTGGCTTGGGGCTTGTCACCGTCAATCAAGCTTGTCGGTGCCCCAGCTTACAAGGCTTCAAGCCGTGCCAACCGCCTAGGGCCCTGGGCAAAATGAGGAGGCGAATGATCAAGAGCTGGCTGTGCGGCAAGCCGAGCTTGTTGCTCCGCCGTTTCCCTCGGCCCCGTCGCTGTTCTTGCTGTTCCTGGCAAAGCTATAACGCCGTGAGGCTCCAGAGAAGCGAGAGAGGCTCAGAGAAGCTTGAATGAGGCTTCAGACGGACTGCCCCGGAGGCGACGGCGTCGCGGGCGGCCTCATCGGACTGGCGGCGTTCCGTTCGAATTTGTGGTGGTGCTTTCTGGCAGTTGAAGATTGGCCACCACCACCACCACCACCACCACCGATGAGCCACTGAAGAATTATACGTAGGAAAAGGCGAGCCGGCTTTACACTGGATGGAATACGGATACGGACGAGACGGGACGGTACGTACGATCAGGTACATCATATCCCCTTCGGTACCGTGACGGCAATTCCTCCGTTGTGGTCCCCTAATTGCAGGGCTGCACCGCGCTCCTCCATCTGAGATGGAGACACTGGTGGGACTTGACCGCACGGCTCACTCTCACTCTCATTCTCATCCTCATCCTCACCTCAGATATGGAACTGTCAAAAAATGTCTCTGCCAGTTTATTTCCGTCCCTTATCCGCAACTACGGATCCAAATGAATCATTTTTTCACGCCAATTCTCCAGTAAAGTGTCATTCATCAAAGTCAATTGCTCGTCGTTTTCCTTTTCCCGCCATCGCGGCCTGTTGTGCGACCGCGTCGCGTCCTCACCAGTTGAGTCTATCATCACGCTACGCGGTAACACAACGTAAAATCGCCGCCGATCATCCAAACCCTCAGCCTTGGCCTTCTTGTCATTCAACACACCCTCCGCCCATCACTTGAGCCTCGCATACCTGACTCGGGAAACTGATTTGCAGAGCGGTGTGTCCCCTCTTGTTCCGTTGCGGAATATGACCGACCAAGGCGTGTCATGAGTGAGACGGACGAAGAAACATTCGCACATGAAAGCGTGCACGCGTTGTCATCACATTCGGGCTCACCACGCGAAACCTTGCCAATCCCCCATCTTACGTGTGCTCTCCTCCAACATGAAGCACGCTCGTCGTAGTCTCTCACACGAGGCACACGAAGCGCACACGACACCGTGGACACGAGCAATCTCCCCCATACCTCAGCCTTGGCTCTCTGCCCCTTGGTCTGTGGTCTGTGTCGTTTCTAATTTCTGCTCTCGATCCTTGGCGGGCAGTGCAGGAAAGGGTCGTTCCCTGCACCGAGCAACCGTTGCGGATACGATCCGTATCGGCCCTGAATATTGATTGAATATGGAGAACCTTCGGATGACGACCTCTATCCGCTCACTGGAGACATTATCGAACTGGAGACTTCCCCCGGAGGACTGATAATGATGTCCATAATTATCAAGAACTTGTCTGTCGATACCCGCCGATTGTCATCTCGCGTTCGCGCACCGTCCGGGGGCAGACGCGCACATCTGTACGACATCAAGCGGACATGCAATTTTATCGGCGTTTTCATCAGTTCATCGCCAATGACATTCCATGTCCATAATGCTACGCGGTGTACGATAGATCGGCCGCCATCTCGCGCAGGTGTCTCTCTCTGGTCGACGTCCCGTCCTGCCCAGCTGAAGCCCCCAACTGCATCTCTAGTCTCTGATCTAGCGTCCTTCCCCGGTCCGTTTTGGCCTCGGCGCCGTCTTCCCCCTCGCTATCCCCCTCATTTCAATATCAAATCATCAAAGCGCGTCCGTATTTCGCGATTGCGATGACCAGAGACATGGGATTCCCCATTTGGGGATGCTCTGTAGCCTGTAATAGCCGGGGTTTCCAACACTGCCAATGTCCACCAGTCGCGCGAAACAAATCCTGAAAGTCCTGGTCGCATCCAGCCATCTGTCAAAGAAGCAAAGTCGCGCCGTCGTCTTGGAGTTGCTGTCAAGTCGATAGCGAGGACTTCGAATCCGAGACCGTTGGCGCAAACTTCATTGTCGCCCTGTCTCGTACCGGGCGCTATCGAAATAGTGCCAGCTCATCCCGCGCTGGTGAGGCATATCCCTCACC